TTCAAAGTATTAGTCCTAACGATGGTCAGCTAATCTTTGGCTATCAACTAGCTCAAAAATGTGGTTAATTAGACGAGGTCATTAAAACTTTCGTTTTTTTTTACTAACATGAAGTTTGTATACGCTGAAACGGTCACCGAACGTAAAGTTAACGGATCGAACGTAAGGTGTGTCACACAGGCAAGGAAACGTTTAATCAAACTTATAATCTAATTTTTGTGTGTGTGCGTGTGTGACTCTTACATTGCATTCATCTGAACATAAAATGGATTCTTCAACTGATTTAAATCTCCACTAATAGCTGATTTTAGTGCGTAACATTGTAATTAAATCAATTATATTTGTCGTTTATATGGATGAGTAAATGTAAAAGTAGCATATATAGGGATAAGAGTAAGGCACGAGATTGACGCCGAAAATTCATGGAATCCAATGGAACAGAGAGAGTGAAGCGCAATATAACAAAAGAGAGTAGTTTCTTCATCATGTTGCCGGTTTGTTTTTAACTCTCTATCCATTTCTCTACATTTTCATCATCCCTATCCTAAAACTAGATGTTATTATTTTCTTGTTTCCCACCAAAATTAATTTAGCATACCCATAAGTAATGATAAAAAATATAGTAACAATATGCAATAAATTCTTTTTTTTTTTAACATAATAAAGATGCTCTATATTAAGAAGTTTAACTTCTCCAAATTTTTACGGGTTTTAGGTTTGAGGTCATTGAGGTTGAGGTTTAGTACACGTATAAAATGTTGGTTTCGGATTGTCCTTTGCTGCTTTGGGTTTTGCTGCGCATTTTGGGTTGGAAATGTATATTCGGGTTTAATTTGTCATAAAATTCGGTAAACACTTTCTTAAAAGTGCCGTACAACAAAAAACTATCCCTTTCTACAATTTACTGTTTTTTTTAATGTTAATCAGAATACTAAAAATGTGTTTACTGAATATTTTGTATTCGCCCAGTCTTCATAATATATAAAACGCAACCCTGTACCATGCATTGAATGAGGATCTGCCGTCTTTAGTTTTGATGGTCTCATGGTCATGCATGTTTTTCATTTGGGTGTTCAGCTTTCTATGGCTCACTGTAAATTCTATAGTGTCAGTCTTACCTTTATAATTTTTTGTAGTAAGCTTTTTATCAATTAGGCAATTTGGAAACTGAGGCATTTCGGGTTGTCGTGTACTAATTTGGAGTCATAGTCTTTTGGCAACGAAAAGAAAAAAAATAATATTCAACATAAAGAAAAACAGTAATCTTTTCATATAGTTTACGTCATTTAGTTGAACTATAATTAAGGGGTCTTTTAAAATTGGAGAATATTCACTTGTTAGTAGACATATTTGCTATTGCATGAAATTCATGGGTCATATGATGTTGGATAAGAAACTAAGAAAGACTAATTAGGAAAAGGTGCAACAAAAAAAAAAAGACACAAGTGGGTCCAATATATCTTATATTATGCCAACAGCCAAATTTTCACTAGCGTGCCACAAGAGTCGTGAAAATAAAGTCGTACTGTTCTATACTTCTATTCTAATCTACGCATTTTTCTTTGGGTAATTATGAGAAATACAACTTTCAATGTTTCATTTCTTACATTAAACTTACAATATTCTTCAGATTGATGTAACATACATCGTTTCTATTTTTGGCCGTAGTCATTCTTAATGTTTCACCAAATCCACAGTCATTTAAAATTTCGTTTCGATGTTAACTGTTTTGTTTTGTTTTTGTTATGATTACCATTTTTTTCCATCCTTTTATATGCCCTTTTTATCTCTTTTTCTCGGTTCTGGCTATATATGTTCATGTATTCTTATCTCAAGAGTACTAGTTATTTAACAGACTCATCTTTCCTTTTAATTAATTAGTACATTTTAAAAATTATAAAATGAGCTAGGAAAGGATAATGAGAAGAAAGGGGAGAGATTATTGACTAATGATGTGTGATGTATCCATAATTGGAATTTGGATCTATCAATGACTACAAACTTTCAAGTAACGAGAGTGTCACATTTATACGAGTTGGTCACGAATTTAATATTCATTCATGAATTATTTCCTTAACCGATACAATAAAACTAATTTGTTGCTACTGATGATTAGCATAATTACCTTTATTTTTCAATTAATTTTTAAGACCTTTTTAATCATTAATGGTGTTAAAGATAGTATTTTACACTTTACAGTTTACAGAAAGCAGTGTATGTATAAAAACAATTTTTAATGAACAAGTTCTATTTATTATCTTTAATTAATACTTTATCGGCGAAAATAAGATTGATCGGAGACATGAATGAAAATGGATGATTTTAAATTAGTACCCATAATTAAACTGCATATAGACCAATCAATTAAAGATTACTTAAATAAATACTCAACCGCTTCACCAGGCAATAGGCATGTCGAGTTAGATCAGTACTCATGTAACGATTTTTTAACCGCTTGTTATCGTTAATATGATTAATAATTCTCAGATAATCATGGTTTCTCGTGTATACCTAATTCTGCCACACCCAATAACTGAAATACTAATACTTTTGTTTTGTAAGTTTAAACCATCTATAGCATAAATCTATAATTAATCCAATAAAAAAACAAGAAAGCTAAACTCTGTACAAATTACATAACTACACTTGAGGTTCATATATGTATGAAATTTATTATGTCCCTAAAGTGGAAAGCAATTTCGGTTAATAACCAGAAGACCAGGAAGTCTGTTTTCTTAATAGTTTTCGAGTCTTTTCACAAATATTCACCGTGATCCTCGCTATTTCACGTAACACTATGCCCCAATATGTGCTCTTGAATTACTCTAATCTTTAAATTGGATATATATGTCGTTTAGCTTCCAGATTAAATTAACCGGAGAACAGAGCCTATGCAATTTAGTAACTTTGAGCTATTTTTTAGTTTCCTCTTACTGTTATTTTCTCCTTTTATAAGGCAATCAATCATATAGAAATATCTCGTATAGTATTGTTTCTAGGTGACTTAACTCATGAAACTTCAATACATTTTTCTTTCAAGTTTTCGACTTTTTATTCCAATTTTGATTCTTGCAAATACTATATACATAACATATAGAATCATCTCGTAATTTTCTATATTCTCTAGCAGATTTTAGTATGTATACAACTCTTTTGACCGAAAAATACGACATATTTTTGTAGCAAAGAAGTAACAGCATTCAAACAATCCAAAAATTTATTTAAAATGGTTCCAAAAACTTTAACTACTCTATTTGAAATCAAGATTTGATGATTAGTAATGAAAATAATAGTAATGTTTAAAATTGCTAAAAGGGAATCAATCTATATAATAGTCTATGTCGGCTTGTTATTATTGGACAGTTTATTGAACTATTTGTAATGGACTCTCCCCTCATTAGAAGAAAATAAAACGATATTAACGGTTAACTAGCTAGGAGGAGATGAGATTAGATTTACCAATCCACTTTAAATTCAATTAATTTATTTTAACTATAAATAAACAGAAAATTTGATACTAGTATGCAAGATCCTGTCCCACAATATTTATTTGATATTTTCAAATCGTTCGTATCAAGAGGAATGCTCGAATATTTAAAAAGGGAAAATCTAACAAGAATAAAATCAGAATTTCATTAATGATTGTAGTAGTAAGAATGCAAGAGAGTTTTTGTTGCTATAGTTTTGGAAGTCGAAAGTTGGATCTCTTGCTCGTTGTATTCTTTTGAATCTATCATGTTGTTCAAAATCCGAACAAACACCTAGTTAAATAGCTTCTTGAATATTCCATACTGATCTTTTGCTTAGTTGGTTTTACTTGATCTCAGTTCGAAACGATATCCGACACCGATATTAATTTATTTTTCCTCCCATGAAGCTTCCAACTAACATCTTCGCAAGGGCTAAGAAATATATAGTGTATTGTTTATATAGTCTTGTTCTAACATTTAACTAAGGTTTCGATGGCAGCCTTCCACTGTTAGTGTCTGCTTAAAACAACAAAACAAGATGGTTTAATACTTCAATTGTTTCACTAATATTGAGTTCACAATCTAACACACTCAAAAAATATGTTTCTTACCCGAAGACAGCGACCACAGATTTTGTCTGGCTTACGCTTATCTTATTGCGCATTAAAGATTTTTCCTTTTAAATGTTTTTACTCTCAACTGAAAATTAAATGCTCACCAAACTTTGAGAAAACCGGGGTTTCCAAAGTTTTTTCGTTTTTGCGATTTAATTATTTAAAAAGGAAGTCTTTTCTAGGTCAAAAAGCAGAGAGTCTTTTTCTTCGATTCTCAACATTCTCTTTACACTTTTACTTTATTTCCTTTGACTTTGACCTATTTATTTTATTTTTATTTTTTATTTGGTAAAAGACCTATATATTTTCTTTCTCCAAAGATAAATCAAATTTACTACCATTATCATTTTTCTTATCAACACTAATATGTTATAAATGTCATTCGTGATCTAATTTTCTTTCTTTAAGTATTTTTAAATTTTATAGTTTTCGACCATAGTTTTCTTTATAGCTGTTATACATAACAACTTCACAAAACCTAAAATTATCTCTCACAAAACTAACATTGTACAGGTCACACGTCATTTCTGATTGCTCTTTACTAAACTTCTAAAAAAGATTTGTTTGTCAATTAACTTATAGTATATAACCCATAGAATTTCTTCTTCTTTTCGTGTTCCACAAGCTCAAATGTGCCTCAAGTGAATTCCGGCAAGTATTTGTCCAAGAATTCTTGGCACGACGTGTGGATATTTCTGGAGGTTGAGACTAAGTGAACCTAGTTACTCTTGTTATATAAGGGCCGTTTAAGGGATTTGGCTCAAGTTAAGGGATTTGGCCCAAATTAAGGGAGTTGGCCCAAATTAAGGGATTCGGCCTGAGAATGTACGCTGAAAACATTCGCGGTGAATTTGGAATTTCATCAAAAATAAAGGGCTGGAATCAAAACAAAATATTAAAACAGAGCGAAGGAGAGAGAAAAAGAAAGAAAGAGAGTTGGGGAAAACACCCCTTCGGAGAGGAGCAAAAGCCTCTCCTGGGGAAGAACACGATATTCTTATTTTGGTTTTTAATCCATATTTTGACTTGGGATTCTTGAATTTCCACTGATTATCGAAATTAGGGCTTTTATTGAGTTTTCTGGGAAGAAAGAGGCAGAGGAAGAAGAGAGAAATGTCAGACCTAGACCAGCAGATAGAGCAGCTTAAACGCTGCGAACCTTTGAAGGAATCGGAAGTGAAGGCTCTTTGCCTCAAAGCTATGGAAATTCTCGTTGAAGAGAGCAATGTTCAAAGAGTCGATGCTCCAGTCACTGTAAGTCTACTTATGTTTGAAGATTGAATTTTAGAGAGAAAAACAGCGAAACTCGAAGCTCATGAGTTGAGAAATCTGACGAAATTCAAATTGGGTTCTGTCTGGGATAGAACAGTTGTAATTAGTTTGGATTCAGAATTAAAAATGTTTTAGATATATTAGGGGTTTATGGATGGTTTATTAGATGATTTTTGCAATTATGTTCCAAATGTTGGTTCCTATGTTTTAGGGATGCGAAATCTTCGAAATACATTGTTTCTTTGAGCGGAATGGTATATTTAGAATCCATTTGATAAAAATGTTGTGTTGCTTATCTTAACAAGTTGTAAAATTCCTCGGGGAGTCAAATTGCTGTCTGAAAAAGCGTAAATAGCATTTTTGTTCTATCATTACGATCGATACTTAAGAGAACTTTTTTGTCCTTTTTTTTTTTCTTTCTTTTCTTTCCATTGGAATAGATATGTGGTGACATCCATGGACAGTTCTATGACATGAAAGAGCTTTTCAAGGTCGGTGGTGATTGCCCTAAGACAAATTATTTATTTCTTGGAGATTTTGTTGATCGAGGTTTTTATTCAGTTGAGACATTTCTACTTCTTCTAGCTCTCAAGGTAATACATAGCCCCAACGCTGTTTTACGTTGGTTTGCTTAAAAAGTCTAAATTTCTAAAAGTTGGTTACGTTATGTATCCTCAGGTTAGATATCCAGACCGTATAACTCTCATCAGAGGGAACCACGAGAGCCGGCAAATCACGCAGGTGAGTTCAGTCCTTTTAGAAAACTTTTATGTGTGTGTATTTGTATGTTTTTCAAACTATTATAGAGTGTGCTTTTAGTAGGTATATGGATTCTATGACGAGTGCCTCCGTAAATATGGCTCTGTAAATGTCTGGAGATACTGCACAGATATCTTTGACTACTTGAGGTACAATCCCCTTAAGGCTTTTGTTTTGGAGCTCTCAGTGTTAATAATATTTAGGTAAAATTGTAACAGAAAACTTCCTATCTTTTATTTGTTCAAGTCTGTCAGCTCTTGTCGAGAACAAGATATTTTGCGTTCATGGAGGTCTCTCTCCAGCTATTATGACCCTAGACCAGGTTGAGAAAGTGCTGATACAAAACAGAAGGTTTTAGCTTTAAGGATATCATAGCTGATTAGTCTGTTCATACATTTCCTTTGGCAGATCAGGACGATTGATAGAAAGCAGGAAGTGCCACATGATGGTGCAATGTGTGATCTTCTATGGTCTGATCCCGAAGATATTGTGGATGGATGGGGATTGAGTCCTCGTGGTGCCGGATTCCTTTTTGGCGGCAGTGTTGTAACGTCTTTTAACCATTCAAACAACATTGATTACATATGCCGAGCTCATCAGCTAGTTATGGAAGGTTACAAATGGATGTTCAATAACCAGATAGTCACTGTTTGGTCTGCCCCAAATTACTGTTATAGGTGAGCTATTAGATACTCGAAACCTTAATCGTGTGATCGTATTTCCTTTGGCATGACTGTTCGTTCATGTTAGTTCTGTTTGAATGTGATGCAGATGCGGGAATGTAGCCGCAATTCTAGAGCTCGATGAGAATCTTAATAAGGAGTTTCGAGTGTTCGATGCGGCCCCACAAGTAAGAATCTGACTTATGCGAGTTCCTGTCCAAATTCCGGCTTGATTTGTCTGACGTAATAATGACTATGGATGCAGGAATCCAGGGGAGCTCCTGCCAAGAAACCTGCACCTGATTATTTCCTGTGAGACGCAAAACAGTGACAAACAGAAACTGGAACTCAGAATTGGTTTCTTTCTTCTCATCGCAGAGCAAAAAAATTTCCCAAAATCATCGGCATTTAGATTGTAAAATGCAGAAGAATCTACAATCCAGGTGTTGCCATAGATATCACTACACATTTCTTTAAAGGGTCTGTTTGAAAGTATCCTGTTTTATGAAAAGCCTTTGTTTCTTTTTCTCTTTTGTGTGTAATGTTACTTTTACGAAAAGAAAATGGAAAAAAGGTTTGTGAAAGAAGAAACTCGATGGATCTTCTGAAATCCCACTGATTAATACACTCAAGAAGATTACCACTTTTTGTTTATAAAGCTGCAGAACGAATTTCAACCGTAGTTTTTTAGAGTTCCGGTTACAAAGTGACTAATTTAGTTTCTCTGACAAATGTGGAGTAGTGTACACATTTGTGGTCTTAAGTCATCTTCCAAATGTTGCCAAAGCAAACACCTATACATTGAAACCGAGTTCCAAGATAATTCATTTGACCCCAAGTCATCTGAAAATTGGTTTACCAAATGAGTTGTTGGGGCCTTAGGTTAGCATATTATGAGATTGAAATGTTAGTTTTGATTTAGAGACACAAAAGTAATTGACATTTGAGCTTGAAGACCGTTACATTCATTTTCTTATAAAGGAATATGCTTGAAAACGAAAAAGGCAAAACACTACTAGAAGAAAAGTCTACGAGGAGAAGATTTGGTGGAGATAGTCGCAGGAGACTGCTTCTGGTTAGGCAGAGACATTCCTTTGTTCTCTTGTTGACCTGATGATCCCATCTTGTCGAGGAGTTTAGCTGCTCTTGGATCAGTCAGAAGTGTCTTCTGGAATGACTGTGAGAAGCCAGTCGCGATGATCGTTACATGAATCTCTCCGGTGTAGCGATCATCCACAACAGCTCCAAATATAATGTTGGCCGATGGGTCTGCCAAACTTGTCACGACCTGCAAAATCCCACCGAAAACATGACAAGACTGTGCATTGTAATACGGTATATATACACAATTGAACTTGGTCTAGATTCCCGCACCTGAGATACACGGTTCACTTCCTGCAAAGTAATGTCTTTTCCACCTGTGATGTTGTAGACAACACCAGTGGCTGATTGTATCGATGATCCGATCAATGGAGCCAAAGTGGCTTGTTCAGCTGCTTCTTCTGCTCGGTTCTTGCTGGAAGAAACACCTACCCCGAGCATTGCAGTTCCAGAATCTTTCATAACCGCCTTCACATCCGCAAAATCTACATTGACCAGTCCAGGTATCTGAAAATGAACAATTGATACTTTTCCCTGAGTTTCTTCCTTTGGTGATCAATCAGTGAGCATTCATCAACCAACTTGTTATGCTTTACAATTCAAAAGACTCACAGTAATAATATCTGAGATTCCTTGTACTCCTTGGCGTAAAACATCATCTGCAAGAAGAAAAGCGTCCTGAAGAGGAGTCTGTTCATCAGCAATATCTAGCAGACGATCATTTGGAATCACAATAAGGGTGTCGACGTTCTTCTGCAGCTTTTCAATGGCTTCCAGTGCCTAGAGAATAAAAAAGAAGCAAAGTTAGGCATGGATCCATAACAAGACTTGAGACTTATACCATTTCAACAAGAAACGGTGCCAACACATTACCTGCAAAGATCTTTTACGCCCTTCGAAGCTAAACGGATAGGTAACAACACCAACGGTCAAATAACCGGCATCTTTTGATATCTGAGCTACCACAGGTGCAGCACCAGAACCTGTGCCACCACCCATACCAGCAGTTATGAAAACAAGGTCTGATCCTTTAAGAGCATTAGCAATGGCATCTTTAGATTCCTCTGCAGCTTGTTCTCCTAGAAGCGGGTTTCCACCAGTACCTGTTAAGCTCAAGTAACAGAGTCGCGAGTTTTTATTAGCTTTGAGTTTCAAAACTCACAAAAACATCATCACAAAATAAAGATAACATTTCTTCTCTGTTGAGAGACTAACCAAGGCCACGAGTTAGAAGCTCTCCAATCTGAAGTGGGTTCTCAGCAGAAGACTGCAACAGAGCTTGAGAGTCCGTGTTTATCGCATAGAAATCAACACTCTGGAAAACAGGAGTAATCAATCAATTACTCACTAAAACACTACAACGAACTCAAAATGTGAATTTCCATAACAAATCGGAGCAAAAACATTTTGTTTCCTAGAGGAAAGAGATTGAAAATGTGACCTGTAAACCGCTAGAAATCATACGATTGACGGCATTGTTACCGCCACCGCCGACACCAACCACCTTAATCCTCGCAGACTCCATCGGAGAGAAGGAGCATCTCAGCCGCATCGGCTTAGACCTTGAATCGCTTCTTCGTTTTGAGAAGCCGCCACCGAATTTACTGATTCTGGCACTTGCGCAAACGCAGCTACTATGCAAGGAATGGGATATCGATTTCGCAAGAAAGGAAGAAGACGAGGAAGAAATCGTCAGCTCGCTAAGCTGCGCCAACGGAATAATCGTCATTTTTGTTTACTTCCTCTCTGATTTCAGAGACGAAAGAGAGATAAACAAAATACAACAAAAAAAAAGATGGTTTTTTTTAGGGTTTTAGCGTCGACGAAGAAAATATCAACAGTTACTGTGTTGTTTTCTCAGTTCTCTCACAAAGGAAAAGCTAAAGAGATCGAGTGGACCATTTTCGTTTCTCTTGCTCCAAGCCCCTTAAACGGCGCCGTTTCAAATGAAAATTTGCAATAGTTTTATGATTTAAAAAGAATGACACACCAAACTGAAAATTGCAACAGAGACCAAGATTATTTTTCTTTCATCAACAATACAGTCTGCGAGTTTCTTGAGTATCTCAGCTGTTTTGGGAATAGAATGAGAAATGAATACAAGAAAATTTCAATAGTAATAAAGAGGCCAAAAGTTTTTGATTTGTTCACCACCAAGATAAGAATTACAAACAAGAAAAACCGTTTAGAGATTGAAGATACAAAAGGATGGAACAGAAGCTAGCAATATGTATTACTCACTTTGCGCATAACTTTTTTCTAGTTTTGAGGATATTCGGTTCTTTGTCTGAGTAGAGGATTCTACTCTACTTCGCTTAGGATTGGGACAATCAGAGGATTCATCTGTGCAATATATACAATTGCCCACCTACCATAATCAAGAGATAAAGTAAGAAAATGTGACCAAGAACGAAACATCGAATAAACTCGCTATTCAGAAAGGTATAAGAGCAATGTTTATGACTTCAGTTATATGTTAGCTTCCAACCACTAGAACGGTTGATTACTTTGTTTCCTTTATGTTGTTATATCAACAGGAAATGGAGGTGTAAGCAAATACGATTTGATCTCTTTTGATGGTTTATTGATTAAGGAGAGGAAACCACAACAGGTCTCTAACATTAACTTAAACTTACATCATCCAACAGCAGACCGTCGCAGTAATGACCAATGTAAGGTGTAGCCTGAACCATAAACACAAAAAAAAATCAGATATTTACAACATGCAAAAATAATACTTACAAATTCCTAGTCAAATTAAAGCAGCAAAGAAATAAGGAAGACAGATCGAATAACAAAGCTTAAAGCTTGATGAAAAATAAAGAATAACAGTAAATGCAGTTATAAGAGATTCTGAATTTTTCCAGAGGCACAAGAATGCAATTGTGACATTACTTTCTATTCATTACTTGTGTTCGTAGCAGATTTCATCACAATAAGGATCCAATTCTGATCAAAAGTCAATGAATCATTATATTTCGTTTTCTAATTCTCAATTCCAGGAGTAAGAAACTACTGATTTCAGCTATTTGATCAAAATTCTAGGCAACTAATCTAATTACCCGCTAATATTGATGCAGAAATCAAGATAACCATAACCCAAGGACAAAGATAACCCAACATAGAGGAATCAATTCAAAAATATCAAAATGCAAATAAAAAGAAATGAAGGGCAGCAAAAGAACATACAGATTCGTGGAGGGGCCTCTGTTGCAGCAGATTCTAGCGCATAAGGAAGCAATGATCCCAACGACGACGAAGATTAGAGTTGTTATGAGAAAACCCATGTTTTTTCCTGATCTGACGGAGATTTCCTGCGACGAGAATTTCACGTGGTCACAATAGCCTCAGCGCAATCGATACAACGCGATCGAAAACAGTAAGAAACTCAAAAATACGCGAGAGAAGAGAAATTTTCTGAGATCTCACAGATTAAAATGAAAGCTCTTCTTCGAGGAGGACGATGTTGGGTTCTTCGTGCGAATCCGGTGATCTGAATTTGGATCCCGTGCGAGTTTCAGATTTTGTAAAGGGCAAAATAGGCCAATCAATTTTATCTTCATATATCAGGTCAAAGTCAAACACAGTAAATTATTTAATATTATTTTGTTCTTCTTCTTGTTTAGCTTAATAGCCTTAATTTACATTTTAAACTTGGCTTCTAATTTTATCTCTACATGTTTAATGTAAGATAAAATTCTACAATTTGGACAGGCTAGTTCTCATCTCACAAGTCATACTAGTTGTGCAAAAACGAAGGTTCTATATTTTTTTTTCCGATTTTCTATTTCTTTAATGATGTAAAGAGTAAAAATAACATTCAAATCCATGGTAAAATACCAAAGAGTTACATAACTAAAAGAAACAACAGTTTGAATTTTTTTTCCACTGAGGTAAAAATTCTACAACAAAGAAGTGAGATGAATAGAAAGGCCGGTTTTCTCTTTGCTCTTATCTAATTCAGCTCCTTTGCTTTCCAATGGCTTCAGAACCACCATACTTGCTCAATCTGAGAAAGGTTCTCTATACCTATCCGGGATACACTAGAATCTGAAGTCAGGTTCTGCATCCATTGCCCACGCGAATTTCGCCAAAAGAGTCTTTGTGAAAATCTAGAAGAAAGAAACAGATTTTGAGTTTTGTAAAAACTTGTTTCATTTGTACCAAAAAATTTAACCAGAACTAAAACAGCTTTTACCTTTTCGATTGGTACTTCATGACGTTTGCACCATGCAACGGTGATCCTAGGATCCAGGTAATTGATCTTAGAGGTGCCCAGCGCCACGGTTTTCAAGTCCTCTTTTGTATGCATGTCTCGTTCCATCCTCTCGATCTTAACCTTCTGTTGAGCAATCTTCTTCTCCCACCTGCAAGAAAACATTTACAGGACAAGGCGTTAATGTCAAAGACGAGATAGATATCGACAGAAGTATTTCCAACGTAAGAGGGAAAGTTATGTTTACGCGGCTGAATCTAAGTTTCTAGTCTTCTTTCCATCGGAACCTTCCAATGGTGGTTTTCCCTTTTTAGCCCGCTCAAGATTAGTTTCGAGATCTTTAAGGCCAGTCTGCAGAATTCAAAAAGAAAACACAAGGCATATAATGAATCGAGAAGATCAGCAGAGAACTTCCAAAAGTTATCAAAAGCTTACAGGAGATTTTTTTTATTACCCTGAGTTCTTTTACTTTCGCATCCAATTTCTCGATTTGTGCATCGTGTGACTTTGAAACAGCACGCTGATGATTACAGATTATGGCAACCTGAAAGAGTGTGAACCAGTATTTCATGAATCCATCACATGGGGTATGCACAAGAACTAGAAATCGCCAGGAGTATAAACAATCTTTTACCTCCTTGTTTGCTTGCTGATAAACTTGTACTTTCTGATTAACATCGCCATCTCTGGTTTTTTTCCACAACTGTCACATCAAAACGGAACATAGTTGTGAAATATGTAAAAGAAGACGATATATGAATACTAGCAAAAGGGGAACCTATGTCTAAATGTTATAGCAACATAGATTCCAATGTAAAACCAAACACCCAGAAGATCCAAAATTTTGAACATACCTGGCTATCTAAAGTGAAGGAAGCATTATACGTACGGAATACTTTAGCTGTGAGACCAGGTACAAGCTCCTTAAGATGAGCATTCAGTTTATTTGTGTCTAGCTCATCAAAAAGATCATCCGCTTTGGATTTTCCTGGATGGGGCAAAAAAAAGCCAATTTTGGTTTAGTCACAAAATAAAAACGATGTGAAATACTATGTCAACTCCATATCTCACCAGCCTGAAACTGTCCAATAGCCTTGTAAACAGGAGGCTCAACCTCGACGGTGTTCACATACCGGATTGAATCTTTACCGAGAAAGTCAAACTGGATACATATGAAAAAAGGGGGAAATGTGTGAGATGATACTAAGTCTTCTGCCTAGGATTAAACAAACAAGTTATTACCAAATTCATACCTCTATTTTATTTGGAGGCTTACACACCACATTTCCAACTTTTAATGTACAGCAGCCAACAGTGTCAGCCTCATCATCATCCTACAAATCAAGAAAGAAATATGAGATTTGTTCAGAAAATTTTCTGCTTACGCGTTAATCACTTGCCAGAAATTATTTGTTTTATCTCTTTTTCTAGTTTGCAAAATCCTAGTTCAAATTTTACCTTCTCATTTCCAGCCCTAAGCGCCAATTTATCAATGAGATAGGTAGCCACGGCAATTTGCCTCTTTGCAACATCCTTAGCCGTAAAATTCTTGGTGTAAGTTGCTCTTATACTCTCAATGTGGTTCTGCAGTCAAAAGAAAATCTGTTAATTAAAAGGAGAAACAATGATAGAGTAAACATAAGTCTCATCAAAAATGAAATCTAACTACCGTAAGATTCCTGGCTTTCTCATACTTCTCCTTGTCGCTCTGCCCTTTCAAAGCACTGCTAGCTGCCAAAAATACATACTTGAATTCTCGCTGGTTAATAGGATCAGTCCAGAAAGCTAGCCAGGTGACTGTGTTATCATGCTTTACTTCTTTCCATCTGCAAACTCACATCTCACATGGCTTAGTAAGATCATTATACAATGCTTTTCTATTTTCGAGAAAAACCAAGGAAAAAATAAGACCTTTCACCAGGGATCGGACATTCTGGAATAGGAGCATCTTTTCCGATATTTATGGTGATCTCACATGGACGGATACGCTTCTTTAATTTTCCCATCTGAAAAAACAGACAATAGACGGGTTTTGAAAGAGAAAACAAGCCACCCAAACCCACAACGTCAAGGTATCTTGTTTACACAAAGAAGTCTCTAAGAGAAAGGAATAACCTTGGGATGTTCTCCACGGCCTCTGAAAAGCCCAGGCGGTTCAACTCTGAAATTCCCAACCTGCAAGACAAAAGCATGACAAATTTGTTACCCTCTCTTTGAAATTACCAACAGGAGTTTGAGTGAGGAACTCTGTTTTGGGAACAGCGACAGCACTATGAGGAAACTTACCCTCTCTTTGACACCGTCAACAACAGCCCACATATATTTCTCCTCTAGCTTCAGTTTCTCCTCTTTCAAAGCTTTTTTCTCCTGTACCATATCAACTAAATTTTAATATACCGTCTTTTAACGATAAGAAACCCAGGTCTGTGACAACAATATGTTCAGTCATTACACAAAAAATCCGAAAGAGATACATTATTCATCTTAACAATAAGATAACATGAACTAAGATCAGTATCCTTGTAAGCAAATAAAACCTAAATGCAAGACGAATGGGGACTAAAGATGGAGCTATTTCTGAGAGAACGAAGGACGACCAAGTCAAAAAATTAAATTACCTCTGAGCTCATTTGTTTCTTCTTCTCTTTCTCTTGCAAGTGCCACTCGTATATGGGAGAAAAGTCACAATCATCCAACTTCTGTATCACATGTTTCTTCCCAAGCAGTGCTCGCCAATCATTCCAAAAATTCTCCCGAAATTGAGGTTTATTATAGTAGTCTGTCTCTTTCATCACTGCAAACATTGTCGCAACCTGTATATCACCAATATATCATCAGCATGGATGACAATGCCTTATTGAAATGACATAAGAAAAGCACACCAGACATTGATATGGATGAAAAATTACTTAAGAAACAGGTATATAATCAGAAAGATTAGGGTATGGAAGGAGAGGATAACCTCTTCTTGTTCAGTTGTTAGGTCAACTGGCTTCCCCTTGTACAAAATCTTAATGCCGTGAGGCTTGTACGAAGGTGGAAAGATTACACCGTTGTGCACCAAGGTAGTCCATTTCTTTTGCCCATCGCTAGAGGAAGGTAAAGATTTCGAAGATGTTGAGTATTTTGAACCCTTCATTGCTTTGTTGGAAGTTTTGTTTATTGTCCTGGACGGAGGAGAAACTACTTTTCTTACTTTCGGCTTTGCAGCTGATGAAGTAGAATTTACTTTTACTGCTTTAGGCTTTTCAGATGAAAATTTACTGTTGGAGGACACTGATTTACGTCTCTTGGATAATGGAACATCATCATCATCATCATCATCATCATCATCATCAGTACCATCTTCTCTGGTAGATAACTGTTTAGCTTTCGTTGATTTAGGTGAAACCAAAACCCTTCCCTTATCACCTGAACTCTCTGTTTTAACAGAATCTTGTTTCACTTTCACTGAAGAAGTTGAAGCTGAGACCTTGAGCTTCTTCGAGGAAGCTTCATCTGCTGTGCTATTCTTCTCCAGAGGTCTCTTACCTGATACCTTACAATTCGGCACTTCATTCTTAACTACGGAACCATTCTGATGCAACTTTTTAGCCAAAGGTTTCTTTTCATCGTTGGAGACCTGTTTGCTACCTGACATCCCACTGCCAACCTTCTTTTGCATAATTGACGAGATTGGAGTTTCATCATCTGACTCATCTTTTATGACCCTATTTTCTCCATCAAGAGGTCGATCACCACTATTCTTTTTTTCTGGCTGCCGCGAAGAGGTTGACCCTTTATTTTGCCGACTAGAATTCCCAGATAGTATGAAACTTAAAGGTGTATTATCCTCAGAATCCTCACGCTCTCTTTTACACTCAGACTGATCTTTATGTGACTGGCTCCTATCCTTAACAGCAGAGGGCGTATCGTTCCGCAATGGTGACTTTGCTGGTGAAGCCTTAGAAGAAGATGATGGCATTGATGATTTCATTGTAGGACTTCTATTCGACGGAGTGGTTCCATTGGGGCTTGTCACAGGGGATCTCAAAGGTGATCCCTTGGTGGAAGGAACTGCATTGCTTCTCTGAGGAGTGGATTTTGATTGATTCGAATTAGAAGCAACACTACTTCTCCTCTTGAATACTATAGGCTTGTTGTCATCATCGTCTTCTTCGTACCCGTTCTCCACCTCAGGGTTTGAAACAGTTTCGGTGGCCATACCCAATGGAACAACGTTGACAAGGACACAAACCAACGCCTGACCAAGAGGCAAAACCACAAAGAAATGTCAAAGCTTCCCAATGAAAAGCACACAAATCACCATTAGGACTACGAGCATCATAATGACTTCACTACAGAGAATGTGCACTGGGGTTCATGAAGAGGGAATCCTTAAACCCAAGAAACAATTTTTTTACATATATCTACATTCATGCATTGCAAAGAATTTAACGCGCATGTTTCTCTACGTAAACACATTTTGGGCTAAAAACTGACTACATCGTAAACTAGATGAACACATGATTGGATAACAACACAAACTAGAAGACCGCAATAGCAAATCCCCAATTTCGTAAGGGAAACCCTAATTTGTGCTATGACTGGGTAATGGTGAAAATCGAGCTGAATCGAATCAAATTTCGGAGGGTAAATGTTGGATTCAAAATGCTACCTTCTTCCAGAGATTGAAGAAATTGTCGAGAGAAAACTATCTCCTCCGTTTCTTTGTCCTCTCTTCTGCTCTGGTAGATTGTTCTCAGGTTCCAGACGCCGAAGAGACTAAGGCATTAGGAGACTCTCCACAGGATAGAGAGTTCTACCGCTTGAGGGTTTTGTTTATTCAACGACGTCGTATCCAGTCGCGCCAAATCATTTATTTTACCGCTTCACTGTACCGGATTTGAAGTATACCGCCAGAGAGTCTTCTTTTCATATTTTCACTCTTTACCGCCATAAACTTTTTATTGCCAAAATCCATTTTTTTTAATACGGTCTACTCTTACAGTCTTACATACAGTAAAACCTCTATAAATTAAAAATGTCGGAACCATGATATTTTATTAATTTATCATGATATTAATTTATCTATAAATTAATAATTATTAATTTATAGAGAAAATTTGTTTTCCGTTTATAATTTTTAAAAACATTTTTGGAATAGTGTTATATTTTAAAATTTTAACAAATTTTGTAATATAAATTATAATTAACAATCATAACTATTACAATAAAATAATTTGTAATATCATATTGGATTGTCCATGTAAAAATATACATGTTCATAAGTTTAAACTTTATAAAAAAAATTATAATTACTATCCGTACTATTGATGATAAAATTGAAGATAACATTACAATACATACAAAAACTTTTACATGTAAGAAAATCAATTATCATATCAAAAATCATCATAAATTTTGAATGTATATAGTAAAACACCAAAAAAACTACTTATATAATAATTAGAGAGATAAGATCCAATGAGATTTCAACCTTAAGTCAAAACAAAGACATTATTTATATTTTAAAATATTATATTTACATATATTTACATAAATTTATATAATTATTAATTTATGTTTTTGTTGGGACCATATATTTATATAGGAGTTTCAAAAAAATTATGATCTTATTATCTTATCGAATTTAATAGATTTTTACATTGGCCCGATTTGAAACCAGCAAAATTTATTAATTTATAGTGATTATTAATTTATCGAGTATTAATTTATCGAAGTTCTACTGTAGTTACTTACTTATAATCATATTTAAGTAAACAATTTTGGTTGTAAAACCAAAAAAAAGGGTAAATCATTTTTCTTACACGGTATTTTACTCACTCAGTCACTCCTAAATTACTATTTTATTAAACAATATGTTACCCTATAAAATATTGTAAATTACTACCACACATATCAACTAAATAAATATATATAAATTAAACAGAGTATTACAAAATAACACAGTATTAGATATAAAAAAATGCTATTGGATAACACAATATGTTATCTAACCATTCGAAGGTAAAATTGTAACTTACAATTTAGGCTATGTAACCAATAAACATGTTACCTTGTTCTGTATAAATATATATTGTAAACCTGACTTATTATTGAGTAAAAAATGGTAACTGTATTTCTATAAAACATCCCACAGATTAGTCGTTGGTTTACTATTAAGAGAGAAGAAACCTCTTTTACAGGTCTTGGTTTCTTTCTTCTACTCTTTTTTTTTTAACTCTCTGACTCTCTCTATATCTCTGTATATGTATAGTGAATGGTTAGGTAAAATTGGCCACAAAGAACGCTTAATCAGAATCTGAACTCAGGATCAACGTCCATTGCCCAAGCAAACTTAGCCAGAAGAGACTTGTTAAATATCTGCAATAGAAAAAAAAAAAAAAAAAAAAGACAAGAGTAAATTTCAAGTGTTGCAAACCTATGACCTTGTTGAAGCTTTTTATATACCTTCTCAATGGGAACATCGTGTCGTTTGCACCATGCAACACTGATCCTAGGATCCATGTAATTGATCTTAGACGTGCCCAATGCGACGGTTTTCATATCCTCCTTCGTTTGCATATCTCTTTCCATCTTCTCGATCTTACTATTAGTTTGCATTATCTTCTTCTTTAACCTGTTCACAGATAATTTTATTAATGTTTACGCGATATAAGTGACAGTTTTTTTGCGTGAAAAGAAAGATTGAATTTTACGCTTCCGGTGTCAAGTTTCTCTTTCTCTTCCCATCAGAGCCCATTAATGGCGTTCTTCCTTTCATAGCCCTGTCGAGATCGATATCCAGCTCTTTTATTTGCTCCTGCATAGAAATACAAAGATGATGAGACTCAGAAAGTTGGAAACTGTTTTGATTAAAGCTGTTGGAAAAGCTTATGTTTGTCTACCCTTAGTTCTTCTATTTTCACAGCCAGCTTCTCGACTTGTGCTCCGTGAGATTTTGAGACAGTACGTTGATGGTTACAAATGATGGCGACCTAATGATATAAGCAAACGATTCAGAATATAACAATTTAATTTTTCTATGATAAAAAACAGAGAGATTAAATCGCCATTACCTCCTTGTTTGCTTGCTGATACACCACCACTTTTTCAGGAACCTCTCCATCTCTGGTTTCTTTACTCAACTGTCACAACATCCAATCGAAAACGGTTTAAGGAAAAGAAAACAAAAAAAGTCCAGAGAATGGAAAGATGATCTATATCATGAGGATGTGATAATTGATAATTTATGTAATTATCTTGTATCACTAGGTTTCAAACCCATACATAAAATAAGTACTACTAGGATAGGCCAAGCATATACAATTTTTTTTTTAAAGGTGCAAAAAGATTGACGACATACCATTTGATCCAATGTGATGGATGCATTATATGTACGAAAGACTTTGGCTGTGAGACCAGGCATAAGTTCCTTAAGATGAGCATTGAGTTTTGAAGTATCTAGCTCATCAAAGAGATCATCGGTTTTCGATTTTCCTGGATAGAAGACAAAAATCCTAAAGTCATTTAATCTAGTTTTCCAAAGGTCAAGTTAGAGAACCGATAAATCTTCAACTAACCCGCTTGGAACTGCCCAATTGCCTTATAAACAGGGGGCTCAACCTCAACTGTGTTTACATACTGAATAGAGTCTTTACCAAGGAAGTCAAACTGAAATTGCCAAAGCGGATACCATGAGTAACTATATTATGCAACCACAAAGCCTTATTGAACAAAGAAATCAATAAGCCAGGCCTTCTAGAACTCTTGCAGATACATTCTGCGGTCAATTTTGTTCAAGTTGAGATCAAGTATATACCTTTAACTTATTTGGAGGAATGCAATCCACGTTTCCAACTTTCAATGTACAACAACCAACCGTATCTGCCTCATCATCGTCCTATAGAAAAGAAAAATATGAAGACCAAGAAAGGAAAAGTGAAAAAATTGCTTGGAATTGTACTATGAATAGCAAACATGTTTTATGGAATAAGGATCCCTTATAAGGCAAAAAAAATGATAAACTGGATAAAAAAGGGATATCTTTCATTGAAGAATATTTTTTGTTAAATTACCTTCTCATTTCCAGCCCTCAGGGCTAGCTTATCGATAAGATATGTAGCAACCGCTATTTGTCGCTTTGTTACATCCTTGTTACTAAAGTCTTTGGTGTATGCTGCTCTAATATGCCCTATATGGTCCTACAAACAAATGATAGGTTGCTGATTAGAAAAGGGAAAGCATGATGGTTTACGCAAAAAAAAAAGCTTTAGGGAAATCAAAAGCTCATTACCTTAAGCTTCCTCGCTTTCTCATACTTCTCCTTGTCGCTTAGTCCCTTTAACGCACTACTAGCTGCCAAGAATACATACTTGAACTCTTTTGGATTGATAGGATCATTCCAGAAAGCAAGCCAGGTGACAGTATTGTCATGCTTAACTTCTTTCCATCTGAAAAAACAGCACTCTGAAAATGAGGTCATAGGAAAAAAAAAGCACATGTCTTTTTCAAAGGGAAACACATTGTAAAAAAAGACCTTTCACCAGGGATAGGGCATTCTGGAACAGGCGCCTCTTTACCGATATTGATTGTAATATCACAAGGACGAATCCGCTTTTTCAGTTTTCCCATCTGGAAAGTAATAATGCAGAATAGATAATTACTAAAATGAGAATAACTATGGAAGTTGAAAGAACAAGGCAGAAAACTACTCTAAATGTGATGCGGACTAGAAAATAGTTCAAGGATAATATAAAAACAAATGCAGTAAAACATACCTTAGGATGTTCTCCTCTGCCTCGAAACAACCCAGGGGGTTCAACCCTGAAATTTCCAACCTGCAATTATTGCAAATTATGGTCAGAAAATTACTAGAAGCTGGACATAGATTCCTATCAAAAAAAAAAAATTACCCTCTCCCTGACGCCATCAAGAACAGCCCACATGTATTTCTCTTCCAGCTTTAATTTCTCCTCCTTCAAAAGCCTTTTCTCCTGCACATCATTAGCATTATAATATTATCAACAACAGCTTCATCGGGATAGCATACTAATGAACTCTAATCTTATCAGAAAGTGATTCTTTACTTCTGCATTCATTTGTTTTTTTCTCTCCTTCTCCTGCATATACCATTCATATATGGGACTGAAATCACAATCATCTAAATTTTTAATCACATGGTTCCTTCCAAGTAGTTTCCGCCAATCATTCCAGAAATTATCTCTGAACATTGGTTTGCTGTAATATTCTGTTTCTCTCATCACTGCAAACATAGTGGCAACCTGCACACAGAAATGAAGATATTATGAGAAACCACGAAAAACACAATGGCAGTCAACGACTGCAAAAAAAAAAGTAAGCACAAAAACAAATCTATCATGGGATAGAGACAAAGGAAAAAAAAAGACAGAGAAAGGACCTCTTCTTGTTCAGGAGTTAAATCAACTGGCTTTCCCTGATACAATATCTTAACCCCGTGACAATTATATGGAGGTGGAAAAATAACACCATTGTGCTCTAGTGTTTTCCATTTCTTTTGCCCATCTCCAGAAGGTAATGATTTTGAAGACTTCGAATACTTAGAATCATTCACCCATTTGTTGGGCTTCTTGGCTATCGTTCTGGATGAAGAAGCTATCATTCTACTAGCATTTGGCTTCACAGATGAAGATTTATTATTTGAGGAATCTGGCTTCATCCTCGAGGCAATAGGAACATGATCATCACAATCTGAGTCATCTTCTTTAACAGTTACTTGGTTAACCGCCAGATTCTTTCCTTTGCTATCTGGCGTAGCTGCATTCTGTGAACCTTGCTCAATTTTCACCGGTCTAGCCGGCTCTGACACCTTAAGCCTCTTAACAGAAGATTGGTTCGAACAACTTCCCTTCTCAAGAGGTCTCTTAGCAGGTGCTAGAGAACTATACCCTTCAATCTTAGGTTTTAAACCATTCCGAGTGACATTGTTAACCAAAGGTCTCTTTTGCTCATTATTTTTAACAGGCTTGCTACTTGATGTACCCACACTGGTCTTTGTCTGAACCGTTGAGGACATGGGAACTTTCTCATCCAAATCTTTCTTTTTAGTGTTATCACTCACTCCATGAGGCCTCATGCTGCTCTTCTGTACAGGTAACTGCGAACTACCACGCCCAGAAGAGCTAGGTCGTTTGGAAAGCTGATTAGAATCCGCTTTAAGCCTGGCACTCAAGGGCTTATCATCCTCTGAATCTTCATCATCACTTTTGGACACAGATGGAGCTTTTCCCAAACCGTTCCTCTCCTTAGCAACAACTGATCTATCATCCCGCAATGGAGACTTTAAAGTCGAACGCTGAACAGATGAAGATGAAGGTAACGACGGTCTCATCATTGAGCTTCTGGCGGACGAAGCTGATCTATTCGGGCTTGCTAAAGGAGACCTCAATGGTGGTGGTGACTTGGTGGAGCCAAAAGCTGAGTTTTTCTGAGCATTCATAGGCTTTGAACGGTTTGGTGTAGATGATGTGTTAGTGTTTCTCTTGAAAACCAAAGGCATTTCGTCTTCGTCATCATCCTCGTACCCGTCATGACCATTTGGTACCACAGGTTTCACAAACGCCTCAGTGGCCATACCCAAAAAAGGCAAGTTTTTCACAATCAACTGCTGATCAAAAAATGAAAAAAGGATAAGATAATCAAATTTTATAGAATTGAAACCAAACGGATAGAATGCAGACTTAAAATTTTATTTTTGAAGCTGTTTAGATTCGCTTTGAAACAAAAGCTTTATCTTGGCATGCATCAACACCATTTCAATGGTCTGATCAAACAAAAAGAGAACTTCAACATCTCAATTCAAGCCCATGACATATAATTAAAAAATATCGGATCAGGTATAATTTTTTGAGTTTGACATGAAAATATATTGGATTCGAGGAAAGAATGATATATAATTGAAGCTCATTTGGACAATTGAAAACTCGAATTCCCAAATTGGAACGAGGAACCCTAACTTTGAAATCAAAAAAGAATTTATGAAATTGAGCTCAAATCCAAAAAAAATCTGGAGGTAGGTTATCAAATTGATGAAACTACCTTCGGCCACGATGAAATCGGCGATGAAGCTGAATTGAATCTCAGGACACTTCTCACGGATTTCTTACCTGCCTTGATTTCTGTCCGTTTTTTCCTCTTTTTATGTTTTAGAGGCTAAGTTAAGGAAACACTCCGTATGGACCAGCGAGTCTTGACCCCTTGACTTTCTACTTATGTGACGTCGTGTCATAGGAGTAGAGATTATTTTCATCGGAATCTTTACTTGGGTTAGGTGAATAAAGGCCCACTATACGAGTCCATCAACTGTTTTGGAAAAATAAAAGATGCTTTTTTAAACCCAAAAATAAAACAAAATGGCAACGGCCAAAGAAGACATGTATCAAAATTGCTGGTGAGACTATCACATGTGTCTATAGTAATATAAACTTTTATTATAGTAGTTTTCAATTTCAGATCTTGTTCTTATATAGCTAATTAATTATATTAGCACTATATATACTTGAAATAAATATTATCATTTCAAAAATTAAAACCATTCATGTATGATCCAGAAAAAAACAAATTTAAAAATGCATTTCTAAATAAATATGTCAAATATTTATTTTTATGATGTATTTTTAATTTTATAGATTTTTTTTTTCAACTGAAAAAACTTTCAAATTAAAATGCATAAAAATAATACAACTGTTTGACAAAGTTTGAGAAAGTAGCTAACAAGTGAGAGCAAACATACATGATACATTCAAGTACGAGCTAAAGATAGAGGAGTGGAGCTTTAGATAAGACTTTCTAGCTAATCCTAGTGTGGAGAGCCGCAACCACCTAAGCCTCCTTGAGAAAGTAGCTAGAGATTGTTATTTCTATAGATTGTTCATAAGAAAATGAATAGTTAAAAAAAAAGCGAGTTTGAGGGTAAGGGAGAGGAAGAGAAGAAAGAGGAAAGAAAGGTTGAGAGGTTAAAATAAAAAATATAGAGCAAGAGATGAAAAGATTGGTTTGTAAAAAGAGCAAAATAAACTTGAGGTGGATAATGGGAGAGATATGGGTTGCGGAAATTGAATGTACCGTCTAGATCACGAGTCACGACGCTGGATATATTTCTTGTCTGAAACTCTCGGTAGCCTGATTTGAAGTATTCATGGTTTAATATATATTGATTTCTCATCAACAAAACAATCGATCACGTCCTGATCAAGAAACCCTTAATTAGATTACGTCCTCGTCAAGAGACTGTTCAGATGCTTCTTGAATCTTGATCAAGAAAACCCTGCAATTAAGTTACTCTAAAACTGGGTACTATGAGTGCGATAATTCGTATATATAGGAGAGCGCAACACTAATCCTCTTATATCTCTTGTTCTCTAAGATTTGTCTGTCTTGAAGATTAACCGGAATCATTTAAACATTTAACCAAATAGAAAACCAGGGGATGTGCTGGTACAACGACACGATGGATCAGAAGAAGATTCAGACGACGAAAGAAGGCTGCTTCGACTTTATGTTTTTAATGGAATTTATGTACAGTAGAAACTCTATAAATTAATACTTGATAAATTAATAAACTCTATAAATTAATAATTTTTCATGATTCCGAGTTGGACCGATTATGATATAATTTGATAAGATAATAAGATAATAATTTTAACAAAACTTCTATGTAAATATATGGTTCCATTAATATCATAAATTAATAATTACCATAAATAAAATTTAATATAAACATATAAGTAAGATAATTTACTAAAATGTGAGTTTAGTAAAGCTTTTTTAGTATTTTAAATGAAAACTATTTGAACTCATCTTTAATTTTAAAAAGAATGTTTTAAAATCTATAATCTATAAAATCTCTTTTAAAATTAAGAAAAAAAAAATATATTTTTTAAAAATTTTTAAGGGGGGGTTATTGGGAGTTGGATTTATGAAGATTTTAGTTGATTTTAAAAATCATGAGATTTGTCAAATTTTTAAGAGTTTTGTTGGATTTGTAAAATTTAGAGAGAGTTTTATGGATTTAAACAATCTATTAAGAATTTTTTAACAGATTTTGAGAATCTAAGGGATATAGGTAGTATTTTGAGAATCATGATTTATGAATTAAATTACAAAGAATCATTATGCCAATAACATTAGATTATAACAGAATCATAGAATCATTAAAATGTAGACTTTTTGAATAAGAATGGATTTTGATCAGATTATAAAAATCATCATATCAATAACAACTGATTTTTATAATCTCTAAATGAATAACAGATGAATAATGTAAAAATCCACAAACCAATAACTATAGAATCTTAAACTCTAAAAATCTTTATAAATCAACTCTCCAATAACACTCCTATAAATTAATAATTTCATAAATTAATAAAATATCAAAGTCTTAATATTATTAATTTATAGAGTTTTTACTATAGTTTGAAAAAGTCTTGTCAACTTTTCTTCCTTGCAAAACAAGTTACTCTTATTTCATAAACAAATAAAAAAAACTTTGTTAACATTTGAGTCCACAGTTATGTGATATGGGTTTGGTTAACCTTTGTTACTTTGTTACTTCAGTATTTACGTTATCTTATTATCCGGGTCCGCTCTACCACCTGACCTGACTTATCCCGAGGATAAGTAGATGTCCCGAGGTTAACCAAACCCATATCACATAACTGTGGAGTCAAATGAGAAATAAGCAACATATACGTACAAATCTGATCACCATGAACAATTAGGGACGAAGAAGTCCAAACCATTGGCACGGAAATGATCAGTTGCCGAACCACAGTAGACTTAAGTCAACAACAACTAAATAAACAGTAAGTTTAAAAGAAAAGAAAATTTATACATTTTACAGATCTTTAATTTGGAAATCAAGATCAAAGCGATGCCTATACTTGTCTCTTTCTCATAATCGTCGCTTCGTACTTGCCGGCCAATGAGTCAAAGAAAATCGCAGCGCCAACTCCAACGGCTAGATCGATCGTGTAGTGTCCTCTCGTCCCGAGCAGCCTGATCGATTGTAAGACATTGAGGATGTCAAAAACCATCGCAAGTCTCAACCTCTGCATTCTCCTCATGTCCAAAGATGCAATGGTCGTGCCCGCGACGTGACCGGAGAAGAAGAAGAAGAATGAGATGTTTCCTATCGGGAAATCAATTGCTGATCCTAGATACTCCTTTAAAACAAAACAAAAAAAAGAGTCAAATAATTTGCAGGGTTAGATTATCTCAATAAATTAAGGAGCTAATCTACCTCAAACTCAATCAATTGTTTTGGCATGTAATTAAAATATTTATACTCTAAATAGTATAACAAGACGAGACACATAGTAATTTAATGAAGATCAGAACCTGTGAAAGAGGGAGCTGAGTAGAGTAACCGAGAACGCCGCGACAAGTGAAGAGGAATAAAGCCGTGATGGTGGCTCGTGGTCTTCCTTCCATTAGCCATGCCCATGCAATAATGTACGTTATTTGCATCACTCCTAACACCTGCATGTCCCCCAACCAATTAAATCTATCAAATCAAAAAATTCAAACTGTCGAATGAATTTTTTAAGTGACACTTCAAATGAATTTAAATGCATCCAAAATTATGTAAAGCCTTATCAAAACTCAAATCGTTCAGAATATTTGGTTGAATATTGAATTATTAGGATTGAATGAAAAAGAAGAAAACAAAAATACAAGATGAGGCAATAAATATCAAACATATTATCTAATTTTTATAACGGAGGTTAATGGTTTAAGTTTTTAATTTAGTAAATTATTTGATAATAAACTAGACGTTTATATAACAAACAGAAATTGTGATTTTATGTGCCATATAATTTTTTTTAGGTGGACCTCTAATGTATCAAGGATGGAGATAAGTGTTAAAGATTTCAGATCTAGAATTGTTTTTTTTTCTTAAAAAGACGTTCAGTTGATAATTAAACGTCTACATGTAGTGAATAACAACACTTTCCATTAGAGTTAATAAGAAAATAACACTATTTATGGCAACAAATCACAGCATCATTATTACTTTTTTAATTGCACATCCAGACACAATATGTGTCATCTATCAAAATCGCTCGAATTAATTCTTACGACATACCGAGTTTAGAGCGGCCAAAACGGTGTTCAGATCCGGTGAAGAAGCCAAGACGCGATGAACAGAGCGGGTGGCCACAAAACCAAGATCGAACGGCGGAGAGCTCGCGGGAACCATCTGGATCGTGGATTCAACGCACACGACGAACAAAAACCCGACCGCGAGCAAACACGGTAACCAATGGTGTCTCGCCACGTAGACGACGTCGCGCGCTGTCCACGTCATAAACGACGGCTTGCTTCTCCATCCTCTTTCCTCCGTTATCATGTTCTTCTCCATTTGAGACATTTTAGTTACTCAATTCTTGTTTTTTTTTTTCCAAAGACTGAAAATTTTCAAAAAGAAAACAAGAGATTTGAGAAGATTTCTGTAAATTTCTCTAGAAAATTATAATGTACAAGTTTATAATACAAGTGAGCGCATCTACTTGCCAAAACTTGTGAAAATCGATATTATGTGTATTATATAGATCAGATCCCTGTTTTGGATATGGAAATATATTCTTGACATATCCCAACATTCCCTAATCATAGGATTTGATGAGATATGGAAATTATTCCAATAGGGTCTTTGTAGATTTTCTTGTACCATCGTGTCGTTCTTTTTATGTTGGTTGTTGCTTGTATAATAGGTAAGATATTAGAATGAATTAAAAGCTATATAACCCAATATAGAAAGTCAGACCATGTGTCATGTGTGTGTACCAAGATTGCTTCTACGTTGTTTTTTTCTGAGGCTGGATCCGATGTATCTCTTTCGTACGTAAAATACTAATATTAATGGAATCAGTGGGATCTACGATATAACATAATATTATATCGACTCATTCTTAAATCCCAAGTAAAACACAAATCGTAAGTTACTGCCATTTAATCCACTTATTTGCAAGGGGGTTAACAAGTAAGACAATATATTTCAAAAAAGTTTAAATGAAACTCTTGTAAGCTCTCTTTTAATCCATAACAAATATATATATATATATATATATTATTTTATTATTAATATTTATTCAAACTTCTTAAAGAAAGGTACAGCACTATCTACTTATCTAGGACTTCTTACGGAGCACTCTTGTCTAATCATGATTAACCCCATAAAAGGATTAGTATTATAGTGTTGATTCCATTTCCACCGGCCAGATTGCAACCTATTTAAGACTCGTAAACAACCCTAAGAGAATAAATAACTTGCGTTTAAAGAAATCAATAAAAAGCAATTCTTCATTAGTAAATCTCTCCATGAAGCCGTTCCTAATAAGCTGAGGGGAAAATAGCCAAACACCAGTCACAAACACAAACCCCACCGTGAGCAGCCTCGACAAAGCCGGATTCAACGGCCACCGCTGCACCAACTTCGTCTTCCTCTTCACCGCCACTTCAGCTGCCGTGCAAATTCCATGTAACACAAAGAACCAGCTCACCTCCCATGTAGGCTTCTCACGCATCAAATAGAAGTAGAGAATCTCGTGAGCCACACCTGAGACAAGGAACGTGGCGAAAATCCCTAAGAGCCGATCCCACTCAGAGCTCTTGACTCGCCACTTCCGAATAGGGAGGTACACTGAAAGCCGGAGAATCTCCGAGACCATGAGGTTCCAACGGTGACTCCAGAATTCATGTAGAGAGGTGGCTAAGTATGGTTCATTGAAATGTGGTTCTAGGTCGCATCCTAGAGTGATGGTGACGAGAAATTTGATTAGTGTTAAGGAAATCTCAAGCTCTAAGTATATATGTAGAGAATAGAGACCCAACATGAAATTCGGAGGTAGATATTGTTTGTAATCATACACTTGTAGTAACAAAATACAAAAGATGAAAACTTTAACGGGGAAAACCCATTTGGGGAAATGGTTATGATTTTCATCAGGGTTAGGGTTTCTCTGAAGCTTGATGGGGAAGCAAGCAAAGCAGATAAAATGGAGGAGATTAGGAGGGACTGGAAAAAGAGGACCTTTTTCTAACGCAAAGAGGATTAGTTTTGCAGTTGCAAGACCGGAGAGGAAAAACGCTATGGTGAAAGAAAAATGAGCATTGGATAAAAACATGGGAAGAACAAGAAACAATGCACAAACGGGAAGAACTGAGACTAATCGAAGAAGACGGGTTTTGATTTTTAGTGGTAAGTAGTAACAATATGTTACTGAGATGATTGCAGTAAACCATACAACTATGAAGATCTTGAGTTCTTCCTCCATGGTTAATGGTTAAATGATATTTCCAATAGAAAAATGAAATGTCCACATAGGAGGAGCAATCAATAAGTACAATGTTATAAAAAGGGTGAGCAATCAATAGGTACAATGTTATAAAAGGGTACAGTGTGGTTTGTTAGTTGTTACACATTAAAGGAAATAGTAATTGGCAGTTGTTGAGTAGTTATTGGCTCTGCAGAATCTTTTTTTGTGATTCAATATTTCAGTTTAAAAAAAACATTGTTAGGTTGATTGCTTTAAGTGTGGCATTGTTGTCTTCTTCTTATCGAACGATATATCATTCTACACAATGGTTCAGGTTCAGTGTGTATAGTCTTGACTCTTGAGGACACAATATATATACAGTCATTTAGCAGTTTTTTTTATCTTTGTTTAAAGAAAAGTAGTTGTATCTAACAGGTCAAAATAAGACTCACCTAGATGTAAAAACAGTTTTTTGGTTGAATTTGATTTTACATTCAATAAAAAAAAAGAACGTAAAATTTCTGTCCATGTGGTTTTAGTCTTTTAGACGCGCCACTAGTACTAGTTCACTGTCTATAATCTAATGTTGTTTAGAAGATATGAGTAAAACGAAAGACACACACTTTTAATAAATATCGATGAAGAGGGTTACGACTCTAAAGTAGGTTCTACAAAGTGAGAAAAAGAAACACTTTGATTGAAAATCGATGAAAAGTGTTTAGACTCTGAAGTAGGTTAAAACATTGAATTCTCAAAATAATATGATCTTTATACCACTCAACTTTTTTCTATAAATTAAATTACATCTAAACTAAAAATGCATAGATTTTTTAAGTATTACATGTAACCCTTAAGAAAAAAAAGGTTAAATGTTGGATTTTTAGCCAATTTATTTAACAAAACACTACAATATAAAATCATGGTGATTTAGTGGGTAGTGCTCTACTGATTTTGGAAGTGAGTATTCAATATCACTAGTTCAACTTCAATTGAGAGAAGTGATTTATGACTTGAACATTATATTACTAATGACTGACTCCATACTGAGGAAGAAATTATGGATCAAAGGTCTAAAACTTCCACGGTTTATTAAGAAAAACAAAGAATAAAATAGGTGATTGGAAAAGGCTATAAATAGTAGCAACAAATTCTGAACCAACAAAAACTCTAACAAAAAATGAGGTCTCAATTTAAATATTGGTTAAGGTTGCACAACAAGAATAAAAATATCTGACTCTTCTGAATTCTAATAAAACTAGTAATCTTAAGATTCCTCAGTTCAGTAATCAAAAAGAAGAAAAAAAGAAGAAGAAGAAGAGATTCATCACTTTATCCGGAAATTCTACAAAACAATAGAACTGATAATCGAGCACTGAAAATCTACCTAACCAATCAATAGCAAAAAACAATTTTACGCTGGTTACTCTTTGTCTAAAATGGACTTAAAAACCGAATTGCAAGATCCGGATTCAAACACTCTTCTTAGTTCTTACAATACTTAATTTGTGCTTAATTTAACACTCGTCATAAATATCCCAACAAAACAGTAGATAACTTCTGCTCAACGAAATTAACGAACAATAAAGCTTCATTGGTGTATCTCTCAATCACACCGCTCCTTATAAGCTGAGGTGTAAACAACCAACCACCGGTCACAAACACAAACCCCACCGTGAGCAGCCGAGACACCGCCGGACTCAACTGCCACCGCTTCATCACCGTCGTCTTCTTCTTCACCGCCAATTCCGCGGCAGTGCAAACGCCTTGTACCACGAAAAACAGAGTAACTTCCCCTGTTGGCGTCTCACGAGTTAAATAGAAGAAGAGCAGCTCGTGAACCAAACCGGAGACAACGAACGCTGCTAAAATCCCCGGAAACAGAGCCCAGCCGGAGCTCATTCTGCGTTCAGAGACTCGCCGCATCGGGGCGTAAACTGCTGGCCGAAGAATCGCTGGAACCATGAGATTCCAACGGCGACCCCAGAAATCTTGTAGAGATGTGGCTAAGTATGGTTTATTGGACTGTGGTTCGAGGTCGCAGCCAAGAAAGATAAAAACCACAACTTTGACGAACGTTAAAATGATCTCAATCTCCAAGTATAGATGCGCAAAGTACAGAGCCAATAGCAGAGTCGGAGAAAGGTTTCGTCTGTAGCCATATAGATGTAGTAGCACACCAAAGATGACAACTTTGATGGCGAAAGATAATTTTGGCAAATGACTATGAGATTTAGGGTTTTGTTGGGCTTTGATTGGGAAGCAAGTGAAGCAGAAGAATCGGGAGAGATTTGTGGGAAGTGGGGTTAGAGGACCTTTATCGAAGGAGAAAAGTATAAGTTTGAAATTAGCAAGCCATGCGAGGAAAAAGGCTGTGATTAAAGATAAATGCACAGAGGAGAAAAGCAGAGGAAGAACAAGAAACAGAGCAAGAACGGGGAAAACAGAGAGTAATCGAGGAACACCAGATTTGATTCTGGGTGGTAAGTAGTAACAATAAGATATGGAGATTATTGCACAAAACCATACTTTGATCAAGCTCTTGAGTTCTTCCTCCATCTCTCAGATCTTTCTTTGTGCTGGTGAGTTTTTGGTAATCAACGAGGTTTTAACTTGGCTGTTTGTTTGGTATTGATTTGTTGTCTTTTAATGGTATGGTACTATGGTTAAATGTTTTATGGAGGCAGTAGCATCGACTACGTAGAGTGGGTTGTATTATTAGTATTAAATTCAAAGAAGACCATTGATATCGAGTACATGGGCTAGTTGTTGAGAGCAATTGAGTGTGAGTAATTAATGGTTGGAAAATCTTGAACCAACAAATAGTGAGAAATATCTTTACATTTTACCCACAAAAAAAAATAGTGAGAAATATCTCCCATAGGACGAGAGTCGGAGAATTGGGGTCTAGTGAAGATGGATTTAGGTTTCGTGTAACATCACACTTTGATACGATTAAGCCCTAGTTAGAATCAAAATTGTACGCACTACAAAGTACAAAATTTAAGAGGTCCATCAAGGTATTGGGCCGATGGGTTGGCGGGTTTGAATTGTATTATTTGTTCAACAACAATTTGAAAAGGAAAAATAAAATTTTAGTTTAGCGATAGATTAATTTGAGGGCACATTATATTGACGCCAAGGATTTTTTCTTTTTCTTAGTCTAGACTATAGCCTGTCTCTCATGCAAAACATTTGGAGTTGTTTATTATTTTTTTTTTTTTTTGTAAAAGGATATAGATGTTCAAAATTTAGCGACAAATATATATATATATATATATATATAACTTCTCACAAATTTAAAATTTAAATCTTTTAACAGAAACTTCACATAATTTTTTAATCTAAAACAACAAAAAATGGATTGGACGGCAATATTATTATAGCGCAAATCCATTGCCATTAATTGCCAGATTTTGTTTTCGTTCAAATGTTAGTCTCGCTCTTACTAATACGGTCACAGCACTAAGTTTTATAATCGCATCTTCATGCACACACGTAAGCCATTCCCTATTTTAGTCACATGTTTCCGCTCGTATAATCTTTTGCGGTTATGAAGACATGATGAAGCTATCTTCGATTAGAACATACTCCCAAAATTTACTAGATATCTTCTCAATTGAAAAGGTTTTGTTTTCTTATGAGGAAAGTCTAGCGATTTTTAGTCCTGGTACTATTGAATAGCCGGTTTGTTAAAAAAATATACCGACCTAAGAGTATCATTATCGGTAATACCCATATGGGTCTCTTAAAGCATTATTTAATATTATTTTGTGTTTAAAAACTTAAATAAGAAACCTAATGATTTTTGCTCTGTATTGGCAGAAACCCAAATGGATTCCTTTTCTCCACGACATATTTTTCTCCACGACAGACTGAAAGCTCAAACACTAAATCTCAGCCCATCTCCTTGAACTCTTAAAGATTATTCTTGTATACCAGAAATGCAGCAGATACATAGCAAAAGCAAAACCCTTCTCATAAACAAAGACGATTCATTTCTAAAATCTTCAAAGTAACACAAGAGATTGTAAAAACTGAGACCTTAGACATATTTGCTTCGTCTTCTACAATCAACAATCCAGAAACCTAGCCAGAAGGCACCAAGAACTCAACAGCAATGGTGGAATCGAGACAATCACGAACCTTTTCTTTCTACGAATTCACCAACTTCGTATGAGAATCCACAGATTCCAATTCAGCTAGATCCTTGAAAAACGCAATCAACGCAATCGAGAAACCTTTTGCTTGGGCCGGCGAGAAGTTTTTCCCAACAGTGATCTGACCAATCCCTGGAAATTTTTCGTCAAGCCCTTTGATCAAATCCAGAATCTCCGATTTTGCCTCGTCGGGGATACTCTCTTTCAGTTTAAGGAAAGTGATTTTGACGACGGAGCCAGAAGGCGAAAGAAGTTTATTACCTATCACAACCATACTCTTTGATTACACGACCAGAGATGATACAGAGAAGAAGAGATTGATTCAGGAGAAAGCGAGAACAAGAAAATGAATTTGATCGTCGAAGCTTGAAAAAAATTTCTTCTCAATTTCTCAACCCAATCAAGTATTGACAAGTGACAAGAAGAAACGTTTTTTTAAGTTCTCAAATAAGAAACGTTTCTGAAGAAATTTTTTTCATTTGATTATATTTAATCGTAAATATTCTTAAAAGACCGGGTTGGATACCGCGATAATGATGGCCTAATAAATCTAGTGCGTAAAAGAAGAAGCAGGTATACTCTAAAGAACTCCGCGATGGATGCAAGATTTTTCTCGATTATAAGATTATTAGGTTTTCTACTGTGATCTAGTCATATAGAACATATCATTGATTTGTATATATGCCTTTATTAATTATGGTTAGAATTTGCTGTTTGTATTTTTGTGAACTCTGGGTGTTTGAATCTCATTAAAAAAAAATATAAAATTCAAAGTTATGAAAATGTGCATAGTTGGTTTTCAAATCAGTGTTAAGTGGTAACATAAATTTTTTTTATAAAAAATCTATAATTAATTTGCAAAATAATCTATTCTATTATCAATCATTGACTAATCGAGTGGGTGATACCATTAGACACATAATCTCTCTTTAGTTTACTTCGGAGATTCAGCAAAAGTTACATGATTTGATTCTTTAGCTACAATAAACATAAATCAACAGTTTTAGCGAATTTTTTTCATCCAAATGTAAGAAAACACTTGTGCCTGGAGAAATCAATGGAAAAAAGGGCTTCGTTAGAGAGTCTCTCGATCATACCACTCCTTGTGAGCTGAGGGAAAAACAACCAACCACCGGTCACAACCACAAACACCAACGTCAGCAGTCGTGAAACCATCAGATTCATCTTCCACCGCCGCACAAAGCTCGTCCTTTTCGCAGCTACTTCCACGGCAGTGCAAGCTCCATGTAATACAAAGAACCAAGTGACTTCTCCTGTAGGTGACTCACGGGTAAAATAGAAGAAAATCAACTCGTGAACTGCGCCGGAGACAAGAAAAGTGGCGAGAACTCCCAAGAACAAAGCTTGATCGGAGTTCACTTTCCGCTCGGTGATTCGTCGTACCGGTAGGTATATGGCCGGACGGAGGATCGCCGGGACCATGAGGTTCCACCGGTGACCCCAGAAGTCTTGAAGAGAGGTGGCTAAGTATGGTTCATTGAACTGCGGCTCAAGGTCGCAGCCAAGAGCGATACTGAGCAGAAGTTTAATGGGAGCTAAGAGAATCTCAAACTCCAAGTATACATGAAGACAATGAAGAAATAATAGCACAGTCGGAGACAGATAGTGTTTGTAATCATAAGTATGCAACAACACACCAAAGATCGCAACTTTAATGGGAAATACCCATTTGGGCAATTGGTTTTGGGATTTAGGGTTTTGTTGACGCTTGATGGGGAAGCAAGCGAAGCAGATGAAGTGAGATATATTAGGGGGAGCTGGGAAAAGAGGACCTTTGTCGAAGGAGAAGAGGATGAGCTTGAAATTGGCCAGCCATGTGAGAGAAAAAGCAGTGAAACCAGTGAAGTGAACAGAGGAGAAAAACAGAGGAAGAACAAGAAACAGAGCACAAACAGGAAGAACTGAGAGTAATCGAAAGACTCCAACTTTGATTCTGGTTGATAAGTAGTAACAATAAGATACGGAGATTATTGCTGAAACCCAAACCTTGATGAAGTTCTTGAGCTCTTCCTCCATCTCTTTCGATCTTCTTTTTCTTTTCCAACTACCGAGGTTTTGACTGTACTGTACATACAATAATTGGATGAATTATCTAGAAAATTGACAATTTGATTGGACACATTGTTGGAAGAACCAATTTTCTTTCTCTAAATAATTTTTTTTTCTATACTCTTTTCAAAATTAAGAAACTATTTTCAGATTTTGTTTTTTGTTTGTTCGTGTCAACTATTTTCGGATTTGGTATTTAGTTTTTTCAAATCTTTTTTTTTTTTGGATTAGGATTTGAAATCTCAAGTTTCATGTTTGATTTCTAACACTATACAGAACCTCTCTTTAGTTTTATCTGAAAAATCAAAAATAAATCCAGCTGTAGAGTTTAGAAAACATAAATCCATGTGTTTGGAATTGATATTCCCTATGTTTATGAAATGACTTATTATATCTCTGTGCAATCAAAAGGGGTCTAACTTGATCCAACTTGTAGAGGGATTTAAGAAACAATGTAGAACATAGTGGGAAAAAAATCTAATAATAAATATCATGCTGACTGTAGAGACTTAAAAAAGTAACATCTAATCAGTTTTAAATTAGTTTAGGAGGCAATAATTCTTCAGCACCCACTCCATCTTAAACGAGATATATTAAATTAAAAAAAAGGGAAGACCAAAAACAAAATTCAAAGAGACAAGAAAGAGTCTTCTTAAACATAAGTTTTAATAATCGAGGTTTCTTGAAAATTGATCATTTCATCGACTAGATGATAGACGTTTCCAAGATTTGACATCTACAGTAGATGATCTACTCAACCTATGAATCACATAACCACAAAGTAACATGAATTGATAAATCCATGATTCATGGTTCTGCGATATATTAAATCACCAAAAAGTAAAAAACTTGAGCTTGACAAAATCAATGGACAACAAGGCTTCGTTAGTGATTCTCTCGAACAAGCCATTCCTTACAAGAGGAGGGAAAAACAACCAACCACTCGTCAAAACCACAAACCCTACCGTGATCGGTCGAGAAACCAACGGACTCATCTTCCACCGCCGCACAAAAGTCAGCTTCTTCACCGCTACTTCCGCCGCCGTGCAAACTCCATGTATCACAAAGAACAAAGTGACCTCTCCCGTAGGCATCTCACGTGTACCATAAAAGAATATCAGCTCGTGAACTGCACCGGAGACGAAAAACGTGGCCAAAACCGCCAGTAACCTAGCCTGATCAGAGCTCAATTTCCGTTTTGCGATTCGCTGCACCGGCTCGTAAACGGCTGGCCGGAGGATCGCCGGGACCATGAGGTTCCACCGACGACCCCAGAAATCTTGTAGAGAAGTGGCTAAGTATGGCTCATTGGATTGTGGCTCAAGATCGCACCCAAGAGAGATAAAGACCAAAACTTTGACGAGCATTAAGAGAATCTCGAGTTCTAAGTATATATGCAGAGAGTAAAGAACCAATAGCACAGTCGGAGACAAGTGTTGTTTGTAATCGTAGATATGTAGCAACACACCAAAGACGGCGACTTTAATGGCGAAAACCCATTTGGGGATCTGATTTTGAGATTTAGGGTTTTGTTGAGGCTTGATGGGGAAGCAAGTGAAGTAGATGAATCGGGAGAGGTTTTGGGGAAGTGGGAAAAGAGGACCTTTATCAAAGGAGAAGAGGATGAGTTTGAAATTGGCGAGCCATGTGAAGAAAAACGCTGCGGCTCCAGATAAGTGAAGGGAGGAGAAAAACAGAGGAAGAAGAAGAAACAGAGCAACAACCGGGAGAACAGAGAGTAATCGAAATACACCAGCTTTGATTCTGGTTGATAAGTAGTAACAATAAGATACGGAGATGATTGCAGAAACCCAAACCTTGATCAAGTTCTTGAGTTCCTCTTCCATCTCTCTAGATCTTCTTCTTCTTCTTTCTTTCTTTCCAATCAATTTTGACTTTATTTTGGTTATTATATGTCTTTAAAATAATCGGATAAAAATCATCCACGTACTATTTTTAAATTTGGGGAAATTTGATTTGACAGCTACACACATTGTTAGGAGATTCGCACTGTCGGACATATGAACCTGTTTCTCAACTTTAATGGTATCTCTACTATCCAAGAGATAAGGAAAGAAATGTGATATTCATTAAGCAACAACAAAAAAGATATTGGGCTATTCAGGTCTTATTGTATTTGACCCACATCGTTAAAGTAGATCTGAATATGAGACAAATAAGACTTGAATATGGCCCAATAAAAGAAAAAAAAATAAACAAAGAGATAAAAATTAAAAAAAAAAGAAAAAGAAAGAGATTTCAACTGAGAAACGGGAGAATACATAATCATCTCAATTCCCAAGGGGAAAAAATATTATATTTCATTTTTTATCAAAATTTTTTATTGAAAATGCGTACACACATGTTGCCAACAAAAAAAAAAGGTAAAAATGTGGATGGTCGTATTTGACAGCTCTTATCATGAGTAACTCTCAACAGTCAAAAGCTCTCTCGGTTTTCAGACAGAATGTTTTGTGATTTTTGCACATCTTCACTAATTGTCTAATCATATAATTTCACACAACAATATCTCCATTCAAAATTTTAATTTTTGTTTTCTGATTTTTTAAATATCATTGAATTTTGCTATTGTACTCCTTATTAATACAATATATACAACTTTGTATGTTTAAGCTAAAGTAATATGAATAACGGGAACTTTGTTTAGAATCTACTACTCCCTCTGTTTCATTATAGTTGATTTTCTGAATATTTGTACACAGATTAAGAAAGTTATAAAGGCTCAATTATTTGCTGTTTATTTTGTTTAATTAGGTTACTTTTACAACTAATTTCATTACTTTTATTAGTATTACTGGTTTTTACTTCAATCTGGACTTTTCATCTCCTCTCTTTTAATTAATGCTTACAATTAATAAGTTTTGTAAAGCAATATGCATTAATATAATTCATTCAACTTAAAGAAAAGGTGTGCATTAATTAGATGTAGGAAATCAAATATTATGAAACAAGAAAAAAAACCTAAAAAATCAACTATAATGAAACAAAAGGAGTATTTTCCACAAAAAGGTGACAGAAAGTATTAATTGTACATCCATTTTCCATTTTGCTTATTCTCTTTTCTTTTAATAACACTGTTCATATTACATTTTGACCAATCTAGGCGCTAATTTTTATCTCGACCAAATTTATAACGCATGGGTAAGTTCTTGCTCGAGCTTTGTCCAGTCTCTACTTCCCAAGTGTATGGCCTACTTTTTTTTATCGATAATAACGATGAGGATAACAAGAAACGCTTCTTCAGATATCTATAGACGTTACATTAAAATGCGAACAACTTGCAGCTTGACAACGTCGATAACAAACAAACATTCACTAATCAGTCTCTTATGCACATCATTTCTAAGCACTTGAGGGGTAAACAACCAACCGGACGTAACGAGCACAAACGCCGAAACCACAAAACCCGAGACCGCCCGATGCAGCGGTGGACACAACCGCATCCTCTTCACCGCTACCTCCGCAGAAGTTGCAACTCCATGCAACACAAAGTAACAAGTGACTTCCCAAGTTGGAGGTTTACGGACAAGGTAAAAGTAAATCAGCTCATGCATTAACCCGGAGACAAGAAACGTGGCCAACATTCCAGCATAAAAAGACCGGTTTGGACCGATTAACCGAGCCGTAAATCGCTGAACCGGGATGTGAACGGTTGGACGGAGAACGGATGGGACCATGAGGTTCCATCTACGACTCCAGAAGTCTTGTAAAGAAGTAGCTAAGTAAGGCTCATTGAAGACCGGTTCGATTTCACAACCAAGAAGCGTAGAGAGCAAGGCACCGACGAAGACTAAGATAAATTCTGACTCAAGGTAGAGATGGATGGTAAACATAACCAAGAAAGCGAACGGAGGTAAACTGTTATGATAATTGTCACCGTAGAGATGTAATAAGAAGGAAAAGATCATAACTTTGAAAGCAAGAACCCATCTAGGCATAGGTTTGTTGTAGATTCGATTTGATGAAGAAGGGTTTTGATTGGTTTTGATGGGGAAACAGGTGAAGCAGAAGAAACGGAAGAGATTTGAAGGAAGTGGGCTTAAAGGTTCTTGATCAAAAGCGAAGAGAAGGAGCTTGAAGTTTGCGAGCCATGAGAGGAAAAAAGCTGAGATGACGCAGAAGTGGACAGAAGATAGGAAGAGAGGAATAAGAAGAAAGATGATGAAGATTGGAAGAAGAGAGAGGAGACGAAGGAAACCTTTGGAGATTTTTGAAGAGATGTAGTAACAGTATGATATGGAGATATAGGCAGAGATCCAAACCTTGATTAGATTTCTCAACTCTTCTGTCATCTCTGTTTCTGTCTCTCTCTTCTCGGTTCTGTGGGTTACTAATTGTGTGCAGCATGCAACCTATATACAACAATATCCACAAGAAATGAAAATTGTCAAAATCCATAAATTTTGACAGAAGGTTCACATTTGTCAAGTTTGGGTTAATTCTATATATTTTTTTATTATTTATTAAAAAATATAACAAATATAAAAGGTTAACAGTTAGAGGTTTTATTTTTTTCCTGTGTTTCAATTGATATTGAAATTGAAGTGAAATGTTGTATTATTCAACCTACTAATGATTCTGAATAACATATATAGTATTTGAACAAATGATTTTCTCTAGTAAACAAAAAAAAGAAACAAAAAATTTTAGAGAAAGAAAATTCTGTGTGTTATCTTAGAAAAAGCTTTCGGATTCTCGAAAGATCTATATTTAGTATTGCTGACATTATTAATTCAAAGAAATTCAAATAGATTGAAATGTATACGTCAAATACTTTGGCGGAGTCTGTTTTGTTTTAATTCTCGTAACAGATAAACTTTAACTTCGATATCTGGCAAACTTATATAGGCTTATGAAAAACAATGCTACCTTTCCATCTTTGGAGGTTCTTTAACAAAAAAAACGTGTTCTTGACTTCATGAGGTTTCTTAAATTCTGCGAACCATATTATTACATTTGTGGCGCGTGATCCAATTTAATCTCATGTTAAAGATGTTTCTCACTTGGAAATCGCTTTACCGCACACAATACAATATTGAATTGAGACAACAAGAACGTAAATTAAGAAGAAGCAAAATGTTTTGTCAAATTCAATTATGAAATCAAGCTAGTAACTTCTAAATGCGTTTTCACACATTGAAGAGAATTTCTAAGTTTGGTTGCTTTGCTAATAGTATTAGTATATATATGTATAACAAAATGGATCATGAAGAAGAAATAAACAACTTGCGTTTGGCAAAATCAATAACCAACAAACATTCACTAATCGCTCTCTCATGAACATTGTTTCTGAGCAGTTGAGGAAGGAATAACCAAACGCCTGTCACGCTCACAAACACCAGAACCGCCAGACCCGAAACAGCCCTGTGCGGTGGTCTCCACCGCAATATTTTCTTCACCGCTATCTCTGTGGCGGTGGCAACACCGTGCAACACAAAGAAACAAGTAACCTCCCAAGTTGGAGGCACACGGATTACGTAAAAGTAGATGAGCTCGTGCATCAGACCCGAGACAAGGAACGAGGCCATGACCCCGACTAACACAGCTGCGTCTGGACCGAGAAAGCGTGAGGCAAAACGCTGGACCGGCTTGTGGACGGTTGAGCGTAGGACAGCAGAAACCATGAGGTTCCATCTACGGCTCCAGAAGTCTTGTAGAGAGGTGGCTAGGTAAGGCTCATTGAACACTGGCTCGATGTCACACCCGAGAAGAGTAGATAACACAGCCCCGACTAACACCAAGAAAAGTTCCACCTCGAGGTAGATATGGAGGCAATAGAGAGCCAAGACAACGAACCGAGGCAAACCGTCGCTGTATTCATAGACACGTAACAAGCCGCCAAAGACCAAAACCTTGAGAGCCAAAACCCATTTAGGCAAAGGCTCATTCTTACGATGAAGATTCTTGATCGCATTTGGAGAACGGTTTTGACTGATTTTGATGGGGAAACAAGCGAAGCAGATGAAACGGGAGAGGTTTGAGGAAAGTTGGCACAAAGGTCCTTGATCAAAAGCAAAGAGAAGAAGCTTGGAATTTGCGAGCCATGAGAAAAAAAGAGCTGAAATGCCGCAAAAGTGCACAGTAGAGAGGAACAGAGGAAGAACAAGAAACAGAATGCAGACTGGAAGAATGGAGAGGAGACGAAGAACACCTTTGGCGATTCTAGATGATATGAAATAACAATAACAGATGGAGATTAAGGCAGAGATCCATACTTGGGTTAAGTTTCTCAACTCCTCTCCCATTTCTCAGATCTGTCCTTTGCCCAATTCTGCGCAACTACTGATTGACGTGGTCCAAGTATTGAAATATCACCACAAAATCTGAGATAAAATCTAAAAAGACAATAGGAAGCTGGCACTTTTTATTATTATTAAACAGAATCAAAAAGGCCCACTAGCAAGAAATATGAGTGGAAGAGAAAAGCTATAGATTTCTTTCTTCTTCTAAGCGTCCTACAGCTTTAGAGAATAGGTCTAAACTAAACTAATGTTACAAATACAAGGAAAATGAGAGCTGGTCTAGTCGTCAAGCCAACCGCCAGATCTACCAATATAAGGGTAGTTCGGACCAGGGGCAAAACCCAATGGACTCATCCCAAAGTCTCCAGGTGGTGGCGGTTGCAGCGGAAAGCCTGGAGAATCATAGATTTTGTCTCCACTAGATTGCATTGGAGGCTGAGATGGGAAAGAGCTCATCCTCTGGTAATTCATTTCATCAAAATGAGGCGCATAACGTTGTTGCAACGAAAAGGAATTGTCCGTCAGACTTGGAGGAGGAGGTGCTAACATGGGGTCCAAGTGCCCACCATACTGCTGTGGATACTCTCTCGGACCAAGCCCTCTGTTGAGGTCAGAGTATCCTCGGTAATCAAACACCTCGTTAGGACTATTCCTCAGAGATGGGGCCAGTGAAAACTGGTCCGGAATTAAAGGAGGATCCGGGATTCTGTAGTCTCCACCAAAACCACCATACTTAGCAGCAAGACCATCGTCGAAATGGGATAAAGTTGCACCATAAGATTGTTCAAACGCTTCACATGGTTTCTCACCCGTATTAGCTGGTGATAGACGAGCAGTGTAGATGTCGTCCTCTCTAGAAGATCTTGCAGAGCTCGTCGGCCGATTTCGCATCTCTTCAGGTTTTCTACTGCCCTGCACTCTACGATCGTGTTCTCTAATATTATTTCCCAAGTTACTTTTTGTCCTTGTTATTGAAGGCAGAGATGCTTCTACAGACTCGTGAGATCTTTGTGGTGTAGTATTGGATATTGATGTGCAGACGGCATATATATCATCTGAAGAAGACCTCGCAGGACTCTGCCAATCAGATGTCGTCTCAGGGATATTTACTTCGATGCTCTCCGGTCCTCTATTCAACTTTCCTCGGTCATCTCCCATGTCACTGTTCTTCCAATCCACCGACTTCCCAAGCATCCTACCAGCGGAGTCTTTAGTCTTTTTCTCCTTTTCCAGCTGACTTCTCCTTGACAAGTGATCTGACTGATGATTTACACATGCTACAGTTTCCCGTGGTTCGATTTTCTCAGAGACCAGAATCTTATTAACACAATCAGCTACCTCAAGTTCATCTATTTCCATAGGAACATCCTCACCATTTTCAAATGCACCATCTCTCGTCACAGAATTATTATCACATATGCCATCAGAAGCTCCAAGTGGATACAAAGATATGTTTGCTTCTTCTTCAATTTTCTTTAACTTTGAGCTCCCCACATCGCTAGACAAATGGTTATGCTTTTCCGCTATTTCCTTGTGCTTGGCTGCAAAATCAGACCGACTCCAGAGAGAAAGCGGCGGTGAAACATTATTCCAGCTGTCCTCTAATTGTTTGTCTTCTTCATTGACAGATCCAGGGACGTAAAATGACTGCAGCAAATAAACAAGAAGCAAATTTTAACTGAAACTTAAGAAAGGCTCAAAGAGGAGGGAGGGAGGGGGACGCGGATAATTTACCTTTCCAGCTACGATGGCTGCATCCTCCCATATAAGCACATAAGATTTTTTATCTAACCTGTTGAGAAAAGTGACAGAATTAACTAGAGAGACAGAGAGAGAGAGCGAGGAATTATTTTAGTGTTCTGACAAGTACAGAAACCTTTCAGTCTCGGGAGGAACAATGAGGATGAGAATTTTTGGCCGAAACTCAAGAGCCTTAGCAATAAACGAGTTTGCAAGAGAAGCCTTGACTCCAAATGGCGGATTTAGCCCCATAATCTGATCAAAATGCCAAATATATATAAATAATCAGATACTACTAAAACTATTTCCAGGAAACAGGAGCATACACGAAATTCAGATTAAAAGAGAAATCTTACCAGCCTTTCACCAGGTGCCAATCCCAAATCCTCTTTCCTCGCAGCCAGCCAATCTCTTTTCTCAAAACAGAAATCATTCTAAAAGTAAAAGAAATAGTTCAATGAGTAATCCTAGATGACTAGTAAGACTTTACAACTCACGATGATAGCAGGTGCACAAGTCATTACCTTCGCTGGAAAAAGATCGTAATTTTTATAAAAACACTTCTTGCCCGTTTCTTCAAGCTTCACTTTCATCTGACAGCTAAAGTCATTAGCACCACAACAAAAGTCGACAATCTGTTGGAAGAGATACCAGAAAACAGACATCATTCTTTCTGCACAAGATCATACTTCAGAAAAAAAATTAAGAGAAATAAACAAAATAACAGAACTAAACCCTAAGAGATAACGTTCGCGAGGAAATCTCACCATATCACCATCTTCTGCATACCAATGGAGCCTATCTACAATCTGCATGACAAGGTAATAATAAGGTCTGATCAGACATCAAGTTTCAGATACAGGAGTTAGAAAGAGTGTAAACCCAATATTTTCGCACTAGTCATGCAGGTGACAGAAAGTATAAAACTAACAGCCTAATAATCAACGCAGAAGACGGAGCCAGTAAGTCGCTAATTCAAAAGACGTTAACAGCCTACAATTCAACAAATCCTTTCTCCTTGACAATTATTCTTTCAGCTGTCGACTTCAATTTTAAGTGTGAACTGACTATCTTTACAGGATGTAACATAAATTATGCTTTTGAAAGGATTGACTACCTGTTGAAGTTTGTCGGGTTTTGTAAAATGACGACCAAAGGAAGAATAGCGTGCACCATGGAGAAAAGGAGCAAGATAAACTTTGAGCTTATCCTGAAGCAAAATAAACAAACATCTAGAGGATTAACAAAAAAATACTAGTTGCAAGCAGAGATTAAAAAACTGATGTAGAAATATCTTTTCTTCGACAGTATAAACAGTAGGAAATGATCTACAACAGACAGCTACTGCCATGTCTAAAAAGCTAAGGGTCGGACCTTCCACTTGACGATTTGGCTCAGAAGATCTGGCTCACAAACTGCTATTGCATCCTCAATGTTTCCTCCTTCCTCAAGCTTTTTTAGTGCTGTTCGGACAGCCTATAGAAACAAAGTTTGAGGAGTCATTAATAAAGCGCTAAGAGTAGCCAGATAGGGATCGGGTTCAGCTTTTCAGCCCACCTGAACTGAGCCCTCTACCTTCCCCATAGTGATCGTCTTATTCACAACATTCGTTGAGGAGCTTTTATACGTAGATGGACTTTTGTATTTCTTTAATATAGTTTCCATAGTTATTTCGTCTGAAGCTTTTTTCATTATCACCAAGAGCCTACATTGGTGAAAGCGAATAGACTTATTAATAAATCCTAAACATATTTTACAGGAAAAAAAATGAAACTGAAATCTTACCTCCTTTGAGAATCATTGTCTAATGTAGGAATTTCACTTCCTGGCTCCCTCGAGGCAACTGAGTCAGTCTTATTATTGTGTTTGCTATCAACTGAAACCAAGCTCCGAGGCTTTACTATGTTAGGTTCCTGCATGTAATTAAACAATCTTTCACCCAGTGAAGCTTTGCTTGCCTCTTTCACTCCCAGCTTGTTTTTTCCAGCTTCATGTGGTTCATTCACTTTCAATTTCTTTCTGCAAGCTTCACGGGACTCTCCAGATCCCATTATCTTCTGGGATTTGTTTGGCACCAAGTTAGACTTTCTGAATGGATCAACTTCCTTCCGTTTCCTCAAATGATCTGGTACAGACGACACTAATCCATGCTTTTTTGTCGAGACACCATCTTTTGAAGAAGGAAACGAATTTCTAAATGATTTTACAGAAGCTTTTCCATAGGTGTCTCGTGAGGCAAGATCCTTAACCTTAGGTCTCGCTTGGTCTCTTCCCACATGTGATTCCAGTATCTTTCTTTTCTCTGTCGTGAAAAGCTTCTTCTCCTCAGTATAAGGAAATCTAACATGGTCCCTAACCGGTGTCCCAAGCTCTTCATCTATCTCATGTTCTCTAGGCAAGCCAAATCATTCAAAATAAGTGTCTCATGCTAAGTCTAAGTTTGTATTCCCACATAAGATACATCATAAAAATATCTTACTCGCAATATATGAGTACACGGTTGTTTAGGAGACCATCCCACGCCCTTGTCAATATATCATCGTCCTCAATATCTTCAAAAGAAATTTCCCTAGAAACCAACAAGACAGTTATTCAAATATTCTAGAGTTGCAATAGTAAATAAATGACTAATAATGAAGGCTTACCGCGGCAGGCATTTTCTGTGGTAGGACTTTGGACAACGCCGGCATACAGCAAATTGCAAATTAGAGTCAGTCTTAACCTCTCCGTTTTCACAGACACTGCATTTGTGCAGTGGGCATGTAAACTCTCCTGCAATGATTTGCCTCTCTAGTGCTTCAGCCTCTGCTTTATTTCCTAGACCTAGTCGTTTTGTAACACAACTAGGATGGTAAAAGTAGCCGCAGGTGGCTGACACGCATTGGAAAACCTACGCACATGTTTAAAATTAAGTGCAAAGGTCATCCAATTAGTTGACAGTCACCATAATCAACAAAACTCGTCTGAACAGCATTTAACGTTAGAGATCAATAATTTCATACCTTTGCTTCCCCAGTAGAGTTATCAGAGGAGCTAAGCTTCTTGCAAATAAAACAACTATGAATTTTATGCTCACAGTTTGGGCAATAGTATTTCTGAATTTCCTGGAAAATAATCCATAAACAATAATAACATTAACTCCATGCCTACTCAAGGCAGGCGAAAGTTTTAAAAGGATAACCATACCAAAATGTTTAGAAAATTGGACAAGAAAACCAAGACGCTTAGAAATATTCAACTCTAATAAGAAAATATTATATAGGACATACTTCCACTTGCATTTTGGTAAAGCCAAGAGAACCACAAAGTGAGTCTTCACCATCTTTTTTGGTAGCATGGAATGATCTCAGGCAGCTTCCTTCACAACTGTACAAACCATAAAACAAGACTCATGCATCTGATGCAGTGTAATAACAGCACATAACATGGAATAAAAACAGTGGATGACTTTTCTAGGCCTCAATTGTCTCAAACGTCCAATTCTGCATTTTTAGTTTTTCTTAAAAGTTTTTTTGCAAAAGAAATGCAAACGCAAACGGAAGGGACATTTGAGCTTCATATTAACAAAGGAATTTGTTTAGGATAAATAATCAGAGGCCTTATTCTTATAAAGAAGTAAAAGGTGAAAGACTTATTCTGATCTGCAAAGAAATTCCAGAGAAAATGAAACTACATGATCAACATCCAACAAGGAAACATACCATAAAAGGTCGCCACCATTGTCACACATTGCACACACAGACTCAAAAAAATCATCATCGTCATCATCCGAGTCATCTTCATCGGAAGCTACAACAGAGTCATCTCCAACTATGAAATCATCCTTTGGATTGTCCTAATAAAATATAGCAAGTTCTTAGCAGAAATTAAAACCGTGTGAAAGTAAGGGAAAAAAAGGGACATGAGGACAAAGTGTACTCAAATGGAAAAATAATTCGAACCTCATCAGGTAATCTCTTTTTGGAAGGCTTCTTTGCGAGAAATGCAAGTATAAACTAGTCATACAAGAAAGAAAAACTCCACAAAATTAGGAGAGACTCAGGGTAAGAAGATGATACATATACAGAAAATATTCATGCCAGAAAGCGAAGAATACTCTTGATAACAAATATGGGCATCACAAACTCAGGAAACAGAAACTACAACACCTATACGAGATTTGATGGCCTTGTCTAAATCAAACATCTCACAGACCAGAAAGTCAGCTAATTCTCCTTACTAACCTTCGATTTCGCCAATTTTCCATCTCGTTTAACAGCTTCAGCGATTAGATCAATGTGATCCACCAAATCATTCTGCGATGGCTTCACGTCAAATGCCCTACAAATAACATCCAAACACAGGGTGTTAAAATCAAAAAAGAATGAAAATTACCCGAGAGAGGACCAAAAGAGATGAAAAGAGTCAGTCAATCACTTGGAAATCTTAGATAAATGCTCCCAGAGAGATTTATCCGAAGCTTGAGGATTCCTCCTAAGAAACTGAAGGGATTGCACGGTTATGAAAACACTTCTTATCAATTCGGCATAGCTCTTCCTCGGCTTCTCAAGCTTAATCCATATGTTGTCTCTGCCAAGAACAGAAATCTCCGGTCTGAAGTTGGAAAGGTCGAATCTCCAAGCCTTAACACGCTTATGCAGAGTCAAAAGACCATTATCTGATGTTCCTCGCAAGTAAAAACCAGCTGCACTTCCATCCACTTTCTCCTTCTCGCTCCATTGAATTGGCAGACGCGCAAACGACACAGGTATCTTATCATCATCTTCAAAATAATAATTCGAAGCTGATTGAGGAACAGATTCTTCCTCTTCATCATCATCAACGAACGCCATCAATTCCAAATTTCCCTGACCTAATGACGTTCCAAAATATGGGGGAAGCAAAAAAACACAACAGAAACGATCCCAATTAATCAATGCAAGGGTTATTCTCCATATACAAAACGCTAGAGAAACATAATGTTGAACCGGAAAACGTAAAGGGGAAATTCCAAAATTACACCTTTCTCCTAAACCCTAAAGCAAATCAGAAATTCGAAATTCGAATTAGTGTTCGTCTTATGAGACCAAGAAACATAAACTGGAGACGGAGTCCTGAAAACCCGAGAAACAGAAGAACGAGAAAAAGACTACAGATGACGAAAACCCAGAATATATTTCGGGAAAAAAATGAAAAAGTTCCCAAAGATTCGTATATCAAAAAGGATGAGAAATTGTGACAGAGAAATGAATTAGCGATCACGAATTAGAAGAAGAAGCAAAACCTTTCAGAATTCTCCTCTCTGTTTCTTCTTTTCTCTCAGGATACTGATGCAATCGAACTCGTCAAAAAGAGAGCAAAAAGTATAGTCACAATGGGAACAGAAGAGATGACAATTTTTTGTTTTTATATATTCCCGTACGTGTGCGCACGCGCTAAAAGAAGTGGGCCTGTTTGGGTGTCAAGCGAGCCCAGCGATAATTTCCTTTCCAAAATAAGTGACTGACGTTAAAACAAAACTATGCAAAAATTCAAGCGCCTTGCTCTTGTAGCTCGTCCGGTCCGTGAAGGCATTTACAAATGCTACACGATACTTGTTCGAAGCTCGAGCAAGGCAGGCGAGAGAGAGAGAAAGTAAAAGAACACAATGACAAACAACAACAACAACAACATTGTTAAGCCATAACCATTTGAGGTATTCTAAAATACCTCTCTTTTTTTCCGAGAAAAGAACAAAAATATATATATCTTTGAAAATGAGAAAATCTTTCTGTTAGTGACACGCAGAATAATACAGTGTATGTATTTTTAACATCAGCACAATCATATTTTTCCTGAAAATAAAATGAATATTGAATACAATGACATTTTAGTGTACTTCACAAAAAGTTTTCCGATTTTTTTTTTTACTTTAAATGTTTCCTTTTTATAGTGTAACTTAACAGAATATTATTTTTATTAACACACTGAGCAGATGTGAAATTATTACAAAGCAAAACTCTGTTCCGGCAAGATATTTCAGTCTTGTGGCTCTATTCAATGGCTGCTTCCTCCGAGACGGAGGTAATATCAGACAAAATGTCTGCGTCATTGTCTTCTTCGATGGTTAGGCTCGAGACTTCTCCGTTTAAGGAAGAGACTTCGTCTTCTCCGTTGACAGATGGAGCTGGTGAAGCATCAGTGCTCGTACACGTCGTGGTTGTGCTGTGAGTAGATGACGTATCCGAACTCGAACTCTCTGAGGATGATGATTGTTTCTGAAGACTCCAATACATTATACTTGCCGTTAAGATCAATATCATCTTTTGATTCACCTGTGCATTACAACATCGAATCCCCATAAATAAGAGACATCAAAAACCTCAGATATGTGTTGTGTCCAAGCATCGGCTGTTTTCGGAAAATTTAGATGCTGTTTTTTTGTACCTCTACTATATCTTCGGGTAACAAGAAAACCGAGCAACCGAGCTTTCTTGCTACGCTGACAGTGTATGTAGCATTCAATCTCTTCTCATCGTCTGTAAAATAGCCAAAAAGAACATTTAAGCAAATCGCGGTTTAAACAGAGAGGAGAGAGAGTGAAGAGGAAAGTTTAGTTAGAGAGAGAGAGAGTAGTAATGGACCTGATTCACCCTTGGTGACAAGGTTCCAGTTAACAACTCTTGGCTCAACCGCCCATAGAAGATCTAGGAAGAATAATCCGCTCGACAAACTCTTATCCTATTGAAGTTTAGCAAGAGAGATTTGAGTCAACATAAGCTTGCTTGTTCAGTGGATTCTCTAGTTTTGATTAAAGTAAAAAGATGGAACCTTGAAGCTTTCGATCTGTGATTTCCGTCCCATGATTCTGACTTTCCTGTTTGCCCAGCTCAGGATTTCTGTGTCAGTCATGTCTTTTTCTCGCGTCCGAGTTCGAAGATTTTTGAGAAGTTGGAGCATATGGGTTCTCATCAACTGCCATAAGAAGCCTGAGACATGTGTGTGTATAATATATATACAGTAATGTTATAAAATTTCTAAAGGCTACAGAGCATCTTTTCGAATTTTTTTATAAAAAAATTTAGTTAGCTATGCAGAAAAATTACCGAGGATTAGCTTCTTGTTCCCTTGAACAATGTCATTTCCAGCTACATTTACGAGCGAGAATCTCATCTCTTTTCCGATCTTTACAACTTGATTGCAATTCTCTACTTTTCTAAATGGCATTTTAATCGGTGGTTTCGAAGCATGCTTCCAGTTAACTGAGCCTGGATAGACCTTGTCAACAACTTCAAGCAGAATCCATCTGCATGAAAATTAAGTGCGAAGATCGTCATATATACTTCAGGACCAAAATCTTTCCGAGTATTTCCCAAACCACAACATCACTCTTATCACACAAAAAAATTTTTTTGGTCGAATCACACAAATATTTTTACCCGTTTCTAACATCTTCAAACACATTATTGACATAACTGTCAATCCCGAGGCTATTAATCCATAGCCGATAGCATCTTTCATCTCTGCAACTCTGTATATCCTCAGTCATCATTTCCGCAAAGGAGAATTTGCCATCAGTGCTAAGGCCATTTCTGCAGCAGGTACAGAGAAGCTAGTAAAAAAACCAGGGCGCTTAAGAACAAAACTACCATTTTCTGTGACCTTTTACCGACCTTTCGTGAAATATCTGTGCCACAAATGCGAGATTCAAATACGAAGACCCCTCAACGATCTCTTCTGCTGTCAAGTATCGTTTGCAGTTCATTCTCTCTGCGTGTTCAAGGACCATGTTAGCCCTTTCAAGATCATCCTTAGCGTTTAGAGTAGCTGGATCACAGTGCTCGGGTGCAAGAACATTGAGAAGGTAAGCATAGGCTTGTGCATCCTGGATATTCAATCAACAATCTAGGCCATTACATTTTAAGATTAAGAAAAACCAAATATATTCAAAACGTATGGGTGAGCTTTTGTTTTTCCTATTCACACTGATGTTGCTTCAGCGTCTTGGAGAGACTTATATGTTAAAACACTTGAAGAATCTATAAATCTCTTGAATGAAGCTTTTGAAGGGACAAAAAGGAGAGAGTTCCTGGATTTGCTACTTGGAAGCCAAATACCTTCAGATCCGAAGAAAAATTTCCAACAGTTTTTTTGTAACCACCTTTCTTGAGATGGAAGTTCATCCATTTGAGTAAGACTTTCTCGGGGGGTAATCTCAGAAATTCTTCTATATCCTGAAACAGGTAGAAACTCGTTTAAAACACGCATATACTTTGTTCAGAAATTCGCAAAGTGATTTACTCATTACGTCGCTATCCTCCACCAACTCAACAAGCTGAGGCATCTTCTTCAAACTAAGATCAGCAAGCAGTTGAATCTGCAGTTTCCAACATTAGTTAATAAACCATCAAGCACAAACACAAAGGACGATGCACATAGCAAACAAGTGTGGACCTTTATGAGTTGTGAGATCAATCCAAGCACCAGATGAGGCTGCAAAAACAATAAAAACCTCTGCGGTCAGATATATTTGTCCCAACCACTATAATGTGTTATACTGAGAACTAAGCAAGCAAAACATACTCGTCCTTCAGCAAGGTCTTGTGTCCCAATATTCACCACACTGCAGCCAACTGCTTTAGCAGAGTTGAGACAGAGCGTGTGATTCTCATTTCTCTCCCATGGGTTAAGTACCCTTTTCGTGTTGATCGCTCGTTCATCTATTGTCCCAGGGACTGCTACGTTTATAAGCTTACTGCGCCAAAAGAGAGAAACAAATCAAAACAAAGAAACTAATTAATATACTTATAATAAGATGGATTCTAAACATAAGATTTCCACATTACCATAGAAGTACACCATCTTTCACAAGTTCATACAAATCATTTGAATCAGGGTCTAAAGGAAGAAAATGCATCAAAAAGGGGTCATCCCCGAGATATCTATTGATGTGATGAACAAAAGAACCCTTCTCTGACTGGTTTATGGTATGAAGGGTCGTTGTGCCGGCTTTAAGAAAAGAAGATGAGTTCTTATGACCACCAGATTTATCAGCAGCTTTATCTCGCAGGTTTAGATATATCTGCAGCATTTGTTTGTATCAAACCCAAAACCACGTTACACATCACATGATTCACATCCATCGAAGGGATTCACAGAGGACAACACACATAAAAGATCAAACTGACCCTGAGAAACGATTCGAAATCAAGATCATCGCTTGCATAATCAGAACCCAAATCTCCCAAGATTTCTCTGATTTCCTTCTCCTTAAACGCAGAGCTAAGTGACTTCACCTTGACCAACACAGGCGGAAGATCCTCTAATGTAATCTTACCGTTCTGATTCTTCAACGACACAAACTAAAACACAAATCCAAAGTTTACATCCAGATCAAAAAGAGTTTGGCTTTATCTAGAGAAGAAACAATAAAAAAGAGAAGAGTTACCTTGGAATTAAGACTCCGAAGTTCGACTTGTGTGAGCTGGCTTTGCAGCCATGGATCCGAAACGATGACACCCACGAAACCAGACATCTCCCCAGTAGTAACCAGTGGGAAGAAAATCTGAAGAACAAAAATCTCTTCAAAATCACGCCAATGGAGAAACCTCTTATTCGAATCTGCCAAAATAAAGAAGAAGGATCACTGTAAGCTTCAGGAATCGGAGGGCGAAGGAGAAAAAAAAAACGAAAGCTATTTTACTGATCCAAAGATTCATACTTAAAATAGCAAAACATTACAACAAGATTTAACTGGATAATCGAACAGTTTTCCAGATAGATGAGAACTCTCGAAACTCAAAATCCAGAAATCCAGGAGATATTAAAAAAAAAGAAACAAACCCAATGTATCAAAATAAGCGTCAAATGTCTTGGGTAAAATGAGATTCTGCTTTCAACAATCCATATTCTCTGTGTATATTTACATCTATCGACGATAATGTTTCATTCTCTTAGGAATTGAATCACAATGTGAATGTGGAGAAGAAGACAGAATCACGAGCATCGATACCAATGTGAAGTTGAAGAAGATGGGTCAAGTGAGAGAGAGAGGATCGTTATTTGCTTCCTGTGAGAGCAAAGCGATGAGGAGGAGGAGAGAGAGAGAAAGGAAAACGAGTTTTATTTGATTGTACACAAATGCAAAGGAGGACGAAGAATTGAATGCTCGGTCAGAAATCGCGAGTAGGGTTTTGGTTATTTATTTATACTCGCTGTACGATTACGACAGGTGGACAAACTGTGGACCTCACGGTATAACGACTTGTAGGTGTATCATTTCTAAAATTTTCCTGCATTTGGACGGCCCATTTTTCTACATTTTCATTGCTTAAATAAATGTCATTAACCATTGATTATTTATTGGTGCATTTTAGTTTCGAAACAAACAAAAAAAAAAAAAATCCTAGAGTGACCCAAAAGTTATGGCAACATAACCAAAAAAAATGTTGTTAGTTTGAAACATTTATTTATTTCTGGGAATATTAGATTTGTGATCAGAACAATGATCTTCTCCACCGACGACGATTTCTTCTAATCTGTAGATTTTCAAACCCATGTGTGCTGGGCACGACGCCCTGCGATTTTGAAATAAATACTTAGTAATAAATACTTCTTTCGGAAGTCTGTTTGATATTGAATTGAATATTAACTAAGTAGTTTTATTAGTAGAACCCAAATCTATGTGTTCATTTAAATGTTTTCCAATACATTAACTGGATATTATCTTTGTTTTGTGACAAATATGTTTTACTTAATTACGTTTTCAATTCAGAATCAAATGATAGTTATAGAGAAATACTGAAAAAAAAAAAAAAAAAAAATATATATATATATATATTGAAAAAAGAATGTGAAAGAATTTAGTTTGGTTAAATGAATGTGAAAGATATAGACCATGTATGAGGTTCTACTTGAACAAAAATGTCTGTTAACTGTACTCGTTCAACGGTGTGTTTAAATTCTATTAAGCCTATGATTTTTAAGAGATATCCATTGTTGTGCCGTTTTGAATTATTTTTGGATAAGTTATTGCTATTGATATCACTGAAATAAAGTTTACATCTTATCCCTGTAGGCTGTAGACTTCCAAGTATATAACAATACTAGACCGAAAAAGGAAAAATAATTCTATCCATATATATTAAGAGCAAATTATTTATCACGTTTGTTGAAGAATAGCAAAAGAACGTTTAATTAAGTAACTAATATACGAGTCTACTTGTAAACAGATACTTACACCGAAACCATTACTTACTCAGCCTGACTAAAAACCTAAAAGGGTAAAAAACTTCAAGTTGGATCCTGCTCAAGATACATTTTGACAAATAAATGTCACGATGAGAAATCTGAAACCCCAAAAACGATTAAATCCGATCAAGATTTCATCCAAAAAATTAGAATTTCAATATAAAAAACCGTCCCTTTTGTTCAGATGGGACATACGACATCATTACTTCAATCGACACATTAGTTGTGTATTTATAGTTTTCGAACCCATATAGCGAATCAAATTTAAATATATTAAACAAAAAGAAAATTAATACTAGTAAAGAGAAAGAAAACAAAATAAAAGCCACAAATTATTCATATCAGTACTAACGATCCACCCAAAAGTATTTTTATTTAAAAGAAAAGGGAAGAAAAAAAGACAAAACAATAGAAGACATTTTGGTCACGTAAAGAGTTAAAAAAGCTAATGTCATACACCGCCCCGGAGACTAGGCATGCAATGCAACTAAGACCATAAACATTATTGAGACCCACTAAAATCTCTTCAATAGTTTTTTAATAATAAAATTGAGTTAAAGACGTCTCTTGTGGTTTCAATTTTAGAGACGTCTTTTGCTTTTTCAGAAATTTAGATTATTAAAATAATGTTTTTATTCATAAGAGACCCATAGAGCCTCCCAAACATTTGTTCCGTTTCTTCTCACACATCTCAACTCAAAAGACTCCTAATGATTACATCACCCACACATCTCTTACGTTATGCTCTTTAAATACCACCTTTCACTTAGCATTTTAACTTGGCTATAACAACCTCATATTGGTCGATCTAATTGGATACACAATTGTAGATTCTAGAGAGAGAGAGAGAATAAAACAATGGGTAAGAACGACACCAGAATCCTCATGCAATTCGCAGTTCTTGCAATGGTTTTAACCGCTGCAATAATGGTGAAAGAAGCTACGAGCGTTACCATTTGTAAAATCGACACAAACGATATGCAGAAATGTCGTCCAGCCGTCACTGGAAACGACCCGCCACCTCCGGTCAATGATTGCTGCGTTGTGGTCCGAGCCGCTGATCTAGGATGCTTCTGCAGATTCAAGTTTTATCTCCCAATTTTAGGAATCGACCCATCTAAAGTCGCTGCTCTCGTTGCCAAATGTGGCGTTACAACTATCCCTCCTTCTTGCCGAGGTTTTTTTTTTTTAAAAGAGCCTAATTGCTGTTTCATGTGGTTACAGAATTAGTGGTAGGATCTTAAAACTTTAAAAGCAAAGAAAGAATCTTACGTTATTTTTTTTTTCTAACACAGCTTGAAGAATTTGAGCTAGAGACAAGTCTCTATGGCGCTGCAGACTTTGCTAGAACTTGTCCTGCATCTGATTTGAAATTTCTAAATTACAATGTTTTTTTTAGTGTTTTGTTAAAAATAAATCACGAATTTCTAAATTACCGTGTTGTATACAGTAATGAAAAACAATGAAGAACTGGTTTTGTGGGGTTACATCTATTATATGTATCCTACTTTTTCATCCCGTGGAGAACACAACTAATAATAAATTGAGGAAAAAAAAAACAGAGAATACTCTGTTTCTGATGTTGTGACTTGCATCAGAAGGAAGAAGACAGTTTAACAACTAAAGACCTGTGTTGTTTACATGACAAGAAGTGACAATCTTTTGACCTCTACACAGTAAATTATACGATTTGACAAGGACAAAAACAAAATAGAAAGACTAGCCAAAAGCCAATTGGTTCACGAAATTAAAGGAGAAAGTTCTGTCATTAGCCTAACCGGAGACTTATATATACATGCAACTAAGGTCTCCCACATTTGTCTGTTAATGTACATGTACATTTCGACCAGATAAAGACCCGGGAATCTATACTTTTATTCATTTTCACATTAGCATTAACATTGCTATATAACAAGCTCCTCACATTGAAAGGTTTCACCATAGAGCAGAGAGAAAGAGGGAAAATATACAAAAGAGAGAATGGGTCAGAACAAAACGAGAGTCCTCATGCAATTTGCAGCTCTTGCTGTGGTTTTAACCGCAGCGATGATGGTGGAAGAAGCGAAGAGCATCCCAGTGTGTAACGTGGACTCAAGCGACGTGGAGAAATGTCGTTCAGCTGCCACAGGAAACAACCCGCCACCTCCGGGACCTGACTGCTGCAACGTGGTCAAAACCGCTGATCTACAATGCTTCTGCCAGTTCAAGTCTTATCTTCCAAGTTACGGGATTAACCCATCCAATGTCAAGACTGTTCTGGCCCGGTGTGGTGCTAACACTCCCGCCTGTTTCCAAGGTACGTAAAACTCAAAATTACCTTGGTGTTTGCTGTTTTTTTTTTTTTTTTTTTTCTCTTTCTTTCTGAAAAGCGAGAAAGTCTTAAGTTTGTTTTGCTCTTGTTTCTCTTAACACACAGCTTGAAGTACTGAGCTGGAGTCACGTCGGGTCTGCCGCAGGCTTTGCTCTATCTTAAGTATCTAAGTTATATATGTACGACTATGTCTTTTTACGTGTATTATTTTCAGTCTTAGCTTTATCTTTATAGAAGAACCATGTTCTATGCATTAATGGAAAAAATAAAGTACTGGTTTTTTAGCTAATTCCAATGAGTTACTAGTTACTACTAATGCGAATATTAAAACGCCACAAAAGAAAACAGTGAGAATACTACTTAATGAAAAGATAATATTGTGGAGTTCCTCCTATGGAGATTGCAAGATTTTTGACGTATTCTTTTCATGGAGATTTTACCACTGAGATTATTGAAATACAATTTACATCCTTATCGTCATAAACCTACCAATAGAAATTATTACTAGGAAAAGATAATTCAAATACCTTCACTGAGAAACCAAAGATGTAAATACATTATAACAAATGAACATAGGAGGCAATTGTAATCAACAATATCTGAAAAGTGTACATAATATGATAGCGTATTAAGATTACTTTTTAAATGTAATATTGTCTTAATCAGTACTAGCTGCGTAAAGTGTACTCAATGTTTTTTTTTTTCTATTGTTGTTTCATCAATGCAAATACCAAAAGACCACTTGACTAGGAAAAACTAGAGACTCACAAGTCTTCCTCATTTGCAATTTGCAGACATTTCAACTCAAAAGACCAGTTGACTAGGAAAGACTAGAGAGTCAACGACCTAACATCACACGCTCTTCCTAGCTTTACTTAGAATTAACTTTGTTATATTAAGCTCATTTGATTTCAGTGTTCCAAGGTAGAGTACTAAAGTCAAGAGAGACCAAGATCAAAGAGAGAATGGATAAGAACAATACCAAAACTTTTGTGAAATTTGCAGCTCTTGCAATGGTTTTAGCCGCCCTGGTGCTGAAGGAAGAACCTACGAGCATTCCTGTATGTAATATCGACACAAACAGCTTGGAGAAATGTCGTCCAGCCGTCACCGGAAACAACCCATCTCCTCCAGGCAACAAATGCTGCATAGTCCTCCAAGCCGCTAATCTCGAATGCATCTGCAGATTCAAGTCTTATATCCCCATTTTAGCGACTAACCAATCTAAAGTCCAGGCTCTTCTGACAAAATGTGGCCTTACAACAATCCCTCCTGCTTGCAAAGGTAAAATCAAAGCACCATAGAAATATTCAAAACCACTGGCTTAGTATGATTTGCAAGTATAGAAAGAAAGTCTTACGTTTATTTTGTTGAGAAAAAAAGTTCTTACGTTTATTTTTCTGTACGTTGTCGTATCTCTGGAGACAAACCACTCTACCCTATTGTCCTGGAACTGACCTGGAGTGTCTGAATTACAATATATCTTCTGATTCAAATAAATCACAATCTTGAAATGATCTTCGATCACCTTGTGTATATAGAAGAACCTTGTTCTATACATTAAAGAAAACTATAACATATACTGGTTTTTCACTACATCCACTATCCAAAAAAACTAACTCATCATGCATTCCCTGAGGAGAACCTAAATCATAAACTGCAAAAAGAAAGAAAAATAAAAAAGAATTATTCGCTTGCATGATGAATACATAGTTCACAGTTCCAGCTTTTGAAATCTGAGCAGTAACTTGTGGTAATAAAGGAGGGAAAAATACCTAGCATTCTGGTTGATTATCTCGACGAGGTCCACCAAAGATAGGTCTCATGTATGTATCGTCGAACTTCCTCCAGTAGCGGTGGATAGTGTAAACAGGCTGTTCCATCAGAAGGGAGATACTATCTTTAGCTCTGTTGAAGTTGGTGGAAGCAGACTCGTCAAAGGAGAGGAGAGGAAGCGTCGCATCTTCCCTCGGGGAACCTGGCGCAGTGTGTTTACCTCCATTTCCTCCAGTGTTTTGATTTGCATCATGAGGAAGCAGATAGTTCACAAGTGGCTTTGTGAGGAAACCAAAGACCTGTTTCGTTACATGTCAAGAAGACTGTCTTTTTGCATCTTTAGGCATTAAACTACGAGCAGTGCTAGATACTGAGGAAGTAGTGTTTGTTTTACCAGTGTAGTAAAGAGGACAACGATAGTGGTGTTTGTGACCATGGCAGCATTCACAGGATCCAATGTAACACCAGAGTATGTGAACTTGGCACATCAAACATAAACCGAAATGAGCAAAAATTCAAGGTAACAGCAATTCCATAGAGACGTTGTGAGTGTGTAAAAAGCAAAAACCTGTTTGAAAGCCAGAGCAATTGAGACAGCACCTCGCATAAGCCCAGCCCACCAAATAATCACCTATGAAGTATACAGAGAGCGAACTTTAAAACCTCTTAGACCATTAAGTTGTGGTGTTTCTGATAATGTAACTGAAAAAACAAACTAAAGGCTAAACCTGGTGCTTAAATGTGATAGTCTCGCTTCTTTCAGTGTTTCTATTCATGAAATTTGTAAAAACCGAGAGTGGAAACACAAACGCTGCTCGTCCAAGCAATACTAATGTGGTTATGACACCGGAGACACCCAAAGTACCCCCAACGCTGCAAGAAGAAGATTCATTTTATAAGTCTTCTTTAGTATGATAGAAGAGATTTCATCAACTTCATGTCACCACCACAGCTTAACTTGCAAGCTAAGAAGAGGTTCATATCAATAATATCATACGACTTTGTACCTTAAGCTGCTTGTCTTCCACTTTGTAAGATCAAGAGCATCTGTTCCAACATATAAAAATATGAACGTCTCCGCTATAAAGGACAACATTGCAAACACATGCCTGCAGAACAGAAATAAACAGTCAGACAAAAAGCATTTACTGCTATTGAGACTTGAGAGAAAAACAAATAAGTGTCTGAAACAATGCCTTGAAGTGATTCTTGAACTCTCTGTCACATTATAAGATGCATAATGCGACATTAAAACGCCACAGAAGAAAACGGTGAGAATCCCACTTAATGAGAAGAGCTGCAAGAGAATAACAACATTCTTTAGTCAAAACAGAGAAATTCTGCATTTTGATTTCCTCCTGTACTAGTTGTCTATTGCAGACTTGCAGTAATGGTGATATTACCTCAGCTAACATATATGAAAGGTATGCCATAAGAACCATGATCGCGAGTTCACGTGTAGTTGAGTGTCTGTCATCAAGCATAAAAATTAGCAAGACCAATACATAAACTCTATGTTGAGATGTAAAATTTGCAAATTTTGGTGGTAGTTCTACCTTCCAAAATACAAGGTTTTCAGGACATAAGACGTTACTAACCCCACCTGCAAGACATTCACACAGTTTCCAAGAGAACTCAAGATATGCTTCCAATGGAGGAAAACAAATACATATATGCCAATTCAATAGCTTACAGCAATTCCGAGGATTGTGCTAGTGAAGAAGAGGTACAAAAAGTTTCCAAAGACTCGCAGAGCCGTCCAACCGTTGAGGCTTTCGAAGTGAATCTTCTGCACGGCGTTGAACAGCACAACTGAGGTTGCATCATTCACTACTCCTTCTCCAAAGACTAAGCTGTATAGCAATGGAGTTTCATCTTGATGAAGAATCTGTAAAGTTAAGATGCAATGTAAAAATAACTTTTTTATGCAAACCAGCTTCACAAGAAGGAATCTTAGGAAAGATTATCTTTAAAAAAATCAAGAACCTGTAGAGTGCAAACGGTATCAGTTGACGAGAAAATCGTTCCGATGGCTGAATCAAGAAAAGAAAACATTCACTCGCAAACTGACACAAGAGATATGTGAAAAGAAACATAGTTTTATGAACATATGCAGAGGAAAGACGATATAAGCTCAGAGAGAGAACTCACCAAGATAGTCTCGAGCACTCAATCCCTTAAATCCCAACTTGGGAAAAAGCCACCAAGTGCCTGAATCAGATTATAAAAGAGAGAGAGTAAAAAACAAGATTACAGAAACTCAAATATAATTAAATTTGTTTTCATGGTCATACAATATTTGATTGCTGTAAAAAAAACTGATTGCTGTATTGCTACAAGTCATACAAGATTGATTGCTGTAAATAAAATTACCAAACGAAATAATGACAGTGGAGATGAAAACACCAATCACACCAAACGACATGATGGTTAAAAAGTTGTGAAAAAACTTCTTTTTCTTGACTTGGAATCTGCCACAAACCAAAAAAGAAACAAAAGAAACTTCAGTCGATCTCCAGATGATAGTGAAGAATCTCATCAAACTCTAATCCCATCAACACAGGCACAGCATATAGTAACCGATCCAGAGCAAGCTTACCCAGCATTGAAAATGATTGGAGGAAGAAGGTATATGAAGAAGAGTTCTTCATCAAACACCAAAATGTGAGAACTCTTTCCTCTACTAATAAGCAATATAACCGTTCCTGATACTGCTCCCTGCTTGCAACATAAACAATCAAAATAGTTACATCTTAAAAGCATTGAAAAGTTACCTTGTATAGAAGAAACCAAATTCTAAACTAAAAAATACGGCAACTTGAACAAGAACCTAAACCCAAATCAGGATTTCGAAAAGAAAAGCTCCAAAAGTATGGTCATTTAGGAGATTCTGCAAGAGATTAGATTTTCCTGATTCTAAAGCTCAACTCTCGGAGCAAGAAACAAAAACAAGAAGAGTATCCCAAAACCTGAAGCAACTTACGACTAAAATGGCGGTAATGGATTCATTGACCCATCGGTTCTCTTCAAGCAAGTGGCCGATAACTAAACAGAGGCAGAGAATGACGATGAACACCGAGATTGGTATCACCTGAGGATGCTCCGTGGCTAGGTGTATCGAAAAAAACTCTGTAAATCCAACACCCATTTTCACGACCAACAAAAAAAGACTTTCGAAAAATGTTTTTCACTTTCGTCGATTCTAGATCCTTAATACAACACAAATCGCAAACAAAGTAGACACAGAACGAGACGGAGATAGAGAGTCAGAGAGTGAGAGATTTGAACTGCGCTAATGAAGGCGGTGGTTACATGTGGCGCTAAATGAATACGTGGCCATTTCGACGTCATCAGACTGAGTAAACGTGAGGCTTTCTAATTGCATTGTGGGCTTATGGCCCAAAACTTATCTTGAAAAATCTATCTATATTATTATTTAAGTAGGATTACAAATAATAAAATATAATTAAAATAAAAAATTATAATTATCTTTTAAAATTATGTAATAAAATTTAGAAATTCTATATATTTTTCATAAAAGAGTATTTATTATTTAGTTTCTTAATTATTATTATATATTTGAAAATAATAGCAATTTATATATATTAAAATAAATATCTATTTGAATTTTTTAAATATTTTTTATTATAATTTATTAGATTTTATTTAAATATATTTATTTTAAAATAAAAATTAAATAATATTTTTAATTTATAAACAATTAGATACGAAAAATTTCAATTTTAATAAGAATTTGTAGACTGGTTATAAAAAAACTAGAATCATTAAACGATGTATATTAAAATTATTTATTTAAGAGTATATATTTTTTAAGATTAATCAAAACAAATATATAATTCATTTCAAAACATAAACAAATTAGTTTGGGTTAACTTCTGTATTTATAATCAGTAGCTAAATATATTATAAAATTAAAATAAAAAATAACATACATTTTTAAATATTTTTTCTTAAAAAATTGTTTCTTGCTAGCTATAGAACTGGTTAAATCTTAATAGTAATAATGAAAGGGGCAGTTGTTTGATCAATATTACTGTCAATAAATGATGTCTGAATGTTAATCAAAATAGAAAAATGATAAAATGGTTGAAATATAGCTAACATAAACAAATTTTATTGTCCATGTTATTATATAAGATAGCTAATGTAAACAAGTCCAAAGTTTCAACTTGGTTTAATGGTAAACTGAAAAATAAGAATCACTATTTATTACAAGGAGTTATTGCTTAAAAACTTGAACCAATTGCACGAAGAAGAAAACAAACAACCGATTTTCATTACACAAGTGTTGGTCTGGATTGCTACAGCTACGAGCCAAGAATGGGTCTACGCACGCGGCACATGACCGTTTCTTTTGCTCGTGCAGGATGATGTCATGAGTCATGACTCAGTGACCAAAATTGCCACGTGTAATCATGACGACTATATTGTCGGACCAGCATTATTTTCAATCAATCATCAATCGCCAACTCAACCAAGAAAACTACTCCACTCTTGTAAGTTTATCTCTACATATATCTGTCGAAGTGATTATCCCCCATTATCCATTTGGTTATTTGAACTTTAAAAAAAAAAAAAATGGAATATAGATACCATTCTCTTGTATCATATATTCAGCTACCTTTAATTAGATACAGAAGAAAAAAATGATTTGGACACAATTCTATATATCGTGCAAACTTTTGACAAAGGTGTATGTACCTTTGCAATTGCATGGATTACAGTAGTGCTTGCTTAGAGTTTAGCTGGTTTTGGAAACAAGTAGGTGGTAAATCGTAATAAAGAAAAAAAGTAGGTCGTAATAAATGTAGAACGCAATAACTAGTATTTTTTTTTTTTTTTTAAACTATATGTCTACCAAACCTTTAAGAAAAGCAGAAAGTCTCTGATCAAAATCTATATATTTTCATAACTTGTAAAAACAGATATTTACTATTACCTTTTTTCGGATACATTTTTCTTGCAGTTTATTATTATTTGTGATCGCTTGTGGTCGTTGATCGTTTCACTCCCAGCATTGCTTCTGTTTGCAGCACATCAATGTTGATGTATCTATATCAACCCTTGTTACAAAAAAAAACACATCAATGCATATAAAGATTGAAGAAGACATCACAATACGAATAGAGGTTTTAAATTTTTATATGTTGTAGTGAAAGAAAGATTTTGCCAACAGATTGTGAAAACCAAAAAAAAATAACTAATTGTAATTAGACATTTAGTTAGAGATATTTTTTAAATTAATGAGTTTTTCTTTTTAAGTGGAAAGTGTGTCGAAACCAACATATCAAAAATAAAAAAAAAGTGGGAAGTGTCTGATGGTAGGGCTGGAATTATTATCTGGTATCCGCTATCCGATCCGGTATCCGGTCTTATCCGATCCGTAAAAACCGGATATTCATGTAATTCGGATCCGGATTTGGATAGTGAAATTAAGTATTCGGTTATTTCGGATACGGATCCGGATAATAGAAAATTTTAAAATCGGATATCCGTTATCCATTATCCGTTTATTAAGATTTTTAAATTTTGAAATCTTTGGATATGCATTTAATTTTTTGTTTTAATTATGTTCGAAAATTGTTTTTGGTTTAACTCTTTTACACATGATTGAAATTTATATTGCATAATAATTTTCTATTTCAGATTGTAAGAGAAGAACATGAAAATAGATAACACAAGGATATGAAGATAAATTAATTTCTCTATTACTATTTTCTTTTTTGCTATGTAAACTTTTAAACTTTGTGTTATTTGAATGCTATATTTGAATGTTTTTAAATTTTTAGTATTTATAATTTTTACTATAATGATACATTTTAATTATATATGCTATCTTATTATAATTTTAAAAATTGAAGATTTTTTTTTAAATTAACGAAATCGGATATCCGGTCGGATATCCATAAATATTTGGTCTCCGGATATCCGGAGTTTTCGGATCTAGATCCGGATAATAAAATTGATTATCCGTCAAATCCGGAACCGGATCCGGATATTTTGAAAAGTCCGGATATCCGGCTCCGTTCCGTTCCAGTCCTATCTGATGGTATTCCCATTTAAATAATGAACGATCATATAAATTACAATGATCTCTCACATACCAAAAAAGCTCTTTTTCTCTCTTCTCTCTCTCTCTCAGCGAATCTCGTTCAGTCTCCAAGAAGAGCGAAGTTGGTGAAGTCGCCGCCGGGAGAAATCAATAAACCGATGACATACATGCAAGTTAATCCAGCAATGGTTTGGTTACGAGCTTCAAAGTTTCTACTACTTGCTCTCATTTTGATCCAGTTGCTTGCTACTCAACTCGCTGCTCAAAGATCTAAATCTCCATGGCAGACACTCAGTGGTAATTAAAGCTCCTTATTTCTTTTATATCCTTCTATCTTCGATACCTTTACTCTGTGAATCGAGAAAACAGAGTAAAACGAGTGAAAAAAACTAGTGACTCGGACTCGTGCTTCATTTGTCACTCCGATTCGGTAAATCGAAAAGAATTTGGGGTTTTCCGGACTTTATCCGAAGACAGATCAAATAATGTAAACTGTGAAAGAAAGAAAAAAACTTGACTTTGGGATTCTTGATTTTGTATCCATTTCTTGACTACCTTGTTGTGTGTGTTTGTAGGAGATGCTCCTCTTATCATTGCTCGTGGTGGGTTTTCTGGGCTATTGCCAGATTCAAGTCTCGATGCTTACAGTTTTGTGTCGATGACAAGTGTCCCTGATGCTGTCTTGTGGTGTGATGTGCAACTTACCAAAGATGGAGTTGGGATTTGCTTCCCTGATGTGAAAATGATGAATGCTTCTAATATCCAAGTTGCTTACCCTGACCGGAAAAACTCTTACCTTCTTAATGGAGTCCCTACTCAGGATTGGTTCACCATTGATTTCACCTTTAAGGACCTCAAAACCGTTTTCTGTAAGTTTCAACCTCTTTGTTTTGTCTTTTTTTTTTGCATTGCTACTCAACTCAACTGTGAGCTTGAGTTTCAATTTCCATCCATTGGACTATAGGATTCTACTTCTAGCAAATATCATGTGTGTATTTTGATTTTGCGTGGAGTTAAGAATTTGCTTGCTGCTGTTCATTCATTCATCACTTGCTTGTATTTTTTTGCCTACAATTCCCTTTCTCAACTGTGTGCAGTGATGCGAGGAATATTATCACGGTCAGATGCATTTGATAACAACCAGTACGCGATTTCAACAGTTCAAAATATAGCTACTCGATTGAAACCCGCAGGTTTCTGGTTAAATGTTCAGGTAAGTCTTATGTCAGTAAGGTTCTTGTTTTTTTTTTTTTTGGTTCTTTTTGTTGTTGTTGTAGTGACATATCTCAGCTCAATCTAACATGGCTGCTCTTTATTCAGCACGACGCATTCTATGCGCAACACAATCTAAGCATGAGCAGCTTTCTGCTAACAGTTTCCAAAACTGTGTTTATCGACTATCTCTCTTCCCCTGAGGTGAATTTCTTTCGTAACATTGGTGGCCGTTTTGGGAAAAACGGGCCAAAGTTTGTGTTCCGGTTTCTCGAGAAAGATGATATTGAGGTGTCAACTAATCAAACCTATGGATCTCTCATTGGGAACCTAACTTTCATCAAGACGTTTGCTTCAGGGGTTCTTGTTCCCAAGTCTTACATATGGCCACTCGAAAGCAAATACTTGCGTCCTCATACATCCTTTGTTCAAGATGCTCACAAAGCAGGGTTAGAAGTATACGCATCAGGTTTTGCAAACGATTTCGATCTTGCATACAACTATAGTTTTGATCCATTGGCTGAGTACTTATCTTTCATGGACAATGGTGATTTCTCCGTGGATGGTGTGCTATCTGATTTTCCACTAACCGCATCTTCTGCTGTTGGTAAGTATATGTCTTATTGTCTATCACACATTTTATTTCTATATTCTGACCATTTCTCACTTTTCTTGTTCCTTAGACTGCTTCTCTCATCTTGGAACTAATGCTTCAACACAAGGTATGTGAGTTATTCATATGCGTTACACTGGCTACATTATCAATGTCATGTCACAATAACTAACTTTATGAAGCTTCATCTTATAACAGTGGATTTTCTTGTTATTTCCAAGAATGGAGCAAGTGGAGACTACCCTGGCTGCACTGACTTGGCCTATTCAAAGGCTATCAAAGACGGTGCTGATATTATTGATTGTTCTCTTCAAATGTCATCGGACGGTGTTCCGTTTTGCTTAAGCTCTATTGATCTTGGAGAGAGCACGAACGCTTTCCAAAGTCCTTTCAGAAACCGCTCAGCAACTGTTCCTGAGTTGGACACACTTTCTAAATTATACAGCTTTAGTCTAGCATGGTCTGAGATTCAGACCTTGACCCGTAAGTTTCACATACAACTTTCTAAGACTTGTCTTCTTCTTTCCTTTTCACTTCACTTATCCCCCATATGTGTGCAGCTGCTATTACGAACCCCTACAATAAGGATTACAACTTGTTTAGGAACCCGAGGGAGAGAAGCTCTGGGAAGCTTGTTTCACTTTCTGATTTCTTGAACTTGGCTAAAAACTCCACCTCTCTCGCTGGTGTTTTGATCAGCGTAGAGGTAAGTTCTACTTTCACTTAAACTGAGACATTTAAGAGATGTTAATGGTCACAATCACTATGTTTTTGTTTCCTTTAGAATGCATCTTACCTAAGAGAGAAGCAAGGGCTCGACGTTATTAAAGCAGTTCTCGATACACTCACAGAAAGTGGTTACGGCAACGCTAAAACAACAACCACCAAGAAGGTTATGATTCAGTCAACAAACAGCTCAGTCTTAGTTGACTTCAAGAAACAGAGCCGGTACGAGACAGTGTACAAAGTGGAAGAAACAATCCGCGATATACTCGACTCTGCAATCGAAGACATCAAGAAATTCGCCGACGCTGTTGTCATCAAGAAAACATCAGTCTTCCCCACCAGCGAAAGCTTCACCACCGGACAAACCAACCTTGTGGCGAGGCTACAGAAGGTTCAGCTTCCGGTTTACGTTGAAGTGTTCCGGAACGAGTTTGTTTCTCAGCCGTGGGATTTCTTCTCCGATGCGACCGTCGAAATAAACTCGCATGTTTCTGGAGCTGGTATCAATGGAACCATCACTGAGTTCCCTCTCACAGCCGCGAGATACAAAAGTAAAGTGAAGAAAACCAAAATCATGTCTTTAAATAACGGTTTAGGATTTTGATTTGTTTTTCTCATGTTTGGTTTACAGGGAACCGGTGCTTGACCCGGAAAGACCCGCCTACTTACATGATCCCGGTTCTACCCGCTGGTCTCTTATCCATTGTGAGTCCTACTTCTTTACCTCCCGCGGAAGCACCAAACCCGGTTATCACGGAAGCTGATGTCACTGAACCACCGCTACCTCCGGTTACAGCCAGATCCCCAACCACCAGCCCTGGACCATTATCAACCGATGAAAAATCTCCTAACGGACAAACCCGAGTTGCTTTGTCTCTTCTTCTTTCTGCATTCGCTACGGTTCTTGTCTCTCTTCTACTTCTGTGATCATAACACCCTCGCTGGTTAGGATATCTTTGTGAGATTGACTGAGTCCTCAGAATTTTGATTCCTCCTAACAGTTCTTTAGGATTCTTTGGAGTGATGAGTTTCTGTTTGGGTTTTGTTTGTTCATATTCTTCGTTATCGTGAAAGTTCTGGCAACCAAAAAAAAAAGAAAAAAGAACAGGTAAAATTCTTGGGACGTAAATTGGGGTTACATATGTTGTTGTGACATTGTTTACTGTAGTGTCCTGTAAAACGCTTGTGTGCTTTGTAGTATTTATGAGACTATCTTCTTTGAACACAAATCTGTTTTCACAGTATTGTTTTACAATATGTTTCATATTTTTTTTGGTAGCTTTAAAATTTTAAGTTTTCTGTCATCTTTCTTATCCTCTGGAGAGAATATGAAAATAGAACACAGTTTGGAAAACAAGCAATCTATAGATTTTAAGTTTTGTTAGAACCAGATATGATTACAAATCAGTTTGTGTAGCTATAAAATCAGCATGCCTATTATCAGCCTATGCCTGATAGCTAAAACTATAGATATATGAAGATTACTAAAATATTTGTGTTTCACTATAAAAGCTCATGTACTCGAACATACATGAATACTATGTTGATCGACTCTCTCAACACAATTGTGTAATTTAACACAATAATAGAACATACATTAGACTTAACAATTCATTATTATTTTTTGTAGTATATGTATTCATAGGATCGATAATCTTTAGAACTTATCAGCTTCAAGGAACAAAGTTGAGTTTGCGCTTGTTTAAAAAAAAAAAGGGTTAGAGTTTGCGCTAAAGATTAAACCACTTAATGGACCCAAATTTCAAAGCCCAAATAAAGTAACATGGGCTTTAACCGAAGACCCCAAATAGTTGAAATAAATTAAATATATCGTTGTTGTGTGTTCATCAAAGCCAAAATAAAAAGTCACTGGAAAATACAATTGAATCAAGGATTCTCAGATCCTCCGATGAAGCTTTGGGGAACAACGACGAGAGAGTATTTCTGGGGATATTTCTTCGTGACCATTGGTTCCATTACCTTCTTCGGATTCTTATTTGAAGCCGTCGCTTCGAGTTTGTTTCCGCTCCCTCAAAACACAGCGTTGGCGAATGATAGGTACTACTACTGCGTCTTGGTCCCCTTGACTCTACCGGTTATAATGGTCGCTGTCTACTTTCACTGGCTTAGCATGAAGCTCTTCAAGCACGCCTAAACACATCCATCACCAGTTTTTGAAGATTGTGAGTTCAGTTTTCACTCTCTTTTTGATGGCATTAGTTCATTTCTGGTTAACGGAGAAGCAAGCAGTGGATGTGAATTTCGGATTCAAATGAGACAATTTTTGTATACTGGCTTCATGCATAAAGAATTCGAGAGCTTGCATTTGATGATTGTGTATCTGCATTCTAGAGTTACTTCGAATGAAATTAAAATTGTTCAGTTTTTTTTTTGGTTGTGATTTCTGCAAAATTCGGTATGTGTAAGTAAACAGATAAAATCTGGGGAGAATAAAATCTTGTAAATTGCTCAAATTGGAGAAGTTAACTTTTGACTGTTTATGAGGATCTGTTTCGTTATTTAAAGTTAGATTAGATGCATGATGATGAATCTTATTCACTTTCTTATGAAATTGAAGATCAATTTTTGTTTTTCTTGATAGTTGAGCCAATCAAAGGAGATAATAGTTTTGTTAAGTCTCTGAAACCACTGTTGAGATTGCCTCTGTAGAAGAATGTCCTCTCGTCAGTGACAAGTGTAAACAATGCTGCTTTGTGGATTGATGTACACTAACGAAGATGGGATTGGGGATTGCTAATTGCTATTTTGGTGTGATAATGAATAATTATTTTTAGTGTCAGTATAATGTTTATCCAAAGCAGTAGATTTATTACCTGGTTTAGAGGGTTTAGTTTACCATTGTTTTCGCCTTGATGGAATTGCAAAACCTTCTCTGTATGTTAGAACTCACATCTAATCATTTTGTAGGTTACCAATATGATTTTTCTCAAGATCAAGATAATTGAAAAAAAGGACTCATTATCTTTATTATACTCGACCAAGGCTGCAGAGAGTGTTATGGAATTCGCATGTTGCATACTATAGTACCCTATTCATTATGATAAATATGTACCCGATTCTCACAGTTTCTCAGGGTTTGTAACAAACGATTATAAATAGCATACAATTATAGTTTTGTTCCAGTTACTGCATTAAGATAAGCATGTAGCATTTCCATCAAAAAGATGAAACACCAATGTAGTTTTGACTGCAGTCACATCTTTGCTGGTTATCGCGGACGGAGATTGTACAGTCTTGTTGTCATTGATGAGGTGAAACCTAGATTTTCCTTGATCGGTTCTGGAATTCTGTAATCAGGATCTCCAAGATTGTCATCATCATCAGTTAAATCTGTATCAATCCAAGATGTCCAATCCACCTCGCTCTCTGTATCTTCATCCCACGAGAGTTCTCTTTTGCTTTGCATGTTGTTAACCTTATCAACTAATCTTAACAGGATCTGGTGGTTTAGTACTTCATAGTCCCTGCATTTCAGTCAAGAGTATGAGATTGGCTTCGGAGTTTTGGTTTGTCAAAACATATCCAATTTATTTTGCATTTGATCATACCTGTATGTAAAAGCAGCATGAAGAAGCTGAGCTGAAGCAAGAACAGCAAATAAAGACCTGACGAGGTTTATAATCCATGCTCGGTGTTCTGCATCATTCACGAAACGCAAACTTGCCACTTCTAATGCTAAGGTAACGCACAAACCTGCATCAGCGAAATGGAAAATCTCTGTTAAACTGCAGAATTCTACTTTTCATAGTTATGGTATGAGAAAGAGATGTGGAATATTACACTTACCTATGTAAAGCCTTGGCCTTATGGTATAAGTCTGTTTTGTGCTTGTAAACATGTAGATGACAAAGATCGACAAGAAGTAGATGAAGAAAGCTTTTATCACACGGGACTCGAGAAGCATCGCATTGTGCAAAGCAAATAGCTTATCCAGAGCTACAAACATGCTTGCCTGTTTCGCCTCAAACGCTTCCTGCAAAAAGATTTGTTAGATTAGTTTTATGTGATCTTGCTTCCTGCTGCTTGTGAATTTATTAAGGTTTTGCTGACATACCTGAGCTGCCAACATTGATTTTGAATTTTCAAACAGGTGATCATGAACTTTTTGAAGCTGTTCTTGCCGCTTTGCAAGATCTTCTTGTTGCTCCTGACTAAATTCGGCCAAACGTTGCAAGGTACTCCTACAAAAATTGCAGCAAAAAAAACTCGGTTAGCTCTTGCAAAAAAGTCTACTTTTGAAATTTTACCTGCTCTTATCTTTGAAACATACCTACTCTCTTGAAGTGCCTCACTCTGAAACCGTGTAAGAAACTGAAGATTATCAAGAGCCACCGATTGACCGTCCAAAAGCTTCTGCTGCTTATCCAACGAACTATTAGTCATAGTTCCGATAACCATGGTTTTATTCTCCAGAGCAGTCATTTTGCATGACACTTCTTTTCCAAGCTCGTTTATCTCCCCTTCAATTTGCTTTGTATCGTTTCTCAGCTTATCTACTCCTTCCTTGACGTTAGTAACCACATCATTGACCATCTCCATTCCAGCTTTCATTGTTTCTCCCATCTTCTCTTGACCTTCCCTTAACGCCAGCTGTGATTCCGTAATACTCTTTTGTTCTTGATAGATTTCTTTGGTTTGTAGAGACACTCCACTCATTTGAGTTTCTATGGTGCTTGTCGTATGAGCCACGTTCTGAACCCGAACATCTATTGACCCTAGAGATTCATGAATCATGCTCGAGCTCTGCAATAGAGCATCGGATTTACTCCCTATAATATCCAGTTTCTCGTCTGTGTACTGTGCTGTGCTCCTCAAATCATTGACAAGCCTCTCAATTTCATTCTTGAATGCATAACTCCTGCCACAAAAGTAAGTGAGAATCCATTTACACAATAATAAACACAAAGCTATAAAAATATCGAAACTCTTACTGTAATTGTTGGCAGATAGTGTTGGTCTCAAGCATGAATTCGAGATAGATCTTATGCTCATGATCGTCTAGCTTCTTGAGGCAACTCATCATTGTTGATTTATCATTGCAGGTGGGAAAATCCGGTCTTCCCGATTCCTGCTGGAAACAATCGCTCAAATGCCAAGCGAATCTCTTCCTCTTTTCTTCTGTGGCAACCATGTCTTTGCATCCAGACAAGAGGTAACCATATGCATTTTGCCAGCAACTGTTTGGACCTACAAGCTTGTTTTTGGCGTCTTCAAGTACTCGAACCGCCTCCTTGTCGCTGAAAACCTCTATGGAGAACTCAGGATTTGACTTGTGAGACCGAGAGAAAGAAGAGTCTGTGTTTTCTGCAGAAGAAGAAGAAAAAGAGAACCATCCCCAACTGTGGCATATTATTGGAGAATCAAAAAGTATGATCAATAGAAACAGAAGAAATCTTCTGATCAAACGATCCATTTAATCGGGTTTTTAAGGTTTTTCTTTCTCCTTTGTGTTTCCCTTTTTATCTTCTTCTTCTCGAGGAGATGTGTGAATGATTTACCTACAGCAACAAAACAGAGAGTTTGTTACGTTCTGAATTTTTTTTTATATAACCTTATATATGAAAACTTGTAGCGCAAGGAAAGGAAATCCCTTGAACTTCCCATGAGAAAAATGGCAGTTTTTTTTTTCCGAGGAATCGTCGTCATTTATAAAATTAACGAATAAAAAGGATTATTAACAAATCAATTTGCAGGTTAATAAAGAAAAAAATAAAACACATTAAATTCATCGTTCAGGGTTTTAGAGAAACATCTGTATCCAAAAAGGAAATAATCTGTATCCATTTTCCTTTTTCGTTTTCTGAGACTAATTCATGCATTTTAACTTTTCAAGTCGTTATTTCAACAAAAACAAATAGAAACTAAGATATGTAAGATCGAAGAATGGTCTTAAAACACAGGAAAATTACAAACACAAGAAAATTACATACATCATGATACATGAAAAAGGTAAGATTCAGACGATACTGGGAGAAAAACAAAAGGTTTTTCAAAAAAAAAAAATCTAAAAATAGTTATAATACTTTAAATCAGAGAAGAATCTCTATGTTATGTCACTCTAATTTCAATACAGAGTGGCAAAACAAATAAAGGACGAAAATAAACACGAAAAGCAAAATTTATTTGTAAAGAATAAATTTTCTCAAAAATTGAAAACGTTAAGTTTCAAAAAAAGATTAGATAGTGATAAAAAATTAAGCAACGCTTACCGAGACAGAAAAATTGCAGATTTTCAGTCAAGTTTTAGAGGAAGTGAGTTGTATCTTTTTAGACAGAGAGGAATTAAAAAGTAACTGAAAACGTGTTTGACACAAAAGAGGAGGAAACGTTTAGCGAACGTTTGCTTTTAATTCCGGTATGAGTTGGTTTGGGCTATATGAGATTCTCTTTATTCCGGTTCGGTTTATTTAGGATCTGGTTCAATCATATTTGATTTCTAGTCAAAATCAAAAATGCCAAACAACAAAGAGAGAGATGGAATTTTCTGCTTTAATAAATCGGCACCTTTGCAAAATTCCGAGATTCTTCTTCACGTCTTTCACCTTGAAGAATCCATTTTTCCGGCGAAACAGCCGATGAAGATTTCTACTGAATCTTTCACCGGCGTTTGAATCTTCCCGAATCGAGAGAGAAATCGATGGAGATCTAAAAATAGAAAGTTCAGTTTCCTATCTCCTGAACAAAATTTATCTGAAACCGCAAATCAAGGGAAAGAGAGAGAGAGAGATGAGTAAGCGGAATCCACAGATTCTGAAGATATTCCTCTACATGCTACTTCTCAACTCTCTCTTTCTCTGCATCTACTTCGCTTTTCACTCATCGTCGTCGTCACCGGAGCAAAACCCCAATTTCCCACTGCGGTTTCACGTCTCCGTCAACAACCACTCGGCGACTCAGAAGCCGTGGCCGATCTTACCTTCCTACCTTCCGTGGACGCCGCCGCAGAAGAATCTACCCACCGGCTCCTGCGAAGGTTACTTCGGGAATGGATTCACTCGGAGAGTTGACTTCCTCAGACCCAGGACTTCCAAAGGGAGCTGGTTTCGATGCTTCTACAGTGAGACGCTACATAGCTCGATATGCGAGGGAAGGAATCTGAGGATGGTCCCCGATCGGATCGTAATGTCGAAAGGAGGCGAGAAGCTAGAGGAAGTCATGGGAAGGAAAGAGGAGGAGGAGCTCCCGGAGTTTCGGGAAGGTGCGTTTGAGGTGGCGGAAGAGGTTTCCCGGTTAGGGTTCAAGAGAAACCGCCGCATCGGCGGAGGAGGCAGTGTGATTTCGCGGCGGCTGGTGAATGACGAGATGCTCAACGAATATATTCAACAAGGTGGCATTGATAGACATACAATGAGGGATTTGGTAGCTTCGATTCGTGCTGTTGGCACCGAAGATTTCGTTTGTGAAGAGGTTTGTGCATCTTGCTCTTGTTCTTCTGATTGAATCTGGTGATTTCAAATAAGATTGTTATTGGTAAAACTCTTCTTGCGGAATTAGATTATGTTTTGGTGAAAGATTCATACTTGGAAAGTTTTTTCTTTGATCCAAATTTGGAAGATCAAATCCATTGGAGTTTTTCACTGTTCATATTAGGTTGTGGTTTCAGAGAATCTTAAAAACATTAGTAATTTCTTGTTGATTGATGTTTGGCTTTGCTTTTGCTTGGCCAGTGGGTGGAAGAACCAACTTTGCTGGTCACTCGATTTGAGTATGCAAATCTCTTCCATACCGTGACAGATTGGTACAGCGCTTATGTTTCCTCTAGAGTCACCGGTTTGCCTAATCGGCCACACGTTGTTTTCATTGATGGACACTGCACGGTACGTTCCTCTTCTTTTTCATGTTCATGATCATGGAGTGAGAAATTCCAGTTTCATTTGCTCCTCCTATATCTTTAGACTTGTAGTTACTGTTGGTTATATGATTTGGAATTTCCTGTGTTTTTAGTTTACTCCATTGATGATTAAAATGAATCTAGTAGGAGTTTCATGTCCATGTTGTGAACCTTTTTGCAGACGCAGCTAGAAGAAACATGGACTGCTTTATTTTCCGGAATCAGATACGCAAAAAATTTCAGCAAACCGGTTTGTTTTCGTCACGCGATTCTTGCACCATTGGGATACGAAACCGCGCTTTTCAAGGGCTTGACCGGAGAGATTAACTGCAACGGCGAATCAGCTCAAAGTCTGTGGCAAAACCCGGATAACAAGAAAACCGCGAGGCTCTCAGAGTTTGGCGAAATGATAAGATCAGCTTTCGGGTTTCCTGTGAACAGACACCGCTCATCGGAAAAACCTTCGTCGTCTTCATCATCCTCTGTTCACAACGTTCTCTTTGTCCGCCGTGAAGATTACTTAGCGCACCCTCGTCACGGCGGTAAAGTCCAGTCTCGGCTCAGCAACGAGGAAGAAGTGTTCGACTCGTTGCACCACTGGGTCGAATCTGGCTCCATTGGTTTGACGAAATGCGGGATCAACCTTGTGAATGGATTGTTTGCGCACATGTCGATGAAAAATCAAGTCCGAGCCATCCAAGACGCGTCAGTGATCATAGGAGCTCACGGAGCGGGGATGACTCACATTGTGTCTGCAACACCAAACACTACGATATTTGAGATTGTGAGCGTAGAGTTTCAGAGACCTCATTTCGAGCTTATAGCCAAGTGGAAAGGTTTGGAGTATCATGCGATGCATCTGGCGAATTCACGGGCGGATCCAACGGCTGTGATTGATAAGCTAAAAGAGATAATGAAGAGCCTTGGCTGCTGAAACCCACACACACAAAAACAAAAAAAAACAAATGTGGAATCGGAGTAGCGAGCGAGTTCGAGTCTCCGGTGACTCGTGAGTTCGAGTCTTAGCGGCCACGGGATGTTATGATATATATACTCTTTTTTTTTTCATTTGTAGGTGAGTTAATGATGTCAAAGTGGTGTAAATTAGCTTTTGCTTTTTGTACTAGACAGGCTTTTTGACCCGTGAGTTCGAGTCTTAGCGGCTACGGGATGCATTCTGATTCATAATTATTCCATAGTATCTGGATGTAAAAGTGATACATGGTATTTCCAAAATTTCCTTGTTTTTTAGAGAACCGGGTGATTGTGAAGAACAATTGGCACAAAGAACGAACGTCCCTTAACGATCCCGTCCTTTTAAGCTCCTCGCTGTTTTAGCCACCACTGCCCACTGGTTATGTTTCCTCTATCTTGGTTTGATGCATCACCGAAGAAGATGAAGTTGATAACTGAAAAGAGAGTTTTGAAGTGATGGCTAAACCTGGATTCGTGATTGTCAACCGTGTTATAGTCTATCTTAAAGCTAGATTAATAGCTCGTGTTGAGCTTTTAACACCATAAGTGATGCCTGTTGGCTACAAATAATGAAGACGATGTTATAGAGTTACAAAAAAACACATGAAGATTTGGTGGACATGACTAGAAACAGAACAGAACCTAAATCACTGAGACATTTCTAATCCACATATCTGGTCACATCAAAACTGCTTTCTTGATTGAAAGTCTTCTTCAACAGAGTATATAAAGGCTGAAACAAAGACTTTTACTACGTACGCAACGCAAGACCAAATGCTTTTACGCTTTTCTTTTTGTTTTTCTTAACCAGGCTTTTTTTTTTTTTTTTTTTTTTTGACGTCATTTCCATTAAAGACCCAAATTGGGTAATTACATGGTCGACCAAGCCCAACAGTTTTACAACATAAGCCCAGGCTTCTAAAATACAAGCGTTGACATCACGCTGGACCGAAAAAATAAAAAAGTTGTCAACATATTCAGCGTTGACATAACGCAAATCCAAACAAAAAAATATCAAAAAAATACATAAGCGCCATTGATCCCTACCTTAGTCTTTCTCTTTTGTGCCTCGTATCTTCGGTGTAGGATATACAATTCAAGTGCTTGTTAGTTTCTATTACTGTGTGTGTAATGAGGAAAGGAACGAAGAGAAAAGGTGGTTCAAAAGCACTAGGCAAAGTTTCTGTTGCGGAGATTCACAACGATGTGGTGATGGCTGAGTCTCACGCAAACGCGGAGGAGAATGAGGAAGACGCCATGGGAGTAATAGACGAAGAACCTAATTCCTTAACGCCGGTGGATCAGGAAGATGAGGCCAAAGAAATTTCTCCAAGAGCTAAGAAAGCCCGACATGAGCCTGAGTACTTGGAGGAGAAACGTAATCTGGTATGCTTTTGCTAACCTTAATTAATTTAGGATATACACTGGTTAAGGAAGATTCATCACTGTGATTCAATGCAATTTGGGGCGCTTGTGCTGTGTGTTTTGGTTATCTAAGCTTAATTATATGAAAAACTGAAAACAGAAGTGAGAATTTTTCTTTGTTTTTGGGTGTGATTTCAGCAAGATTTGTGGAAGGCTGCGTTTCCTGTTGGAACTGAGGTATATATATATATTTGTTTTTTTGAGGAATTAATCATATGGCTTTAACTTCGGGGTTTGTTACTGTCTCCCATTGATATATATTTTTTGCTCATGGTTGTTAATTTTTGATGGCAGTGGCATAACATAGATGGAGTTTATGACATCGATTGGGATTTCAAACATCTTGAAGTAAGTTGTTTGGTTATAATTCTCTTCTTTTCTTTTTCTGATGCTGTATATTGTTGATGAGATTCTGGTTATTTATGTTTCGTCTGTGTCAGGAAGCATTGGAGGAAGGAGGAATGCTCTATGGGAAGAAAGTCTATGTTTTTGGCGTTGCAGAACGTAATTATAATGTTTCTCTCGCTTTTCTTCTTTCTTGTTTTGTGCTGTATGCTCTCTTCCTTTTTTTTTCCTTAACATTTGCTTCTAAGTCCTGGTTAATTTTCACTTTTTATATTTACAGCTCAGTCTATCCACTACAAAGGTGCAGCGAAGTATGCCCATGTCCCAACAGTCGTTGCCGTGAGTTAACCTCTATCATCAACGATTTGCTTCCTATCACCGATCATCTATATATATTATCATCTCATTCTATCTCTAATATTCTATATATATGCAGGTCGAATCACCCTTTCCACCTTCTGATAAGATAGGGGTAACGTCGGTTCAGAGTGCAGCGGAGAAAATCATTCCAATGAAGCAGATGAAAATGGACTGGGTTCCTTACATTCCTTTTGAGAAAAGGTACCATATATGATATTTCCACTTTTGGACTTTTGATGTTGCTAATTACTCCTTTTGCTTTCTTCTTCTTGCAGAGGTAGCCAAGTTGATAGGATGAATCCTCAAATTTTTTGCCTGGTCTGTACGCAGAGGAGTAAGAAGCATGCATGTGTTCTAGAAGAGATTTATAGTTAACATTATTACATATAAAACATTTGATTATTAGAACATGGAACATAGCATCACGTATCTATTACAAGATAGTTTGATGACTTGTTTTTTCCTCTGCATTTTTATTTTTCTTTAGGGTGCGTGTATCTATCCCCATGTCTTTCACCATTGCAAAACTGTAGTCTTATTATACAGATAGTAATTGTTTGAATCTATCAGTTTTGGTGTACTCATTTTAGCTTCATTATCTCCAGATCTGCTCTCAAACATTTGAAGGAAGATCGTGTAAGGAAGTTCGACTACTGCCTTCCTTCTGAGTTTTATTCCTCTACTACTAATACTAGTTAACTTTTGCAGAGTGAAAACCATTTATATACGTATATAAAATCTGATACATCTCTTCTCTCTTTTTTTTTTTTTTTTTGATTTGCAGATTTCTATGATCCATTAAAGGAAGATGAACTTGAACGGAGTACTGTGGTCGATATATTGTTCCCCTCCGAACCGCCGGTAAGTTCTCTGGCATCGAAGTGGAAGTAGGTCTACATGATTGTTTTGGGTATTAACTTTCTAACCAAGCTTTAATTTCTGTTCTTGCTAGGTTGTATGTGAATTTGACTGGAAGGATGACAAACTTGAGGTTTGCGTTTGGCTTTTTTTCTGAAACCATAAATACAAAACTTAAATTACTTGTTCATCTTCTTCGCGCTGGCTCCTTCCTTGTGTGTTCAAATTGCATTCATTGTATATTTGTATTGAGATGGCCTTTTGTGCATATCTATCTCAGGCATTTGCTAATGACCTGATTGAAGGGGAAGAAATTTCTGAGAAACAAAAGGATGAATTCAAAGTAAGTGTTTGAAGCTGTAACACAACTTGTTAGTTCATGACGCTTAAGTATATATCTCTAGTTACGAGATTTGGTTTGTTTTGTATTTTGTTTCTCTCAGGAATTTGTGAAAGAGCATGTTCGAGCAGCAAAGAAAGCCAGGCAAGAGGTAAAAATTGTAACCCGATTTGTATGTATATGAAGCTACATTGAGTGAAACTCTTTTGCTGAAATAATAAGGTGTTATTATATATATATATATATATATGTATATATTGCAGGCAAGAGCAGCTCGATTGAAAAGAATAGAAGAAATGAGCCAAGATGATAGGGAAGCCTTTCAAAGCATCAAGTTCTACAAATTCTATCCTCAGCCTTCACCAGACGTCTCAGGATTCCTCAAGGTAAAGAAGAAAAGAAAAACAAAAATCAGCCTCCTCCAATTAATTATAGTGTGTATATAAAAACAAAACAAACCGAGAGTATAGTTTGTTTTCAAAGCTACGAGAATATGTGAATCATTTTTGTTTGCTCTTTTTTTTTTTCTTTTCTTTTCAGGGGCCAAGAATAAACCGATACTACGGGAATGCACATCGAGTCCTCTGATATGGAAATCTTCAGAACTCATATTAGCTAGCTTTTGGGTTGGACGGAATGTAAAAAGTACTTTTTAGTCAAAACGTTAGAAAGATGTAAACACATTTTTTGTGATAAAATAAGTATCATCTATATACATTCAGTTGTCATTAGGTGTGGAGATGCGGGGTATCGATCCCCGTACCTCTCGCATGCTAAGCGAGCGCTCTACCATCTGAGCTACATCCCCATTTGGTAAATGGTAAATTATGCTTAATACAATAGATTATGAACATTACTGCTCAGAAGTCAGAACATTAGAAACGTAGAAAGATTGGCTGATTCGTTGAAAAAGACAATGATTTATATTTCGAAACACAAACCTGTAAATCTAATATACCACGTGGAGTGCAGAGAAACTGATGTGGATTTCGAATGGATTGAGAGGAGGATTAACATGACCATAATCTATGTGGATTAACTCAGTATGTTTCATCGTTTTAGGAATCCTCAGAATAATGTCTGGCTGAAAAAAAATGAACTAGTTCTGCAAATGTTAGTTGGATTTTCTTTAAGAAAAAAAAATAACAAGACACACGTCTCTATTTCTCATTAGCTTAAGCAGCGAAACCATTTTCCTCTGTTTTCAACATCTACAAAAAAAGTCAGAAAAAAGAAAAAATGTTGGAACAAAATCAACGTGGGCGGGAAAATGCAAGCTTCTTGGGTTTGGTAAGGAGTTGCAGAAAGAAGAGAAAGCTCCTTTGATATCTTCAGGGATTGGGAGAGCCAAATAGAGTACTGGTAAATCAACTTGAGACTTCTAGTTTGATGTCCCAAGGGGACAGAGTGAGCCAAAGCTGTTTGCCTTTTGTTAAGTCCTTCGAGGATGAAAGAGAAGGCACCAAAAGTGAGACAGCTTTGTAGCATTCCTTGTGGTGCACCTGCAACACACATGATCACAAGGTAACGAACTGTTAGCTCGGCTATGCATCTATCTTTGCATTATAGGTCAATCAATTTGAAGTTATCTCTCTCGGGTACTTTCTAAGTCCTAGGCAGATTTAAAACAAGTTCAAGAAACATCTAAAATGTTTTCATCATTAAAATTGTTGGAGACCTCTATCACACGTAAATACCTCAAATAGTTCATCATCTTAATTGAAAATGGGGGGGATATGGATTCAAAAATATACCGAAGAAACTAAGAGCAAGGCCAGTGGAGCATCCAGCAACTCCAATGAAGTATACACAGAAAAAATAAGCTTAATCGACTGCAAAATAAGAATCATAAACTGAGTGTAATGTTCTTCTCTGGAAAAGCTATGCTAAAGAAGTCTACACAGACACCATTGTTATCCCTCAAGAACCTCATGAGTCTAGATTTTTAGAGAAACTCGGACAATAAAATCAGATACTAAGTCCCTTCGAACACCTATGATTGTTCAACCTCAATCTCAAATAATCTGTTTGAAATCAAATAGATTTCACTCGCAACACACATACACAAAAAAAAAAAACACAAAAAAAAACAGATAAACACCAACATAAGAAATGATCAAGACTCCTGGTCTTGATATATGGCTCCAAACTCAGCTCTCCATGCTTGATCGTCTGCATAATCGTCATAGCTGACCAAACCGGTTCTGTGTTCTGATTCATGTTCCTCATTCTCCATGACCAAACCGGTTCTGTGTTCTGATAAATTTTCCTCATTCTCCTTGAACCATGGCTCTAATGCAGACCCTGGTAGTTTGCTTTCTGCAAGATATTGCTTCATTGTGCTCATTTCTGTTTTGTGCTTACTCTTTAACTTCTCCATTTGCTTCTTCAACCTCTCATTCTCTTCTTCAATTAAGCTGAAACGTTCCTGCAATCATAGTTTTTGAATCCAAAACCAAATTAGCAATAAAAGAATTCACAAGTGAGCCAATCACAACTAACGTTCATGTATTTTTGAGGTTTGGTTCATGAGGCTTTTCAAATTTGGTCAAAGTAAAAGTTACCTCAGAGGATTGCACATATTGCTCAGCTTCTCGGAGTCTGATAAGTAATTCTCCTGCAGCTTGGACAGCTTCAGCGGTATCTCGCAGCTGAACTTTAAGGCCCTTGTTCTCCTTTTTCAGGAACTCTCTTTCTTTCTCCTTCTCAGCTCTAATGGCAGTAAGCTCAGCTGAGAAAGCTTTTGCAAAACGCTTCCCATGACGGCCTTTCACAGCAGCTTTAGCCGCCGCTTTTTTCACATCAACTATTCCTGCCATCGTCACACTATGCCTCTCAGCTAATTCATCATACTTCTCCTGTAGTTCTGTGTATTGCTCGATGAATCTACTGTGACCAACCATAGCTCTACTAAGAGCGTCATTTAACTCCTCTGTAGCCATTTTCTCTTTTTTGAGCTCTATCTCCAGATCCTCTGCGTGTCTACGGTGGCTATCAATATCCATTCTCAGATCATCTGTTAATGATATCCATTCACTCTCCATTTCTGTCCACCTTTCACGTTCTTCCTCTAGGACGTCACTGTTGTTCTCCGCGTTCTTGGTAAGATCAGTGCTTTTCCTCATTTGAAAGGACCGTAAAAGCAAAGATGATCTCAGATTATCTGTTGATTTAGTAGGCTGTAGCTTGCTCTTAAGCTCTGCAATCTCCTTTAAAAGAGCTTCCTTTTCACTGAGATCGATCCTTTTCTTCCCAAACTCCTCACTAAGTTGGTTTGTCTCATATGTTTCCTTCACAACCTCTGTCCCATCTTCACCATCGATGGGTTTCATCAGCTTCAGAACAGATAAGCATAGTCAAATATGTGAATACCCATGTCTTGCAAACAATTCAGTGATTTATTTGTTCTGTGGAATGAAAAATCGTTGGTTTACCTTACTTGGCTCTTGCACACTGTTCTTTTTGTATTGGTCTAACTGAAGAATTATTATAAAAAAAATGTCAGAAAACTCAAATTCAACGTTTAACACTCTGTCGTCTCATCATAAGTTGTAAGGTTTACCAGACAAGTTAGCTGCTCAATTTTGGTAGCCTGCTCCATACACATGTTCTTGAGATGCTTCTCGTCTGCGCAAGTTTCTTCTGTTGCCTTATATCCTCCCTGTTAACAAAAGAAATAAGTAATCAAAACGAACAGAGCACTATAAACAAATGCAGGAAAATGCATCTCAGGTTTTCTAGACGTACTTCAGCTTCTTGGTCAAGTTTCTGTCTGCAAGAAAGGCACAGAAGAATGGATGATCCACCTTCTTTTGGTCTATCTTCCTGTAACAATGCCGAAGCACTAAGATTCTCGGCTTCATCGCAAGGCTTCAGAGACAGATGCCCAAACGAGAAGGAAACAGAAGATCTGTTTGAAAGTGAGCTCCTTTGGTGACAGTCTATAATCTGTAGTCCTCTCTGGAGACTTGCAGCTAGAGAATCTGTAGGACTCAAAGGCTTCTTGGACATACAAGGGCCAAATTGTTCGACAGTTTTGCTTCCAATGTTGTGGCTCTCGGTTACATTCCTCGGACTTGCCTGAAACTTTGTCGACACAGCCACGCTCTTCCTAAAGTTCCTAATCTTTGGAGATTCGGACAAAGCTGGCTCTTCAAGAGTACGAGCCTGGTGAGGTAAGCTGATTGAAATCCCATTTCCCACAGATTCAGCCAAGGCACAATCTTTGTGAATCCGACGCTTGTGTATCTCCACATCTTCTGAGCAGATCTCATCTCCGCTCATCGACTCTGCTTCACAACAGGACGCACTTGCAAAAGAGGATTGCATAGAATCCTTCAAGTCATCAACATCAGAGAAAGCGTGAAACTTCTCAATATGTCTATTCAATTCCATCACATCATCATCCATTGTTTCCTTTTCTGAATCTTCTTTGTTTCCACACGACATGACTAAAGACTTGTTGATGCTCATTCTCAATTGACTCAAGCTCTCCCTCACAAAGTAACCACCCTTGCTTCCATCAGGTTTGTACCCATCAGACTTGGTTCTTATTAGCTCCTCCTATAAACCACAAAAACCAACATTATACACAATGCCATTGTGCAAACACACAACAAATACACAACCATTGTGTAGCAAAAAAGGAGACCTTTAGTTCACGAATCTGGTCACCCAATTTGTCATCTTCCTCTGTAATCTCGTTAGCCATTGGGACAGATCTTGTGGCCAGTACATTCCTGGCTTCAAACTGTTGTAATTCAATCGAGATTAAGAGGCTGCAACATTATCTTTCAAATCGAAAAGAAGAATTCACTATCGTGAAGACAAAAACTGTTACCTTTAGTGGAGAATTTGAACCAATATCCTCTTTGTCTTCAGGGTAAGTGTTTGGCACAAACTTCTGAATCTGTTTAACATGTAAGCAAAACAGTTTGTCTTTTTTTTTTTTTGTTTCTGTTTTCACCGAGAATCATTTACTCATGTCGATAGTACTATGTAAAATAACGAAATGGAATCAACCTTAGATAGAAAGTTCTTAGGTAATGGATTTACCTGAGTTTGTTCTTCGGGGAGAATCTGGGTCGCGGCGGATAAGAATACTTTCTGCGGCGATTTTTTCTTCAAGTGAAGATCGTTATGAGCAGTATGTATGTTTGAGTCGCAGGGAGGCGCGTTCTCATCGTTGGATCTGAAACTTTGAGCTTGTGGATTTTGGATTGATTTCTGCTTCGCGTAGATGGATCTGGGAAGCAAATTTCGGATAGAAGAAGTCGAAATGTTTCCTAAGAACCGATTCTCTCCGATCTTCGCTGGGGACTTCATCGTTTTCACACAGATTTAGGGAAACTGAAGATTTCTAGATTTAGAGAGAGACAGAGAGAGAGAGTGTGTGTGAGTGAAAGTTAAGTGTGAGGGACAGAGGAAGACGACAAGGTATCGATTTTTGAATGTTGAGACATATCGATTCGACCGTTGGCATTCGAAATATTGTTTTCTGAAAATAAATGGGCTTTTGAAATTGGGCTTTTAAATGGATATATTGTTTTGGTAACCTACAAAGCCTTTTTATACTTTCGAATTTACGATATTATAAATTAAATTTATGATACAACATTTTTTTCACTTACCCGTAATTATTTTTAATTAATAAGTAGCAGTCGACGAAAAATAAAAAAAGTAGCAGTCATAGTTCCAAAAAATTACCGTCCGTGCAGAAATGAATTTTCGTTTTATTTCAATACTAAGGCTTTTTTAACTCGTTGATGTTTTACTTTTTTTGCCTGTGATAGTCTACTGATAGTGTAGATAAGAAGATCCTTGAGGCGGGGCGAATAATTAAACAATAATTTGGAATTGGGAGAAAAGTTGATTTGTATGTTAATAAAATGGAATATAAGGTTTTAAGCAACTAAAAAGAAAAGAGTAGGCGTCGAGATGATAGTGACATTTTTTATGTTATAATGTCAGCAATTATAGTTTGAAAATTTTGGCATTGAAAACATATATAACCAATAATTGTCAAAAGAAAAAGGAAAAAAAACCAACAATGATATTTAATTGACACATGAATAATGACAATATATAAATTCAAACATAATAAAATCAGCACTTTTTGGATCTTTTTATCATTTTACCTTCCTTGTGGGTTCTACACATCTTCATACTTTTATGTCATATCTAACTTTAATCTGTGTATGCACTCATATCCACTCAATGTTTTGATTAATAAAAAATATTTATATGGTTAACACAAAATATACAATTACAGTTTTCGTCCACTTATTTATTCTAGAAATTCCATAGTTATTTAAATATTTATATGTATTGGTTTGCAAATTGTATATAGAAAAACAAAAAACAGATATAAGTATAGAGATCATGTGAGAATCACTTGATATGCTTTGCTAAAAACTGACGAGTGGGGCCCAAAGCCCATTAGCTCCGAATAAGAAAAGTTCCAAAAGAAATGAAAACGCTCTTTTCTTCTATCTTTCCTTCTTTTTCAATGTTTGGCGATAATATTGCCAATTTACAAAACCAGCAAGAAAGACTCCATTAACGCTTTTGCCAGCCAAAAGCTCACAGCTTTCCTTCTTCAGAAACAGCTCTGTAAGTGATTTTCATTCCCGTGAAGTATTATTTGCGATTTTTTAAAAAAATGGTCATGGAAAAGAGGTAAAAGCTTATAGCTTTCAATCTACTTTTAAATTTCACAGCCGAAACAGTTGAATTTTTTGGTATATGACTATGCCCCACTTTCTTAGTGGTCCGCCATTGAAGTGACTATGCAAAACCCTAATCTTATCTCTCTTTCTTTCTGCCGACCCCTAAAATTCCAATCTTTTTTCAACTTGCTAACAGTTTTGCATTTATGTCTCTCTTTGAAAATTGTCCTGTTTGTTTCTAACTTTTCTTATGTAACTCACATGCTTGCTGTTCTTTCAATCATATTCTTACACGACTACAACTACGAATTTTTCTTTTAGCCTTTTTTTCTTTTGTTTTAAAGTTTCTCTTTCTGGGTTGCTCTGTTAGATAATTCAGCTGACTTCTCTTCTTACTACCTTGGTTTCTCTTGTTGTGGATCAGAGCTTCGTTTTGGATTTAAGGCAAGTTTTTTTTTTTTTTTTTTTGTAAGTAAATGCCCCTTTTTGTGTGTTGAGTGCAAGATGTGGCAGAATTTTGTGTTTGTGCTTTCTTTTCTGATTGGATCGAGCAAGATACTTTCGATTAGGTCATCTGTTGTTGTCATTAACACAAAGTCTATTGCTTTATTGTTTGATACCGCTCATGAGTTGTTTGACTTGGTTAGAGTTTGAATTTAAAGACTTGTACCTAAACATGACTCCAGTTAGACTGGTTTCAAAAGTTTCATTGTTGTTCAATATGTTATCTATGGTGAAACAGCTTGTAAATTGTTATCTGAATTTGATCTGTGTATTTTTTGGCTATGTCGAATTTTGAAATTCACTGTATAGCTCTGCTCTGATTTTGACATCAAACTGTTCTTTCGGTTGGTGTTTGAGTCTTTTCCAAAGAACTTTCTGTCTCTAAATCGCAATATTTCTTTTTGATAAACGAGTCATGTTCTTCAGAAACTGTTAATCCACATTGTTCCGTTTTGAACTATGTTTAGTTAACAACTTCAGGGGCTTATTCTAGATTTTTTTTTTTCTTTCACGAGTCTCTCTATTTTAAAATTTGATCTTTCAGTTACTGTACTTGCATTTATATGCACAATGGAAATTATGGAATAGCCCTTTGCATGCTTAAGAAAATGTTCAATAAACACCATCGCGTGGTGAAAAAATTGCTCAGCTTGGTGTTGTACTTATGGGAGTCATGTCTCTTCTTGATTTTCAAGTTGCCAACAAAGATGAGACCATTTACAAATACTGATACTAATGGCCCTAATGTTTGCAGGATTGTTTCTTAGGTTTTGCAATGGACTCCCCACAATCTGTTGTTTCACCATTCAAGATTGGTGAGTCAGAGAATGAGAACTCAACTTCTGTGCAAAGCTCTGGTAACCGATCAAATGGTATCGAATCAAATGGAAAAGATTCTATCAGTTGTGGCCGGCAAGACCTTGTTGGTACTCTTCAGGTTTATGTGCATCAGGCAAGAGATATCCATAACATTTGTATATACCACAAGCAAGACGTTTATGCCAAGCTTTGCCTTACCAGTGATCCTGAAAAGTCTGTCTCGACCAAAATCATCAATGGCGGTGGGAGGAATCCGGTTTTTGATGACAACGTTAAGCTTGATGTCAGGGTTCTGGACACTTCCCTCAAATGTGAGCTTTACATGATGAGCAGAGTGAAGAATTATCTCGAAGACCAGCTGCTTGGTTTTACTCTGGTTCCTATGTCGGAACTGCTCTGCAAGAATGGTAAACTCGAGAAAGAGTTCTCTCTTTCTTCCACTGATCTGTACCATTCGCCAGCTGGTTTTGTTCATTTGTCTCTCTCCTACAATGGATCCTACCCTGAAGTGATGGCTATTCCCTCAATGCCTTCATGTGTTTCTGTTGATGAAACTACCAAGAATCCAGAAGGGTCTGAATCAGTTCCGGATGAGTTGGATAAGATAGAGTTTCCAGATCCTAATGTCGCCAACGAAAACGAGAAGATGGTTTCCGAGTATTTTGGGATCTCCTGTTCCACTATCGACACAGAAACTTCTGACAGCCTGGTCACTACTGATACTGACAATCATGTAGCCAATTCTGTCACTTCTATACTGAAGCAAGATTCACCTGAGAGCAGCAATGCAACAAATGGAGGTGCTTCTCCTCACGCTTCAGCACACTCCGCCACACCAAACCATGAACATATCTCTCTCGTGGATTCCAAAGCGGATTCCCAGGAGTCAGGGAGCGAGGCTTCAGGTGAGACATCCGAGGAGAAGATTGTGAAACCCACCCTCAGTGTGAGGGTTGAGCCAGAGTCAAAGGTTGTGCAGCAGGATATAGTCGACATGTACATGAAAAGCATGCAACAGTTTACTGATTCACTGGCTAAGATGAAGCTTCCTCTGGACATTGATAGCCCAACAAAATCAGAGAATTCAAGCTCTGATTCTCAGAAGCTGCCAACACCAAAGAGCAACAATGGATCCCGTGTGTTCTACGGGAGCAGGCCTTTCTTCTGAGCATCTGTTTTACCAAGTTCAGAGGAAGAACGCAGGTCACTCTTAGACTTTTCTAATGAAGAATGACTAATCCTAATGATGTAATTTTATGATGTACTATTTGATGTTGTATCTCCCATCTGGTTCATCTCGATGCTTTAGCTGATGTGAAATTATTATTATGTATCTCTAGCCTTTGCCCTATTAGAACTATGTTCGCACTATATGAACCTAATCATGTTTGTTTATCCTGAATTGCTGATTTTTACATCCACAAGAATCTCTAAAGGATAGTGGATCAATGCTAAGATTACTTAATTATTTGTACAATCATAATGTGGTGTGATTGTCACCCGCTGGACCCACTTTGCCTTTGTGACTATCAAGAGGAGATCCCATAGGTGGGGAGAGAGAGGCAGAGGATCCAATGATTCAGCTTTCTGAAAAAAATCTTGAGAACAAATGTTTGGATGTTCTTTGGTTAGTTCAAGTGTCATTTTCATAGGTCTTGAGAGCATGCTTTTCTGTCTTTATACCATTGTGGTAATAAGAAAAAGGGATCCAACAGTTAATTGGTAAAATATTTAAAAACATTCTCATACGGTTACAGAGACTTTATTGAAAATGGTTATGACTATATGAACTACTTTCTCTTACTTTTTATTTTGTTTTGTTTGTAGCTAGTTAACAAGCATCAGAGGGGAACTTGGATCACTTCATTGGCTCTGGTGATCATATGCCGTTTGCAGATCCAGGCGATGGACCCATCGTCTCTGTATCTAACTCGCCAGAGGCCAAACTTTTCTGCAATGTCCCCGCCGGTCGTGCAATTCTGTTCCCTCAAGTAATCGATGAGCCACTGTTGAGCTGCTCTTTGGTCTTGCTCCTGAAAACCTCTATCTCTGCCTCGGTTCCTACCCAATGCAGCAGCGACCCCCATGGCTCCTGCAGCTCCGGCTGCTCCAGCCATGACAGATGGGTTGGCTAGGTGAGCGATTGCGTGGCCCAAGTCAGGTATCATGTGTCCCATCCCAGCTGCCCAGTTTGCTCCTATCCTCAGTGCAAAAGTCACCAGCTTCATGAAGTTTGTCATGTATGGAGCCAAGGCCTTGACAGCTTGGTTATCTATCTGCATCACATCACATCCAAGCTGATCTTCTACAACGTGCATTTCCCGTCTAAATTCGCATAACATGTGTATCCTTAAAGAAACCATGCCAGGAACCATTGCTGTGATCAGTCTTCTCCCGTAGTTCTCTGGTCTGACGAAGTAAAACATGTTTGGGACTTTTCTTTCATCCATCTGGACATTGTAGTTGACAAGGTAATTCACTTTGTGATAAAGCTGGAGCAGAAGTCTGTGCTCGTAGTATCTCAGTCCTTGGATCTCTTGCTTCAGGTCTCGTATCTCTTGCTCAATAATCTTCAGCCTCTGAAGTACTGCTTCAACACCCTTAGCGATTCCATCGAAGCTAGGATCAACTTTTTCCAGCTCATTGGTCACCTCTGCTTGATTTTCTGCTTCTGGATTTTCCTCGGTGGGAACTTGTAATTCTTGGGCTAAGTCGTACAGATCATGGTACCTTTTTTGCAAGACTTGTCTGAAATCATCATCAGAGAGGAGGTCGCGAGCTAAATCAAATCCAGCTCTTAGAACAGTCTTACCTGAATCTAGAACAGATTCCCATGTGTGTTGATAGTCATACATAGTCTCTGCAGGAACTGATGCTAATGCTTCTTTTAGTCTCTGGAGGGAAACAAGTTGACTTTGTCGGAATCGCGGTGGAGTTAAGTCCTGGACGCATTGTGGTCTTATGATGTGCTCAAGGAGGATTACACCGTGGCAGGTGTTCAGGATAGCCGGAATGATTAGCTGGTGAATGAACCTCAAAGTTTCTGTCAAACTCTGTGTTGAACAAGCAAGAACATCAATGTAGTTTCCCAACTGTCCTCCAAGCTCCACTCTAACATTTATGCCTTGGATCGTTATAGCGATGAGGTACTTCTCAAGGCTATAAGTCGCCCCATGTTGGTTCCTCAGTTCCATGATTATGTTGTGAAGATGCACCTGTGCAGGCAAATATCAACGATCAGTAAGGTTTGACTTCTAAAGAGATGAAATAAACAGATAGTTTTTTTTTTTATAGAGCCCTTACCTGTAAACGAGGGAAGAATCCAGGTGTGAGGAACATGTGACTTGAATCATCGCAGTGGAGATGCCGGCCAGTATAAACACAGTCCTTTGTTTTTATCTGCCATTTCTGAGCCTTTCCTCTGCCTTCTTCAAGAATCGATGGGACTAACAATGAAGAATCTGGATTGGAAGGATCTTGTTCATAGCAAAGTTCTACTTTCTTCATTATCCTCACAAGGTCACACGGATCCAAGTGCTCAAGTACCTTTGAGGTCATCCCTGGAACCGGACTCTGCAAACTATTTTTCAAAATCTTCTCCAGCGCTTTTCTGCCTACAAAACCGTTTCTTTCCCCGGAGCTTTGCTTTCTTACATCAATCTTTATCAACTGAGCAAGAACCTCCCCACAAAACCATTCGTAGTCTAGTATCAAAAAACCCAACTCCTCAAAGTAAATTACCTCTCCTGTTTGGTGAAGGCATGTGGCTACGGCTCGCCGTCTTCTCTCCACAATCTCAATGTTCTCGTTTCGAGACTTTATTCTCAAAGGAGGAACTTTAGTTTGGCAGAGGTCTCCAAAGGCTTTCCATCTCATAATAGGTTTGTTTGAATTAAATGATCTCCACTCTGATAAGAGCGGTATCATATCATTGCAAAGCTGATAAACCCGAGGAACTCTTTCAAGGATGGATTTGCTACTCAACCGAATATGATGTGCGAGTTTACTAACCGAAGTTGATGATCTTGCATCAACTGTGAATACGGTCGGGTAGAAATCCACTAAATCTTGAAACGTATCTCTCACTCTCTGAATGGAACCCACCGTTCCATGAAAGCTCTCTGATTGTTGGTTGATTTTCTCGGCATGCGTGAGGACGATTGTAACATTTGGTTTCATGCATTGTTGACCCGCTTTTCTCGAGTTGGAAACGATGAATCTAAGCCAGTATTGAAGCTCTTCTTCTACTTCTGCTGGTGGTTTGAGTTCTTTATTGCTCGGTTTCCTAATCAAGCTCAATATGATCAAGAAGAGACATGGACTTGGGAACATAACATCATGAAGAGCATAGAACTCGTGCTGCCCCGCGAGATTCCACATCGAGATCTTTGTTTCATCGTCCATAAATGTCTTTATTTTCATCCCACCAACTGTTTTAACGGCTTGCTCCACAGGATTTATCAAATTTTTCACATTCTCCACATAGGGAAAACCGGATGCAGAGTTACTTTGCAGTATAGAGTTGCAGAGAGTTGTCTTGCCTGCATAGTCTTGTCCACAGAGGAAAGCTCTAACGCTCTTTGGCTCAGTGAGTGGCATATCCTTGAGTGTATCAGCCTCTGCTTCATCTATCTTCCTACCATTTTGTCCCAGCTTCTGATAAATCTCATCTGCTTTCCCTGAATCGTGAAGCGGAGTTCTGGCTAAATCAATTTCCTCAACCAATGGATTAATCTGCAATGTCTCTGTGATTGCCTCCAAGACTCTGTCACCTCTTACCCCTTTGCAGCCCTGTAAGGACAACCGTCTTAAAGATGCGTTCTTCTGCAAGCTCTTGAAGATCTGTATGAAATCAGCAGGTCCCAGACTCTCATCGTCGTGAATCCCGAGATGAACCACAGTCTCATTTGTTGTCACCATCGTCAAAACCGCGGTAAGCCCATGTCTTCCAATCTTTGTCTTGGAACCTCCAAACACAACTGACTTGAGTGTGATGTTGGCTTGCAATTGCAGAGAAGAGAATCTACTCAACGGACAAAGCAAATCCTCGACACCAACGCTCCCAAAACGATTTCCATCAACATACAAACTCTGCAAGCTCTTGTTCTGAAAAAGTCCAGCTGCAACATACACAACCGCTTTGTCTTTAAGACCAGTTTTCGAAAGTTTCACTTCTGTAAGAGTCTTGTTCTGCTCAAGAACCCATCGGAACTCCTTGGCCCACCGCGAATTCAGCTTCGCGCATGTCATGTCTAGAGACGTCACGGTTGTGTTCATCCCCAATGCTGCAGCGACTCTGCAAGAGCCAGAAATGTCAATCTGGTAAATCCTAAGAGTCTTGCTCTCAGGCAAGAACTCAAGGCCCTTTGAGCTTCTGTCTCGTTTGTGGTCTCCACTCCACACATGAACCTCCATTTCCCTGTTCATACCCAAAACGGCAGATATCAATGGCGTCGCAGTGGAGGGACTCAAGTCGAATATGGAGAGAAGTTTCAAGCTTGAGTTTTTTTCGATCATCTTCGAGAGCTCTTCTGCTCCCTTTGACCGGATTGAGTCTTCCCAAATCTGCAATTCCTCTAACGATTCGTTAACTTCGAGAGCTGACCCGAGAAGCGTAGCTCCTCTAAATCCAATCCTCGACTCTAAGAACCTAATCTCTTTCAACGAACTGTTTCTTCTCAAAAAATCTGAGAGCTCGCTCAGACATTGTTCACTGAACCTGTTCTTTCTGAAAGCAAGCTGCTTTATCTGCGAGGTGTTGTCGAGAAACAAACCAAGGCCCTGCATTAGCTCGATTTCCCAAGCGATACCTTCGAATTCCAAGTTCCTGAGAGATGTTTGCGTCTCTAAAGATGTGGCTAGGTCGACGAAGATCTGAGAAAGTGAAGTGAGGTCGTCTCTGCTGACGTTGATGTTCATGGTGTCGTCTGTTAGTAGCTGACAATGTGTGATTTTTCCGGACGAGGAGAAAGATAAGGTTTGAAGGTTGAAGCAATTTTGTTGTGGGTCTTTGATTGCTTGAAGAAACCATGAGAGGTTTATGAAGCTTTGGTCTGCTTCTGACGCCATCTTTGGCCAAGAGAGAGAGAGAAGAAAGGTAAAGTGGGAAAACTAATTTAGTTGTCAACAAAGTTTTTGCAAATGTATAGAGGGGATTTTGCTTCTTCTTTTATAGAGGTACTTTACTTTAATGATGAGTTTGAAAAATGCTAGTTGGGAGGTGACAAATATATAGACTAAATTATTGATTTATCATCAAATGTTGATATATTGTTTTTATAAATATTTGACAAGTACGGGATTCAATTAAAGTTATAGAATGATTTGATTTTTATTGAGATTTTAGATGATTTTGATGATTTTTGGTGAATTTTTGTTTTAAATATAATTTTATTTAAAATTCTAAATGATGTCACTTTAAAACCATGAGATTTGGAGTTTTGTATTTTTTAACTAAGAAATCTTCTAAATAACATAAGATTTGTTAATTTAATACAAATCACTTCAAATGCTTATTTCAATACACCTCATGAGTTCTCTCTTATAATGTTTTGATAATTACATCTCAATCACATTCTAAAATAACTTAGAGTAAATCAAAATACTGATTAAAAATTTATAAACAAAGTATTCTTTTCCATAACTATAAAGAATTGAAACCATTATTTCTGAACATTAGATATGGTAACTTAGTGTATAAATGCCAATAATAAGAAACAAATCCACAAATGCTTTATTATAAGAATTTGTTTAATTTAAAAATCAATAAATAGAAACTTCTACGTCAGAAAAAAATAATAAAATGAATAGCCTAAAAATTTGGACCAATGCCTGTTAGGATCTGAACATAAAAGTAAAGAAATTTCGAAAAAGTTTTGGACCGACTTTTGTAATGGGACCTGTCTCACTGTCTGTCTTACTGTCTACGGCTTGTTCTGTAATACTGTCGATTTCATTGTTATATTATATAAAATCTTTCATTTTTTGCTACAATTAGGAAAAGATCTGACCATAAAAATAAATTTTAACAAATTTCTTCCAAAAATAATAGACATAAAAATAACTAAAACTAATAATCCAAAGTAAGTACAGTATATATCATTTACTCATTAGGGATATATGCAGCAAAATAGTCATATCCCTCCTCTCATACACAATGACTTTCCCACGCTAATTCAATTCAAACAAAAAAAAAAATCAAAAGTTTTCATGAACAACTCGAGTTTAAAAAGAAAAAAAAAAGAAAATTAAAATTACAAAAACAGAGCACAGAACCCTGAAGAATCTTGATCGAAAATTCTACGACCTTTGTTTGATTATTTCTATGAGAAGAAGCTTTGGCAAAGACTCACGGTGTGAATATTAATAAAGTTGGTTTCTTTGTCATGAACTCCCAAACTCTGCAATTGAAATTGGTTTGCTTTTAATCTACAAATCTCTCACCTCTTTTTTTTTTTACTTGGTTTTTGATAACCTATGCCGCAATACCTAAACAAAAAACACATATCAGAACATTTCCATCGCAATCAAATGTAACAAAGTTTATAAAAACAACAAAGTTAAAAGGTGTTTGTTAACTACCTCTATTAGTTTGTCTATTTCCAACATTATAGCTTCCACTGTAACCTTCCGAGTCATTAGCAGATGGGTCTGAACCTACATTGTCAATATCATAACCGTAAGAGCGAGACAAAGTGTCAAGCTCGTGAGAAGTCTGAGATGGTAGCTGCTGCTGCTGCTGCCACGTTGAGTCGCTATAAACCGAGCTGCCTCTGTACAATTCCCCTATTCCGTTAAATGGAGACGCGGAAAGTCCAGAGCCCGTCCCAAAGCTCCGACCATAACCATTGTTATCATTACCAACAGCAGAAGAAGCAAGTCCCCAGTTCCCTCTGTTGTTTCCACTCGAGACATTCAAGTTCCAACCTGTTCTGTTTCCCCACAAGTACTCTCTGTTGTTCGAGCTGTAAGGAGATTCAGTTCTGTTCTGCCCGATCGGAGAGGCGTAACGGTTTGGGGAAGGTTCGTTGAAGTAAAGGTTACTTTGAATCCGAAATGTAGAAGAAGCTGTTCCATTATAGCTTGGATTCAGATTCAAACCGAGGCCAAAACCAGAAACTAGATTTCTACCGCTACCAATGATAGGACTAAACCTGCCACCAGCAGAGCCTCCTAGGTTGTTATAATAACCAGGACCAGGACCAGGACCAGGACCAGGAGCAAAGTTATTTAGGTAGCTATTAGTAGACATCATCCTATTAGAGCTGGTACCAGGAGGAAGAGGGCTTCGAGAAACCGGGGAAATCTCTTTAGGAACGGCTCTTTTGACCTCGACAAGTTTCCCATTGAGCTCATGGAAGGTTTTGTGGAGAACACTATCAACAGCATCATCTGAATCAAATGTGATGAAGCCAAAACCTCTTGGCCTCTGCGTGTTATGATCATACATTACCACAACATCAGCAATGTTACCAAACTGATCAAAGTATTTCTTGAATTCCGCCTCGGTGATGCTAGACGGTAAGCCTCCTACAAAGATCTTCTTAGTCCTTCCACCACCACCACCACCATGGACAACAGGTGACATAAGCTGTATAGGACTCGCGTGTCGCTGATCATCTCTAGGCACGGCCTTCTTCGCCTCAACCTGAAAAATACGATCGATACTTCTTAAAGACATTGTCTTACACTCTTAAAAGAAACATTGTTGCCACTTTCCTAGAAGATCCTGCAAGATCTGAGCTTTTTAATATCCGCTCAAGATATTGATGATTGGTATTTTAACTAACCGTTCGGCCATCGATGATGTGTTTCTCCATGATGACTCTCTCTGCAACACAAGGATCTGCAAAGACGATGAATCCGAAGCCACGAGCACGTCCTGTGGCACGGTCTCTCATGATCACAGCTTCAACCACATCACCATACTTGCTAAAATAGTCTCTTAGCTTTTCTTCATCTGTGTCCCACGATATCCCACCAATGAAGAGCTTCCCCAGATCCGATTCCATCTCTTAGCTCCTGCTAAACCATCACAACATTTTTTTTAAAAGAAAATAAAAAACAAATTGACTCAGACGAGAATCATAAAGACGGAATTTTTCGGATGAGTTTCAGCGAAAGTCTGTTTGAAATTGAAAATTCAAAGACGTGGAACATACTTTTGTTGTCTGCAATTCTAAGATGGAATCCGATCTCTTTTTCTTTCCTTTGTTGTTGTTGTCCTGATCAAATAGCGAAATTGGGTGATCTTCAAATCTGAAAAATGCATCATCGAAATCATAAAACCAAAAACCCAGAAACGGAAAATTCGTTAAGAAGAATAACGGCAGGAAACAATGGTGGGGTGGGGTGGGGAGGAGACAATGATGACTAAACGCTCGATTAAAGAAGGGAACAAATAAAATTTTGAACTTTGAAAAAAAGAAACAAAAATTCACCATTTTGGAAGATGACCCAGATGAGGAAATGTGGAGAAAAAAGAAGAATAGAGAAACAGAGGATGTTTTGTTCATCCTATAATGAACGTCTTTTCTCTCTCTCTCTCTCTCTATGGCCTACGGGCTACGGGTTCGTCTCTTCTCACCACGATTGTCTCTCTCTCTCTCTCTCTCTCTCAAAAGCTTATTAAAAACTTTTCCTTTTGATATCTGTAAAAATGGTTTTCTTTAATAATCCATTCAGAAGAGTTTTTTTGATAATTTAAAACATAAACAATAAGAGAGAGAACAATAGTCTCCCATATAATTTGAGATTTGGCTTTCTTATGGTTTAAGCATCTTTTGGGTTGGGGATTTGTAATAGAGAGAGGTACTTAAGAGAAAATGACAGAAGATGATGACGACCTTATTTGCTTGTTTAATTTTTTTAAAAATTTGCCAATCTAAATTCATAGAGAAAAACAAAAACTGAAAAAAATTGTAACGGTGGTCAAAATTTTATATGCTTCAAAAAACAAAATATCGGAATATTAATCTTTTAAACCTAAACTTTATGATATTGGTATGGTTGAAATTAATCTATTTTAACTAAGACTAAACTATTAGTCTATTACTATCATGGAGACCCATATAATATCATGTATATATGACCTAATTTTTCAAATAAACAATAGAAAACTTTAGATTTTATTTTAGTTACTTTTTTAACACTTTACGGTTCTGATCATAGACCGCTCATCACTCGCATTGCAATTGTAACTTCATCAGCTCCTAAGCGTTTTCATTTTGACAAGCGCTTGATTCAAAACAAAGATTTCAAGCACTATGTGGCTGATGGCTGGAATTCGCTCAATCTATCTCCCAACTGTTCTATTACAGACCAAATCAGAGAGTGCAGGAAATCTTTGTCACTTTGTCGTCGAAATTCCTCAATAAATTCGGCAAAAAAGATTGAATCCTTGCAACTAGATCTTGATTTTGCTTTACAAAGTTCGGGATACAGGCGTTCTCTGATTCCTTCTCTCCAAAGGCAACTTGCAGCTGCTTACCGAGAAGAAGAATTGTATTGGAAAGCCAAAAGCCGTAATACTTGGTTATCAGTTGGGGATAGTAACACCAAATACTTCCATGCTTGCACTAAATCCAGATATGCAAGGAACAGATTGCATTCAATTCAAGATGCTACAGGGGGTATCTATAGAGGTGATAAGGACATTGGAATACATGCTGAGAAATTTTTCCAGAATATTTATACCTCCTCCAAGAATCCAGTTCATGAAGTCTTGTTTACTGACTTCCAAGCTTCTGTAACTACGGATATGAATGATCATCTCACTCGGGAGTTCACTGATAAAGAGATTTTCGATGCCATTTGTTCAATTGGATCGGATAAATGCCCTGGTCCAGATGGTTTTACAGCCAGATTTTATCAAGAGTGTTGGGATATTGTAGGCACAGATGTTATAAAGGAGGTATGTCGTTTCTTTGCTACAAGCTCTATGAGGCCTGGAGTTAATCATACTAATATATGTATGATCCCCAAGATTACAAAGTCCAATACTCTCTCTGATTATCGGCCAATAGGACTCTGCAATGTGCTATACAAAATAATCTCTAAACTCTTGGTGTTACGGCTAAAAACGCTTCTGCATCGGATTGTGTCTGAGGAACAAGCAGCATTTATCCCAGGCAGGATGGTTTCTGATAATGTTCTTGTTGCAAATGAATTGATGCATTCTCTTAAGGCCAGGAAACGTGTGTCTAAGACATATATGGCTGTGAAGACAGATATAAGCAAGGCTTATGATCGTGTTGAATGGAATTTCTTGGAAAGAACTTTGCAGGCGTTTGGATTTTGCAATACCTGGGTTCAATAGATTATGGCTACAGTCAGAACCGTCAGCTACTCTGTTTTGATTAATGGCAATCCAAAAGGAATGATTCACCCTGAAAGAGGCTTAAGACAAGGGGATCCATTATCCCCTTATCTATTTATACTTTGTGCAGATGTACTCAGTCATCTCATCAAGCAAGGTGTTCGCAAGGGTAATATCAGAGGTATAAAGATTGGAAATGGGGTTCCTCCGATCACACATTTATTGTTTGCAGATGATTCTATCTTTTTCTGCCAAGCAAACAATCGGAATGCAAAGGCTCTCAGAGATATCTTCTCGGTTTATGAAAGAAGTTCAGGGCAAATGATTAACACCTCTAAATCCATGATAACTTTTGGAAGTAGAATCCCTGGAGACTTACAGCAACGTCTGAAAAATATTTTAGACATACAAAACCAAGGTGGAGGGGGTAAATATCTAGGTTTGCCAGAACATTTTGGGAGAAAGAAATCTGAAATGTTTAAGTACATTACAGATGCAGTTAAGAAAAGAACGTCTTCTTGGAGTTCGAAGCTTCTATCCCCTGCTGGAAAAGAGGTTCTGATTAAATCTGTTGCAGTCTCAATGCCAGTGTATTCTATGTCATGTTTTAAAGTACCATCAGGGGTTGTGAAAGAAATCTCAAGTCTCATTTCTAAATTTTGGTGGGAGAAAGAACAAGATAAACGTGGGATCTCATGGATTGCCTGGAAGAAACTACAGAAGTCTAAGAAGGATGGAGGATTGGGTTTCAAAGATCTAGAGAAGTTTAATGATGCACTTCTTGCAAAACAGGCCTGGAGATTACTTAAGTACCCAGATACACTCTTCGCCAGATTGTTTAAGGCAAAATACTATAATCATGGATCTCTCCTGGATGCTAAATCTCAACGATACCAATCTTATGGGTGGTCTTCAATATTGGTGGGGCTTGAGCTTCTCAAGAAAGGAATACGATACAATGTTGGTAATGGTACAGACATCAAAGTGTTTCAGGATAACTGGATCCCATCCGATCCCCCTCGGCCTGCAACCGGTTTACAAAATGATCAAATGCTGGTATCGGACCTTATTTCTATGACTTATGGTCATAAAAGATGGGATGATCATCGTCTGCAAATCCTGCCATTACAAGATCAAGTTCAGATCAAGAACATTTTCCTCTCTCAAGTACAAGCAAGGGATAAGATTATTTGGCACTACACGAAGGATGGAGAGTATTCTGTCAAAACTGGGTATTATTTGGCTCGTAAACTTGAGGATCCTGATAATAATCTCATCTTGCCACCCCATGGTGATCCTCTCTTAAAGAACAGAATCTGGAAGTTGAAACTAGTTCCCAAATTGAAACACTTCCTATGGAGGATACTTTCTAAGGCATTGGGTACTTCAACACGTCTCATTACTCGGGGTATTCAAGTGGATCCAACCTGTCATTGTTGTGGTTTGTCAGATGAAACTATCATCCATTTATTATTTGAATGCCCCTTCTCTCATATGACGTGGAGACTGAGTGGTCTACCGATTCCGTGTCTTTTTCAACTTTCATCAAACATGGAAGACAATTTCAAAACTCTGCTAGATCTTCAATCGGCTAATGGGCTAACAAAACAACAAAAACTTTTACCTTTCTGGCTGATGTGGCGCCTCTGGAAATCAAGAAACAACCTCATCTTCAGAAAACAAATTCCAAACCCCTCAAGAGACGTCTCTATTGCTTTGGCAGATGTTAATGAATGGCTTCTTGCTAATACAGAGGATTCTACACCTACTTCGGACATCTCAGAAAATCGTTCACATTCACAAGGATGGAGTATCCCTTGTACCGGCTTCCACAAGTGCAACTTTGATGCTGCTTTTGATCCTTCTTCAAAAATATCTTCAGGAGGTTGGATAGTTAGAGACGCTTATGGCAAACATTCTTATTGGGGAGCAATCCATCTTGGACTTTCAAACTCAGCTTTAGAAGCGGAAGGAAAGGCCTTATTGACGGCTATGCAGAATACATACATGCGGGGATATCGTGATGTTATTTTTGAAGGGGATTGCCAAAACTTAATCGATATTCTTAAGGACCAAGGTCAAGACTATGCTATTCATAATCTCTGCATGGAGATCAAGTTCTGGGGATCCAAGTTCAACTGCTTACGATATAATTCAGTGCCGCGTCAACACAATATACCTGCTCACCACTTGACCAAAGCTCTTCCTGTTGGCTCATCTTTTTATTCAAGTAGTACTAATCCGCCTTTATGGTTGTCTGTTCTTCTCAAAAACGATTATGTATTTGCTTACAATAATCAGTAATATAAGTTTTATTTTGCCGAAAAAAAAAACAACAGTGTTTAAGAACTTTTTTGTCCTGTTTAAGAAGACTTGTTGTTCTAGATTTTTGTGGTAAATTTAGTTTGATTTCTTTTTTTTTTTGGTCATGTAATTCTAATTAGACTCAAATGAGTCGATAAACGTCATTTAATATCTTGTTTTGCAGTACAAACTCTAAAGCATAGTAAATAATTTTCTTTCATTTTCTATTTTTCCTGAACAATGTTTTCTGGCATTGCCATTTTATATCATTGAGAAATGGTGTGAAACCAAGTGTACTAAGAGTAAGAGCACCGTCAACGCGCATTTCCATCAGCGTCTCTTCTTAATTTCTATTAATTAAATTTGTTTTAACATCAATAAGTTGAAAGAACGTCTCTTATTTTAGAACAGGAAGAGACGTTTCTCTCATACATGTGGCATATTATGATTGGATTAGAAATTTAAGAGAAATTTTTTTCCTTTCTTCATTTCTTTTTTTCTTTTCTCCGACACAAATCGATGGTTTCCACCATTGCACCCATCAAATTAAAGGGTCTCTACACCAAAGTTTCTTAAACAACTTTATCACCATTTAATACTAAAAAATTGCATGAGAATGTAAGAATAAATTCTTCCCTATAATATGGTCTTATATTCATCCATTTTTTATTGGAATAATGCTATTATTAAATGTAATTGGTGTCCAAATATATTGGAAATAAAGGAGTAATTCCTAAATATCTCTACTTTGATGGATGGTTGAGATTAAATCTATGGAAGCCCTAATGAGGAATTAGGTCCTCTCTCCACCTATAAATACTTGCCATTAGACCATCATATATGCAAAACTTAAGAAAAACAACACCTAAAAGTTCTAGGCAAGGGGAGAGAAATCTAATCACCTAGCTTAAGCATTTCATCTTCCATCCAAGAGTTCATCCAAGGAGGATCATTTTCTCTTTGCAACTATGAATGCAGGTAATCCTATAAACATTCTCATAAATCTATTATGTGATCATCTAATTGTTTAAAGATCTTGGGGTTCATGTAAATTTTCACTTTCATGTGGTATCAGAGCATGGTTATAAACATCTAGTTAATCCATTATGTATAATAGATTTATGAACTGAATATGGAAAATGATAGATGTAGAACTCAAAGTTTTGTTGATCTGAATTTTGTTGTTAATTTTCATGCCTGTGCATAAATCGTACATTATGTGAGAATTTTATAATTTTTGGAAACAATTATCCGTGCAAAATCAGAGTTCTATATTTTTCTTAGAATTTTATTTCGCATATTTAGTGCATAATGATAATGTTCATGATTTGTGCATATCGGATATCTGTATTATTTTTCCGCTTAATGTATTATGTGCAATTTTTTTGTCAATCTGTGAATTAAAATTATCACAGATTCTACAGCAGAATCCGAATCGTACATAATTTGTGTAACAAAATTTTATTTAAAAAAAAAAAAATGTACATTATTGTACAATAATTGTTATGTTTTATTTAAATAAAACGTTTTCTTTTCTAATTTAAATTTTCAAAAACGTTTTTGTACATTATTGTACAATAAATATTATGTTTATTTAAATAAAAACGTTTAATTTCTAATTTAAGTTTTCAAAAACGTTTTGTACATTATTGTATAATAAATGTTGTGATTTATTCACATAAAACGTTTTTATTTTGTAATCTAAGTTTTCAAAACGTTTTTGAATTCATGAAGTATTAATACTTGGGCACCTTAGAGCACCCACAACATAGGTACTTAAACCTCATTTTAGCGATACTTGAGCCCAAAATTAAATCAAAACAAAAATAAAACCCAAGTAATGATACTTAAATAAGGCTCGTAAGTATCGGTGCTTGAGTCAGACGTGGCAAGTGTTTATTGGTCAGAAGAAGTGAGATAGTTTCATCGACTATTCTCTCTTCTTCACTTCCAGACTCTTCGATATCTCCGACAAACATCACCGATTCTCTGCTTTTTGTCGTCTCTTTTTTGGGATAAGACCAAAATAGGGAAGATTATGAGAGCTTGTATCATTCTCCACAACATGATAGTAGAAGACGAACGAGATGAATCGTCTCTATTTGATCTTTCAGATTTTCAATACAGAGAAGGAAACGCAAATTCACATGTTGATCAGACCTATTCACCAATGCCTTCAATTTTCAGTTTTTTTTTTTCATATTTGTTTCAAATGTTGTTAAATAATTTATGTTCTATCCAAAAATAAAAATTTGTTTTCTAAATCAAAAAATTACTATAACTTTTTTTACGTACCCCTTTAGAAATTCTTGCACTGGAGGCAACAAAATCCTCATTTTAATTTAAAGGTACTTTACTTAACTTTATTATTATTTTATTGCCTAAGTACCCCTACGCTGATGCTCTTAATTCAACTTAGTGGTATCAGAAAATCTGATTGGTGTCCTGACATCTTTAGTTCAAAACTTTAGTGCAAGTGAAAGGAACTTTTTTTCTATCTACTTTTGGACATCAAAACTAAAACTAAATGTAATATAAAGTAATATAAACTAAATATTCATTGGAAGATAATATAGGACCTAACTACAACTTGTCTTGTGTGTAGGCAAAGTCTAGCCTAAAGGATCTTCCCGGCATAATGATGTTCATGGAGTATCTAAAGGATGCATTATAAACAATAATCAACTCTTTTGTGGCATAACTAACTTTTAGCTATTTCCATATGTTTACAAATTGTCATTACATGTTGTGAATAAATCAGGAAATTTTAAATTATCTGGGTTTATGACATTGCATTTCTTGATTTCTATTAAAAATTTAGATATGAAATCACAATTAAATAGAGAAAATCTTGAGTATAGCCTGTGTTAATATGTGTGTACTAAAAAATTATTTTCTAGAGTGATATTTTATTATATTTATAATTTTTATATAATTATTTTAGATTGAAACAACTGTTTTCTTGGTGTAACATGATGGTTTTGGTATGTAATTATGCAAAGGACAACAACTTTTTTGAAATTTTAAAATTTCATGCAAAGTGTCGTTTTTATTATAATATCGTTTCTCTTTTATTTTCTTTGTTCCTTTAAAGTTGTTGCAAGCATTCATTAACTTGCAAGAATAACCTTATTCGATTATTCACGATTGACGACGAAAAAAAAAAAGATTATTCACGATTTATTAAATAATCTATTACATATTTTTAGCTTTGCTATCGTTTTAGATATTTTATGTAAGATCAATCTCTAAACCTAAAACTGCAATATGAAAGCTTTACATTTTTATAACTTTTTTTTTGTTAATGCTTTTACTTTTTCGCAACAAAAAAAAATAACATAATGGGATCGATAATGAAATACAATATAATAGTTATATTAGTTTCGTTCTTGTACCATCATCTACATTTAAACTCAGTAGAGTGCATATGCGTGAGTTGTTGAGTACTTACAGAAATTTACATACATTCAAATCAAAAACATATTTTCTTTCAGTAAACAAAATTATAAACTTTTGGTTTCAAGAACAAAAGCACAAGGTCAACAACAAATATTTTCGTCCTTATTGGATATCATATCACCATTCCACAGAAATCTGTTGGAAACAAATAATATTCCATGCTTACAAATATATTTATATATATATATATATATATATTGACTAGTCAGATATGTAGAAATCGTTGACTATATATCTCCTAATATACATATTGTTAGTGTGGGCATGCCAATGTGAAAGCATTCTCAAGCTACGAAACAGCTGCAAATGAACATGACGTGTGTAAGAGTAACATAACTACTAGTACTCAACAAACTGAATTATGTATTGACCTGTGTATAATAATAGCACATGCTGGAAGAAAAAAGAGCAATACAAAAAAGAATGGGAATGGTAGAATGAGTAACATGTCCGGTACGTAAAGAATCTAGAGCCATAATCTATATAACTCTCTATATAATAACTCATAATGATAATTGCAACAACCCCAACTTATAACATCTATTTTTAAAAGCTTTATAAAGTCTACAAAATTTGTTAAACTTTTTAATGAACTTGTTTCAAAAGTAATATAATTAACCCATTTATTTATGGTCGTACGTGTAGATGAAACTTCATCTCCGCGTTACGAAACCTAGTATTTGTTTATCAACCGTGACTTCTGACATAAAGAATCTGATTGACATTGATGACGTATCTGCGAACATCCAAGAGCTCTCCGGTCCAGTGCACACAACCCGATAAACCATTACCAACTTGCTTAGCAACAATGGCAAAGGCAGTGCAGCTACAATTACTCAAGCACAACTTCTCACATTCGTTCAACTTCTCAATCCCCCAGTGCATACTCGCATTACTAGTATCAGGATACTTGACATTACTCAGCGGAATAAATTTATCTCCATTATTACAGCTCAGAGGTCTCTTCCTCACACACCCATCTCTCCTGTTTCCAGACGTCCATGCATGCGGGTTCTTGGGCTCAAACCCACTCATACAGTTACACACCTCCTTATCACAGTAGCTGTCCGGACCACACAAGCTGTAATCCTCGCAACGGTCAGTTGTTGATGTCCACAAGGTGTCCCATCTTCGGTTCTTGGCATTCAACACTAGCAGTTGTATTACTCCCGTGGCGTTTAACTTAAGAACCGATTTGGATGTTTTATCAGCCCAAGAGAAGAAGAAAGTCACCTCTTCCTTGGTCGCTGTTAGCGTAAATGTGAGATAGCGAGAAGGGCTTTCTCGAGGAATGCCATAAGTGAAAGCTCCAAGCCAAGGGCTAAAACGGTTAATCGGAGAAGTCCCTTTCCAAGTGAAAATCGCCGGGATCGCTCGAAACTGACTTGCAGAGTCGAATCCAAATGAAAACTCGCCACTTGATGGATCATTGTGATCGTTTTTCCACGATCTGAGCACACTGCTACGCCCGCTTCTGCGCGTCCAACCGAGTTTCGTGTACGGTAGCAAAAGGTTGGTAGGAAAATCGAAACTCTGCCACAGAAAAGTACTATCTGGATCATGATGATGATCATTACTGTTGCTGGAGTGACGACGCAGCACGAAGTTGCCATCAGCGTGAAGCTCGGCCACTAACGGAGATCTCTCATCACTTTTCTTCTCCGTCGTCGTCACATTTGTTGACCAAACAAGGGTAGTTTGGTCGAGCAGGAGGATGTTACCGTTCTTGATCTGGAGGGTTCCGTTAGGTTTAGAGAGAGGTTTGTCTCTGTTTGCAACCCATACAATATATGTTTTTTCTGTCTTGAACCAAATCCCGAGATACCAACGTTCCAAACTTGAATGATCAGGTTTGAAGAGACCAAGCTCGAAGACAGCACCATGAGACACGATGTTTCGGTTGGGAGATAGGCTAAGAGATTCTGTCGACGACAGAACCTTAGTTTCACTCGAGATGGCGGCACACCCAAGTATGCTCGAGATGAAGACAAAACTAAAGATGTGGAAGAAGTTCATCATTAAATTCAGTTGCGGGATTAGCGAACTTTGTGTCTCAGCTCTTTCTGCGATTCGTAAACAGACTTGTGCGATAGTTGCGGGCTTGGATTTTCCTAAAATGATTAGAATACATATTTTAGGATTATTTAGATATTAATATATAAAACGTCGTTTTCTTTGGAAGATTCACACAAAAGATTTAGATTTTCAATTGTTTCAGACTTCAAGTCTTGGATTTGCATTTACTTTATTTTAAAAATTAATTAGTTTCATAAGCTTTAGAAAATGAAGCATTTTCTCTTTTCTGTAAAATATGTTTGCAAATGCCGAACTTAAACAAAAGTTTATCCTTTTGCTTTCGTTTCGTTTAAAAGAGATAATAAAAAAAAAAAATTTATTTGAGAAGTTTTTCTTAAAATATATAAGGAAATATAAACACACAAAAAAGGCATTGGTGAGATTCCTCTATCAGGATACCTTTTAATTACCAGTCGATTTGAAGAAGAAAATCTTCAAATAAGAGCTGAAAGAACCACATTTGCATTCTTCGACATTTTTTTTGTTTGTTTCTTAACTTTCTCTCTTTTTCTTTGATGGAATGTGTTATGTATATATGATTAACCCGTTGTATATAAAGGATTTTTTCTTCTAAAAATAAGAACAAAGTTATTCCGTAAAAATGCCTATGAAATTGTTAGAAATGAGAGAAAAACTCGGTGGACCTCAAAATTTATCCGCTAATGCTTTTTGTATTTCCCTTCATTTACTAATATATAATATTTTAAATTAGGGGCTGATCTACGTTTCGCGCGAAATTTTGTATTGTATTTGTTGACATATTTAAAAGAAAAATTTACGATATTAATTTTTTTTCATTAGATTTTGTATTTCAATTTTATATATATATATTTATAGTATTTAATAATTTTATATACAATATTTAGAAAATAATCAAATAATATATCAATTAGAACTTCAAATCAAATTTCGTTTGTAAATATTTTTATATTAATGTGGGTTTATAATTTTCGAATATATGCAATTCTTGATTGTTGCATTTAGGAAAAAAAATATATGTAATAAGCAATTAATTATTTGAAATTATCTCAATTCTCTAACGTATTTCTAAAATTTATTCATAACGTATTTCCCTCTCTATCTCCCTCTCCCTCTCTTTCTCCGTCTCCGTCTCCCTCTCACTCTCCTTTTTCCTCTTATGTTCTCTCTCTCATCAATGTAACATGTTGAATCACACACAACATATTGGACCGGTTGAAATTTCTATATTTCTCAGGTTTTTCTTTTTTCTAGCCACTCTCAATATCACCTCTCTAGCCTGAGATCTGTATAATATTTTAAAGAGAACTTCACCCATTTTATGTTTCAAAGATTAGGTTGAACATGTTAACACTTTGTGATACCATAATTTGTTTCACAAAATATGCATTCTTACATCTCTATATTATTATTTAAGTAGTCATTTTAAAAAATAAATTTTATTTTGTAAATTATTGCATGACATCCTATTACAAATAACAAAAATAATTAAAATAGGAAAATATATAATTGTCACTCGAGTTTTTTGAAAATCGTTCGAATATTCCTTACCCGTTAATATGCATTAATTTTATAATCTATTATTCTAATTTTCTTTAAATTTATGTCTTCTGTTATATTCTAGTGTTTTATAACAGTTCTAAAACGAATTTTGATATTTTTAGATATTAAAAATTTTGGATCCGAGAATTTTTTTTTCGGATTTGGCAAAACTGGATCATGTCCGAGTATCTTAGAATTTTATAGTTTACTATTCACATCTATTGAATCTTATAAATAAAGTAAAACCTTTAAAATAATAATGAATAAATGTATTAAAATATAAATTATTATTTATAAAGAGTGTCTTTTCATATTCTTGTTAAATTAATGGATGATAGTTACTATGAGAATTAAAGTATAATAACACAAAATATAATAAATTATAAATTAATATATGAATTGATGATGTGTCAAAATTTAGAGTTTGAGAAAATGATGTGGCATCATGAGAAGAGAGAACATTTTACTTTATATATATAGATTTTACTACAAGAAAATATGTTATTTTTTAATAAATTTTTCACAAAATTATTGGTAAAAGGATTTTTGTTTTTTTTATATCATTTTTCAACTAAATTTTGATGACATATAAAAATGGTAGAAATTTTTGTCAGAAACTATTAGGAACTACACTAACTATTAGAATGATAAAAACGTCGTCGAAATTTTTTTATCACTTTCCTACCAAATATCATCCATAAATAAAATGTAAGAATTCGGTATAAAAATTTATGACCTAACTTTATACATAAGAAATTTTTCATTTTCCCTAACTCTCTCATTCTAAATGGGCTCTTCTTTTTTTCCATCTCTTCAATATTTTTGTTTTCCCCCAAATTCAATTTTTCTTCACCTCATTTGTTAGATGAAATCACAAATCTAAGATTATGCATTTTTGGTGGAGACAGGTGCAGCTATGTCACTACAAGAAAACAGTCATTTTCCAACGGTTTGTTACGACGGTTTAAAAATCATCGCAAATAACCAACGGTTTTACAACTATTGTACGACGAACAAACAAAACGTCATACAATCGTCGTAAAAGAAAGTCGTCGTAAATTCGACATAAACTTTGCGATGCTTTACGACAATTATACATTGATAAAAGAGATATTTGATTTTCCATGCAAATTCGTCGTAGAATCAACATAACCTTACAACAAATTTACAACGACACTATTCCGATGTAATTACGACGATTTTACGTCGAAAGAGAAGGTAGGTTAAGAACATTTTAAACATGTTCACCTACCTAATATCGTTGAAATATTTTCTCGCATAATCGATGTAAAATCGTCGTAATTTTGAGATTTCGATGTAAAAGCGTCGTAATGTCCGAAATTTTGTTATAAATACATCTTCATTTCTTCATTCATTCACAACAACATCATTCAAACATAAGCAATAGAGAGAGAGACATAATTTTTTTGAGTTTTTTTCGAGATATCTATATACGAACTAGAAAACTGGATGTATATGCGTAAAGATTCAGAAGGGGCGTTGACAGAAGAATTTAAAAACGGGTTGGAAATATTCATGTATCAGGCCACAAATATGGAGAGAACCAAAGAAAGCGGGAATATGTTTTGTCCTTGTTTGAAATGCAAGAATATAAAGTATACTCTAATCAAAACCATGTGGACGCATTTATTAAATAGAGGGTTATGCCGCAATATTTTGTTTGGTATCAACATAAAGAAGGATATGGCAGTAATATTGATGAATGCTGGTAGTAGTAGTAATTATCAAAGTCATGTTGATTTTGATGAATCAAATTATTATCAGCCTAATCAGTATCACTGTGATCAAGGTGTAGATCATGATAGAATGCATGAGATGGTTACTGATGCATTTCATGAAACGCATACTGGTAATGCTGTTGAGGAACCCAATGTAGATGATAAACGATTTTATGATTTATTAGACAATGTTAATCAGTCAATCTACGAAGGATGTAGAGAAGGCTTGTCTAAATTATCGTTGGCAGCTAGGATGATGTCAATTAAAACATATCATAACCTGGCTGAGGTTTGCTTGGATGATTGGGCTGATCTTATGAAATAATATCTTCCAGGGGATAACTTGGCAGTGACAACATACTATGAAATACAAAAGTTGATTTTTAGTCTTGGTCTACCTTATGAGATTATAGATGTATGTGTTGATAATTGTATGATTTTATGGAAAGATGATGATCAGCTGCAGGAATGTCGATTTTGCCAAAAACCAAGATACAAGCCGCAAACTGGTGGGCGTAAAAGGATATCGTATCAACGTATGTGGTATATTCCTATAACTGATAGGTTGAAACGAGTTTATCAATCTGAAAAGACAGCTGCATCGATGAAATGGCATGCAGAACATACAAAATAAATGGAGAAGTTGTTCATCTATCAGATGCAAAAACATAGAAACACTTCAATACGGTATACCCAGATTTTGTTAAGTTCAAACGTAATGTCTATCTTTGTGTGTGCACTGATGGTTTTGTTCCATTTGGTATGTCAGGTAGACAATATTCATCATGGTCATTAATCATGTCCCCTTATAAACCTTCCTCCAGATATGTGCATGCAAAAGAAATTTTCTTTCCTTAATATTTTTGTTCCAAGTCCCAATCATCCGAAGCGAGCTCTCGATGTATTTCTGCAGCCACTCATACATGAGTTAAAACAGCTATGGTATACCGGCATTCGAACATATGATTGTTCAACGGGGAAATTTTTTATTATGTGGGCTGTGCTTATGTGAACAATAAGCGATTTCTCCACTTATGGTATGCTATCAGGATGGACTACACATGGGAGGTTATCTTGTCCTTATTGTCTTGATCGAACTGATGCGTTTCAGCTAAAACATGGTAGAAAAACCTGTTAGTTTGATTGTCACTGCAGGTTTTTATCGGATAACCATCCATATTGGAGGAACAAAAGGTTATTTAGGAAGAACAAAAGTGTATGTCTCCCTCCACCAGTATATTTAACAGGAGCTGATATTAAAGCGCAAATCGAGCATTGCGGGGCAGAGAAAACAGTAACCAAATGGGGAAACTGGCACACTCCTGCAAATATGCCTGAAGGTTATGGAGTTCATCATAATTGGCACAAGAAATGTATTTTTTGGCAACTACTGTATTGGAGAGATCATCTGCTCAGACACAATCTTGATGTCATGCACATTGAGAAAAACTTTTTTGATAACATCATGCATACAGTTATGAACGTGACAAGAAGAACAATAGAAAATGGTAAGTCAAGATTGGACTTGCCTGATTTATGCAACAAAAGTGAGTTGCATATAGTGAGAAACGAGAAAGCACCAGTTCTTGTATTTCGGTTGAGTGCACATCAGAAGTCAGCATTGTTCAAATGGGTTTCATCTGACGTTAAGTTTCCTGATGGGTATGTTTCTAATCTTTC